AGGTAATCGGCAGCATCAACCGCGGGGTAAGTACTCGTAATTCTCTTAGGGACACTGTAGGTCACATGGCTTTTGTTTCTCAAATTGAACCTACAACCATTTCCGAAGCAATAAACGATGAACATTGGACCTTGGCTATGCAAGAGGAGCTAAACCAATTCAATTGCAATGACGTTTGGGAATTGATGCCAAGGCCCGATGATCGTACGATTATTGGTACGAAATGGGTGTTCCGTAACACACTTGATGAAAATGGAATAATCACTAGAAACAAAGCAAGGCTCGTAGCTAAAGGCTACAATCAAGAAGAAGGCATTGATTTTGAAGAAACCTATGCACCCGTAGCACGTTTAGAAGCGATTCGTTTACTTCTTGCTTTTGCTTCGTCTATGGATTTTAAACTTTATCAAATGGATATTAAGATTGCCTTCCTCAATGGTTTTATTCAAGAGGAAGTGTATGTTGACCAGCCCCCGGGGTTTGAAGACTTTGAGTTTCCCGATCATGTCTTCAAACTCAAGAAAGCGCTCTACGGTCTTAAACAAGCACCCCGTGCTTGGTACGAACGTTTGAGTAAAGTTCTTTTGGATAGTGGTTTCCAAAGGGGAAAGGTAGACACCACACTTTTTATCAAGAGTAAAAACAATAACATCCTTTTGGTTCAAGTTTATGTAGACGATATTATATTCGGTGCTACTAATGAGTCTTTGTGTAAGGAATTCTCAACGCTAATGACTAGCGAATTTGAAATGTCAATGATGGGTGAGCACACATTCTTTTTGGGACTTCAAGTCAAGCAAATGAAAGATGGCACGTTCATTTGCCAAGCTAAGTATTGCAAGGAGCTCCTAAAACGATTTGAAATGGACAACGCCAAAGCCATGGCGACCCCAATGAGCACGTCTGACCATCTTGACAAAGATGAGAAAGGTAAGGAAGTAGAAGTCAAAAAGTATCGAGGTATGATCGGATCCCTTCTCTATCTTACCGCTAGTAGGCCGGATATCATGTTTAGCGTATGCCTTTGCGCAAGGTATCAATCGTGTCTGAAGGAATCGCACTTAACGGCGGTAAAACGGATCATGAAATACCTTGCCGGCACGGTTAACGTTGGACTGTGGTATCCAAAAGGCTCTTCTTGTCATCTCGTTGGCTATTCCGACTCGGACTTTTCCGGTTGCAAATTGGACCGTAAAAGTACAAGTGGGACTTGCCACTTACTTGGTAGTTCTTTAGTTTCATGGTTTAGCAAAAACAAGTCAGTGTTGCATTATCCACAACCGAAGCGGAATATGTAGCCGCCGGTAGTTGTTGTGCTCAAATCCTTTGGATGAAGCAACAACTCGTGGACTATGGCCTTAGTATCAATCACGTCCCTCTTCGTTGTGATAATACTAGCGCCATAAGCTTGACGAAGAACCTCGTTCTTCACTCAAGGACGAAACACATTGACATTAGGCATCATTTCATTAGAGATCATGTTCTCAAAGGTTGTCGAAATTGAGTTTGTTGAAACACACAACCAATTAGCCGACATTTTCACAAAACCTTTAGAGAAAGAGTCGTTCTTCCGCATTCGAAGTGAACTCGGAATCCTTGACTCCACGATGATCTAAGTTGTGCATCTAAACTTATTAAACGTTTACTAACTTGAGCGTCAGAGAATTCTTTCTTTTTCTTGCAGGTACCCCGTTCATGAAATCAGGGGGAACCATGCAAACAGCGATGTCCAGGAGACCCAACAGCGCTGTTAAGAGAAACAACGTCAACCAAAAAAAGTTTGCCAACAGCGTTGTACACGAGGCCAACAACGCTGTCCCAGGGAGTTCCCTTTCCCTTATACCTTGTTTTCAAACAAAACCAGAAAGTTTTCCAACAGCGCTGTCCACCTTTGCAACAACGCTGTCCACTTTTACAAATTTTTCCTCTATCGTAAAACAGCGATGTAGAGAAACCCAACAGCACTGTTCTAATGGGTTCAAACCCTTACACAATTCCAGAAACTTTTGGAACATCGCTGTAGGGTACTCAACATCACTGTCCTTTTGACTCCTGTTTTTTTTAACTTGACGCAGAACAGCGCTGTACAAGGCACAACAGCGCAGTCCCAACAGCGATGTCGCCTGTAGAACATCGATGTTCAGTCAAAATTTTCAAAAAAATACCCGTTGGCATGGGCATTAATTTCTCCAATAGCCATTTTTTTTGAATTTTGAACATTGGAACTCTCTTCTCCTATATATTGGAGCCTCCTCTCCTCACTTCTCCACACACAAACACAAATCTCTTCATTCCCTTGCATATTTTTGTCTTCTCTAATCATTTTTTAGAATTCTTCATCATGGGCAAAGATAAGAATAGGGCAGGAGCTTCCAGCAAATCCAAAGCCAAATCCCAGGCACCGGCAACCAACTCCGAGGAGCGCCTCTACTATGGCGACGGATCGTACCTCTGGTTCGATTCTGAGGAGGAGCGCACCCGCTTTCTCACTTTCTTCTCTAAACGGGTTGTGGCTCCCCCACGGATCATCCCGGAGCGCTACCCGGAGCTGCAGGGCTACGACGACCTCGACGCGCAGCTTCATCAAGCCGGCCTTTGGCCATTCGTCTCCCGGGCTTGGAAGGAGATCAACCCGGCGCTGATTCGGGTCTTCTACTCCAACCTCCGGCGTGAGGGCGACGTGCTCTACTCTCTTGTCAAGAGCACGCCGATAGAGCTTTCCGTTGAGCAGCTTGGGCGCATCGCCGGCCTCCCCTACCAAGGCGACGACGTCTCCCACTATGGCGGAGAGGACTGGGTGCTCAACAACGAGGGCCTTATCCTCAACGAGCTTGGCATCACCGAGCTCATCCGCCATGCCTCGGGCCGCCCCACCATCCACTCCGCTAACCCCGAAGGCCGTCTNGTCTCGTTCTCTACATCGTGTCCCGGATCATCAAACCCCGGAAGCACGGCCACACAATCATGTCCGGTGAGGACCTCAAGCTCATCCATGCGATCATGCACCCGGCCCCAATCAATTGGGCAAAGTTTGTCATGATCAACATGACGATTGCCGCGTCCACCGACCACGATCACCTCCTCCCGTACCCGTTCGTGGTGATGGACATCCTTGAACGGTTCAAGGTGACCACCACCGTTGGCCCACTCACGAAGGCCACAAAGATTTGGGCGATCAGCACCCAAACCTTCAAGAAGCGGTCGGACAACGCCGGACCTGCCACTGCCGCGCCACGGCGCCGTTCTGCTGATGGCCCAGCCAAACCCCAAGCCCGGGCCAACCTTGCCTCCATCGCCGACTCCCTCAACCGGCTTCACTTCAAAGTTGACGGGATGGATGGCTACCTTGAGCGGCTCGACGAGGCTGTTCAACGCCAAGGGCACGCCATGAACGCATACTTCCAACGCGTCAACTACGTCCCCCCACCGTACCAAGGCACGTTCCTTGGGCAAGTGTACGGTGACGAGGATGAAGAGGATGGCTCCTACGCCCCGTCAAACTCTCCGGACGAGGACGAGTTTGATGACGCCGTTGACGGCGATGAGATGGACGTCGACGACGACGAGGAGGAAACCGAAGACGAAGACTAGGCCACACCTAGAATTTTTATCTCTTCTTTCTTCAATTGTGTTGCTTTTTATTACTTCTGTTGTACTCCGCCTTTTCCCTTTAATAAATAAAATTATCTTTTATCTTTTTGTTAATGTCAAAAGAGGAAAGAAAAGGGCTATGCATATACTAAGGGGGAACGCCTCTAAAAACGAGACCGTTTGATTTTAATCCGACTAATTTCTTTTAAGCACAAATTAAGGGGGGACTTTTTCACAACTTTTTGAAAATCAAATATCCCTTAGTATGCATATCCCCGTCTTGTTTGCCATTATCAAAAAGGGGAAATTGTTGGAACACGGGTTTACGCCTACGTCGTACTAAACTGTGTTCATTTTTATGACAGGTTTTGATAATGCCAAACCGCCATGACACAACAAGGCTAAAGTGAGCAAAACCAAGGCGAAGAAACATGGAATGATGACATGAGAACCAAGAACCAAGAATCAAGAACAAAGAATTAGAATTGCATTGAGTCGGTCCTAATGTGATCAAGACCGGCACAAACTTCCAAATCTTGGCTCTCTAGGCTCAATTCATCAAAACCCTTTTTGCAAATTCAAAAATGTTTTTCATAAGTTTTTAAACATGGCGAAAAACACTTGGAGTTCGCCTAAACCAAAAACCAAGTCATCCGGCGTTCGGCTTTCGGTTTTCGGCATTGGTTTTTGGCATCCGAACCAACCAAGTGGTTTTCAACTTTTTATGATTGGTTTTTACTTCTGGGCATATTTGGACAGCGATGTTGACCCAGCAACAGCGCTGTCAAGCCAAAACTCCACCTTCAAAGTCAGACCTAAACAGCGATGTTCAAGTATTGAATATCGATGTAGGGACCTCACTGTTGGAAGGGATTTAAGGCTAAAACTTTCCTTGTTTGGAAGTCAACAGCTAAAACAGCGATGTAGGAGTATTGGACATCGCTGTTGGCATGATCGTTGCTTCCAAATTTTCAAAACGCAAGCCTAAAACAGCGATGTCCAAGCCTAGGACAGCGCTGTCTGGGTGAATTTCAGTAGATCCAAATTTAATCAAATCCCACAAATTGTGCCAATCACCCCTTAAATGTTTTGATCCGTTGGAGCCTATTTTTCCACTATAAAATGGGGTGTTTGGGACTGCTTTATACATCACATTACTTCACAATCTCTACTCCTTCATTGCAAATCATTCATCCTTTATTTATAGCTTTTTGAGAGCCATTTTTGTGAATCTTGTGTTGTGTTTTTGAGCGTTCTTAGTTACTCATTATCCACTCTAAAAGAGAGTATTGTTCTTGAATGTTTTTAGTGTTTTTAGACACTTGACAAGAGAAAGTATTTCTCTTGTTGTTCGAAGGAAGGGTTGTTTCCTTCGAAGGTTCGTTGAAGTTCGTGTGACTCGAACTCTCAAGTTGTACGGGTTTGTTAAGCACCGTTAAGCTTAACGAGATAGTAGTGTAGCTCGAGAGAGTCTCTCGGGAGGCTAGATTAGCCACAAGTTGTGGTGAACCAGGGTAAAATCGGTGTGCCTCTTACTCTTCTCTTTACTTCTCGTTTATTCATTATTTATTCCTGCGATTTCTTGATCAAACGCTATTCACCCCCCCTCTAGCGTTGGTCTATTATTCTAACACATCTATCGACAATAGTGTCAAAATACGTTCACTTTTTACTTAATTCTTGCAAAAGGTGGGGTGAGCCCCCTTGATCACATGTGTCGCTTACGCCTCCCGGTGATGGCCCCATTTGATTGAGATCGTTCAGATCACCCTACCTCTAGAAATTAACCGGGTAACTTTAGCTCGAAGAGCAGCCCTCATCTCATGAGTCATGAAGCTCTCTCGTGAATGAAGTTCGGAAGCATGATCAGTCATAATCTCATGATCGATCACATCTCCCGAAGAACTAGCTGGTCACTTTCCTCTGTTCTAATGTTGTTCAAAGTGTCATTTGTTGGACATGAATTCAAAGCCCTTTATTATTTTCTGGAATTTTTTTGTTTTGATAAATGGCAAACAGGATGATTAAATTCAACGATGATCGAAAATTTATTTTCTGTATCGAGAAAAGCAAAGAGGCGTATCAAGAAATTTACGGCGATAAAAATCAACGCTCACCCCTACGCAGATTTGTGAAGTGAAGTGAAGACTCTGAAGACTTTTTTATTTTATTGAGTCTAGGAATTTTTTGTAAGGATGACAATAATTTTTGCATAAACAAATTAATTTTGATGGATAAAAATTATTATTTTCTGGGTTCTCTCAAATGTCGATTCGAACACGTGGGTGAACCCTTGGTTTAGGTTCTCTATGCTCACATCTTTGCCCCTGCCACAATAAGTGCCCTTGTTACTTTTTTGAAAGGAAGAAAGGGTTAAGTTTGGAATATAAGAATAGGAGCTAGCATTACTCCTCCAATTGTCAACTTATTTTGGGTTGGAATCTCATAATTCTACAATAAGAATGCATTGAACTGAAGAGAATGGGATTAAATTGAACTGAACAGTACTGAAACTAAATCCCCCAATTAGTGGGTGTTTGATTTGGTTTGGTTACTGGTATTAGGATCTACATGCTTTCATGTGAAGATTCAAATCTGCAATTCTTTCTGATTCTGCAAATGAATTCATCAAACAATAAGATGAATCTTGTGCAAAAATCAAATTGATTAACACCCAAATCTCCCAACTTCATATAATCAAAGTTGGTAGCAACAAATCTTATACAAAAATGAAGAATATAAACAAATCATTTCTTCACAAACTTGAAGGGAGAAAAAAAAACTGGGAGGAGGGGGGTATGATTATATGAACAAAACATTTCTTCTCCATTCTTTTTCATCTCGTTCGAAACCCTACCTGCTTTTCCATTCTTTTGGATGGAAAATCAAACTGAAATTATAATCGAAGATGTGTACGCACCTGGATGGCCTTCCCTTGCCTTCATCCTAGCAAGATCTAATCGCTGATACGTTCAAAACCCTAGCCCCATAAATGGTTTCCGGCAAGCAGAGGGAAAGCTCTGTTCCTGTGTTCCTTTTTACGGATTGAGCAGAGACAGTAAGTCAACCGGCTGTTAGCTTCTCCCATACGCGCTCTCTATTCGAAGAGGAGAGGTGTTCGGCGTAAGCTTTCTACTCGCCTCATTTTCCAGCCTCTCCACCCGAAAGGCCCCTTTCTACTTGCCCCTTTGTCAGTGACCCGACCCAAAATTTTGGGCGGGAACACTGTTCATTTTATCATCTTACCATTGTATATAGTTAGATAGGTTCTCTTTTGAAACCAACTTAAAGAGATCAAAACCCCAATATTTATTATTTAACATATTGAGTCTAAATGAATAAATAATATTTTTTATTTAAAATATTGGCTAACTATTAGGCCGGTTTTAGGACGTTACATAATCCAACCTTCGAAAGCCCCTTATGGAGCGCCGGTGTTATTCCAAAAGAAGTAAGATGGCTCTTTAAGGATGTGTGTAGACTATAGGGCACTGAATAAGGTAACGATAAAAAACAAGTATCCAATTCCAAATGTACAAAACTTGCTTGATAAACTGTCCAAGGCTCGGTTTTTCACGAAATAGACATAAGGTCAGGCCATTGGCAAGTTCAAATTAGTCCTGGGGATGAAGGAAAGACAACGATTGTTACAAGGTATGGCTCGTTTGAGTTTTTTGTCATGCCATTTGGTTTGACAAATGCTCCGGCTACCTTTTGCAACCTTATGAATGATGTACTGTATGAGTTTCTATATTGGTTCGTTGTGGTTTACTTCGATGACATTGTGATTTACTTTGAGTCGTTTGAGGACCACCTTGTACATCTAAGGTAGGTTTTCCAACAACTCAAGGAGAATGAGTTGTATGTTAAGAAGGAGAAGTGTGAGTTTTGCACTTCGGAAATCTCATTCTTGGGTGATGTGATCAGACACGGGGAGATCAAGATGGACAAGAGGAAGGCTAAGGCCATTGTAGGGTGGCCAAGTCCAAGGGACGTTGGTTAACTATGATCTTTTTGGGATTGACTAATTACTACTGCAGGTTTATTGACGGTTACTCGAGGCGAGCATGTGTACTAATAGATCTGACTAAGAAGAAGCAACAATGGGTCTGGTCAGAGGTGTGTGAAAGGGTCTTTGAAGACTTGAAACAGGCTGTGGCAAGTGATCAAGTGCTAAAGTTTCTAGATTTTAGTGTTCCTTTTGAAGTACACACGCACATAGGCATCTGGTCAGGCGTTGGGTGGGGTTCTTGTGCAGAACAGCAACCCCATTGCCTTTGAAAGTAGGAAGATTAAAGATGCAAAAACCCGATACAGTGTTCATGAGAAGGAGATGAGTGCCATTGTTCATTGTTTGGAAGTGTGGCGGCATTACTTGTTTGGCACCAAGTTCATTGTGGTGATTGACAATGTGGCCAACACATATTTCAAAACGCATAAGAATTTGTCCCCTAAGCAAGCTCGATGGATGAAATACCTTGATGCTTTGACTTTGATTGGGTGGATCATCCGGGCAGGCATAATGCTATTGCAGATGCATTGAGTCAGAAGACTGTTGAAGAATATGTTGTTGCTTTGGTTATGGTGTTAAATAACACAGTGGATCTAATTCGTGATGTAGCCAAGAAGGACCAAAATTACCAAAAGTTTGTGGAACAGGTAACCACCATGGTAGTGCGAAGATACTAGCAAGAAGATAGCATATTGTTCAGCAAAGGTGGTAGACTTTATGTCCAAAAAGTGACTTATAAGCTTATAGGTGCAGTTGTTGGGAGGGACTCATGACCCACAATGGACTGGTCATGCGGGTGTGGCTCAGATGATTGCATTGTTGTCCAAGGACTATGTTTGGTCGAAGATGGAACATGACATGGAGGCATTTGTGTAGACTTGCTTTGTATGTCAACAAGACAAAGTGGAGAAATAGAAGGAGGCATGCTTGTTACAACCATTGCCTATTCTAGAGAGACCATGGCAGTTTGTGTCCATGGACTTCATTTCACGTTTCCCTAAGGTGAAAGGCATGTCAACAATCTTGGTGATTGTTGATCAATTTTCTAAATACAAGGTGTTCATAGCGACCCCAGATAGTTGCCCTACTGAGAAAATGGTGGATTTGTTTTATAGGAATGTGGTGAAGTACTTTGGCCTTCATGAAGACATTGTGAGTGATCGGGACACACGATTCACTAGACGATTTTGGACTTCCTTGTTCAAGTTGTTGGGCAGTTATTTAAAGTTCTCCACAGCACATCATCCATAAACCGATGGGCAAACGGAAAGGGTGAACACATTACTTGAGGAATACCTGAGGCATTATGTGACAGCGAGTCAAAGGAACTGGTTGGTGTTACTTGATTTGGCTCAGTTTTGTTATAACTTACATCAGTCGAGTGCAACTGGAATGGTAACACCCCGGCCGTAAGTGTCCGCTCATAGGATTGTAGACTGACCTCACAAATCAACACAAGTCTTTCTCGCACACTTTGTCGTCACTCATGCGTGCCCAAGGAATTTCCCAGGGGGCCACCCATCTTAAAATTGCTCTAAGTCAAGTAGGCTTAACTTTAGAGTTCCTAAGTGATGAGTTCTTGAAAAGAAGATGCACCTTATTAGTATGAGTAGTATTATCAATCCTTTTGAGTGTTTTCTTTCCCAATTCATTTATTTTCAAATCAAGGTATTACATTCACCCTCACTTAGGAATGCAATGTCCTCGTTGCATCCTTTTTTCAAATTCCTACATCATCCCCGCTAGGTGAACTATGCTCTTTTTGGCCCATCACGATCATATGGTTGCTCTGATACCATTTGTAACACCCCGGCCCCCACCCTACCCTTAAGCGTCCGCTCATAGGATTGTAGACTGGCCCCACAAACCAACACAAGTTTTTCCCGCACACTTTGTCCTCACTAATGCACGCCCAAGGAATTTCCAAGGGGATCACCCATCATAAAAATGCTCCAAGTCAAACACGCTTAACTTTGGAGTTTCTAAGTGATCAGCTCTTGAAAAAAATGCACCTTATTAGTATGAGGAGTACTATCAATCCTTTTGAACTTTTTTCCCCAATCCATTTATTTTCAAATCAGGGTATTACAGGAACGACTCCATTTGAGTTGACAATTGGCTTCCAACCCCTTACCCCTCATCAGATTTCTGTAGGGGTTAGTGGAGCGTGTTTGGCTCCTGTTAGCTTCACAAAATTAAAAAATAAGCAAGACTTAAGTGATGAGGCGCGTGATAGTCTTACATTGGCCCATGCTCGGATGAAGAGACAGGTGACTTAGTGATGTTGAAATTAACTCCTGAGATTTTGAAAAGAATAAGTAGCAGAGATGTTCATCGTGGTTTGGTTCCGAAGTATGATGGCCCATTTGAAGTTATGCACAAAGTTGGAGAAGTGGCTCACCGTTTAAAACAACCTGAACGGTTGAAAGTTCACTATACTTTTCGTGTCAGTTATTTGAAGAGGATTAATAAGGAAGAGTTTGATGCTTTAAGGCAACAACCAAAGCGTGATCTTCCAACAATTCATGAACAATTTGAGAAAGGCATTGAAAATATTTGGGAGCATAAATAAAAGGGCAAAGCAAAATGAACAGACGGACAAAATTCCTTTTGCAATGGGAAGGAAATTCCAAAGAAGACTCAAGTTGGGTGAGAGATGTGAAGTTATGACAATTTGAAGACAAAATCGAGGAGTACTAGCGCAAACGCGATGCTGCCTCACAACCTCCAACGATGACGTCAGACTCTCTTGGTAGGGGCGGTATGTTAGACCTTTAAAAATCAAGATGGTTTTGGCAATGCCAAGGGGGCCTTGGTTTGGTGTTGGCTAGTGTTGATCATGGTCGGGTGCTGACTTAGATATCAGGGTTGGCTTTGAGGGAATGATGGCCAAGGTTGGTGCTAATCCTAAAATGAACCATGGGGCGGGAGTCGCTGGAAAAGTTAGCCAAACTTATAGGAACAAGGCTCACGGTTGGTTCGGTGAAAAACAAAGTTGGCTCGAGTTGGCTCACGGGTGGCTTGGTGATGGGGCTCAACGTGGGGCGTGGCTCAGGCCAGGGTGGCTTCGGGTGAAAGTCACGAAATTACTAAAGACTCATGGCCAAGGGGTGTGGTAGTTTAGTTGGGTAGACAAGATTGGCAGTTAGCGTTTGAAAGAGGTTGACTTTTGAATTAACCAAGGGCGATTGGCACTGGTGTCCTTTCGTGAAGGATTATATGGTTGGCCTGTAACCATCACGTTTTGCCTTTAAATATTGTTGCTCATGGCATGTGTTGGTGAGAGGGTGGAAGACCAAAGCCTGTTTGACTATACTTGTATATATTATATAAGTTCAATAATAGGTTGGTTGTTTATCATAAATCTGTGATCTTCGTGTTCTTGAATATATTCTGGCCCTTAAAAAAGCAAATACTAACTAGAAACAAAATAGGCCCTACCGGTATGAAAAAACTCGAGTGAAAAATGAGGCCGTAAACATTTTAAAGATAAAAATAAAAATTTATTAATTGAGTAGAAATCTCATATTGCCCAAATTCTAAAACCTTAAAATCTTAAATGAAACCTAATTCTTCTTGATCTCCAAATCCCCAATCAATTCTACATGGCGGCATCCTCCTCCCTCTCGGACTCTTCTTCGTCTTTAACCGAACGCGATTATCGGCGTCGCCGCCGTCACAGGGATCGGTCCGTGCTAAGTGTCCGGAAGGAAAAAAAATCCCACACCAAAAGATGCCACAAACGCCGCCGCTCGTCCTCGGAAAGCTGCAGCCATTCGTCTTACTCATCGTCTGTAGGCAGGTAATTTTTTAGCGAGCTTTGCCTTTATATGTTTCAATTAAACGTGTAAAAGTTATGTCAACTGTGTGCTCCATTTAATAAGTATAAATAGTTGCAGTGTTGCGTAGCCTGTTTCTGCAAAAAAGTATTGTCTAACCTGTAATATCAGATTGGATTTGATATTTTTCGTGCTTTTTTTGGAGTACCTATACCATACATTTCGATGCCTTATTTTCAAGCGTAAGTGAATTTTTGAAAAGCCAGCAATTAGTGACTCAAAATGAGTATTCAGTTTGAGTATTTAGTTACTCGTAATTGAGTACTCGCCGCGGATGTATAAGAAACATTGTACAACCGGTTGTACGGTATATATTGTGACATAACATTGATGGTCAAGCACTTAGGGACACTTGAAGTTCAATGGGGAAAAAAGTAAATAGATTTATAACTAACCATAACACATGGAATGATGGGAATATAAATAAAAAGTATATTCTATAAACATTTACCGCAATAACAACTACAACAACAACACACTCCAAGGATTGAACTTCTTTTTGCTCAAATTCTAAGATTTAAGAATTATTATCTTTTAATCATGCTGTCAACTCTGTCTTCTCAATGTACATTAGCAGATAATCATTCATGAAAATATGAAATGATATCCACTCATTCTTTAGGCTCCTTTTAAATTTTGTTTACTAAATTGTAGGATACAAGCATTACTTTATGCAATTACATGTAATAACTAATTTAGCTTTAAGTAGTAGTATTATTTATCATCTTTACTTTCAACACTTATTCTATTATTCTGTTTATACATTTTTTATATTTGTGTTTTCTATTTTCTTAAGAGTATCTTGGCTGGTTATCCCTTTTCCCAAATTATTTTGCCTAGTTGATTTTTCACAGCATTTTTATTGCTAATAACACACACATACTAGTGTGAGTAGTGTCATGTGGTGATGGCGACACCATATTTGTGCCATCGCCATATGATATTGGCCCATCACAATGAATGTCATCATGCGCCATGACAACTATCCAGATGATCCTATGTGAGCATTTTGTAAAAGTACATAAAATTAGTGGACACAAAATCACTAATAGCATCACTTCTTTTTGAGTGCTAGATCGCTGGCTAGTTTTAAATCTTGGGAACTGGATAGAGTACTCGAAAGTTACTATATAGTGAGTACTCAACTTTTGCAACATCTGACACTTGGTTTTGTCTTGTGAATAAAAGGCTTCATTACTAGTTTACTACGGAGCTTCATTATGAAGAATTCGAAACGTAAAAAAATTAATGAGACAAAAGAAGTGTTTGGCATTTATGTGGGATTCAAGTTAGGCAAATGAACTTCAGAAATGATTAATTCTATTCATGATTTAATTTTGGTAGTGTGTGATTCTTTGACACGAGGTCTTGCCTTTTCTATGATAAAAATATGTAGGGCTAATAAGAAGGCTTACAGCAGGTTGCTCATTTCAGTTAAACTGGTCAGAAAATCTTTGTTCTAGGATAAAAAATAACTGCAATATCAAAATCAAACATGTTGATAATATTCTTTCGTGCATTTTCTTGTCACAGCTCTTCAGATAGTGATCACGAATCATCGAAACGTCATTCAAAACACAAACACAGAGATAGATATAGCAAGGTTGTGAACTGACATTTTGTAACTTTGGGAACATGATATATGCTTGTTTGGTGCTTCGTTGATTGATGACATTCTTGTATCATTTTTTAGAGAAAGGGCAAGGATAAAGGGAAAAGCTACAAGTCTAAACATCAAAAGCATAAAGCCAAAGAGGTATGGCATCCCTTTGTTCCTTGACAATTCCAACATGGCATCATCAGTATTTCTTGTTTCGCGATTTACTAGCATTCCGTGAAAACTTATCATACGTTCACTTCTCTAGTTCACTCACATTGAGATATTCTTCACAATATTTATGTGTCCATGCATGCATATGTAATGTATGTATGTTTGTTTGTTTGTTTGCATGGATGTATGCATGTAGCTGATAGAGTGCCACATATGTTGTTTTATGTTATTAATATTTTTATCGGGTCAAATGTTTTATTTTAAATAATTTAGTTACTAAGTAGTATATAATGGGTAATTGGGCCTAAATTCTAGGAGTAGTTGCTAAGTAATGTGGTAGTGAGCCTAAAGTCTAGGAATAGTTACCAGGTAATGTGGTAGTGGACCTAAATTCTAGGGATTGGTAGTTATTTGGCTTCTATAAATGTTGTGGCTCATTATTTGTAACAGTTATCCAGAAAGTAATTCCATATTTATTATTAGATATTCTCCTTGGCTTTATTACTTATATGAGTTTAAGATTCTTACTCATATTTTGATAAAGATTTTTCTTTTATTATTTTATGAAGTTAGAACTGTTAGATGCTGCTTTCATAATTTAATAAAAACTTCCCTTCATTTATTCTCCCTGCCACTCTTGAGTTCTATCATTTGGTATTGGATCCATAAGATCTTTATGGGTTCCTTGTGCAAAAATTCAATTTCTCCATTTTCTCTATACAATTTCTTATCTAGCAGTTATTCTCCTCGTGAAGTACACAAGTTACTTAGCATTATAGCTCGCCTTGATGTCATTAGTTCAAAAGCTACAACATGTGAAGTACGAGGCAAGGGTTTTCAACATGTGCTAACTAGTAGTGGAGTCAAACCTCATCGATTTCATCTAGAGGTGAAAGGAAATAAAATTCAAAACAGAAGGGTAAGGTTACATTCGTTCGTAAGTCCAAACACCCTACCATTGCAGCCAACAACTTCAATTCCTCCCATCCAACAAGTAATTTCCTTTGTGGTGACAAGGGAATTTCCATTGCAACTCTAAGTCAGAGCTTGACAGTTAATGTAAATGTGTTGTCGTCATAGTTATCAAGGCGCCAAGGCGAGGCACGGCACCAGCAAACCACCAGGACACCTAGTTGACTAGGCGACCAGCCGACCACGTAAGCGACTAGTCATATATGATAAATATAATAGCATTTACAAATATACCATAATTCATACTCCCTTCGTCCATAAAAAAGCTTCCCACTTTCCTTCTTGGGATGTCCATAAATTATCTTCCCATTTCTATTTTTGGCAAAAAAAGAGAGCAAAATGTCTCTTTTACCCTTGCTAAGCCATATTTCTCCTTCCTATCATTTTCTTTTTCGTCCCCTTCCGCCAGTATCCTCATCCCAAACATTTTCTTTTTCTTCCTCTTCCTCCATCTTTTTCCATTGCCTTTATCTTCCTCCTCCTCCATCTTTTTCCATCGCCTTTATCTTCCTCCTCCTCCATCTTTTTCCATCGCCTTTATCTTCCTCCTCCTCCATCTTTTTCCATCGCCTTTATCTTCCTCTATCGTTTTTCCATTGCATTCTTCCTCCTCTTTTGCCTTTATCTCTCACCTCCGCCATCTTTAAACCTTCTTTCATGTCCCCACTGCACCACCTTGTATTACACCAGAGTAGGAGTGCCGGATCTCGCTGGATCTTGCCGGAGCTGCACCACCTCTGTCGAATCAGAACAAAGCCGTCTTATCTCTGTTGGGATTTGATTGATTGCGCCTCATCCATGTTAGATCTGAACAACCCCAAATTCATCTCTACTAGATCTCCATTGAATCTAAACAACATTGGCTTTACCTCCTTCAGATTTACAACAATGACTCAGTGAGAGTCATCATCGATGGACTGAAATTGGGAACTGGAGATAAACAAATAATGTAAAAGGACTGTCATGGTTGCTTTGTTATTTATGGAGGAACAAAAAATGTAAAATTACTGTCATGGTTGTTTAGTCATTTGCGAAGGAGTATGTATATGAGTGAGGCAACTCATTTGTTGTTGAGGATGATCGATAAATTCGCACCTTTGTTCTGTATTTTTGATGGAGGGCGAAAAGAATTGCCATTGTTGTGTGGTTGATTGAGGGATGGGGGAAGGGTATTTTGGGGAAGTCAATGTCATTTTTAACTTGCATAAATTTGCGTAGCTGGTCAAACCGGGAAGTTATTTTATGGACGGAGGGAGTAAGATATTGTTATTCCTAGAGTACAAACTTCATACTCAAGATACCTAATGTTTCTTTTAAACAAAATAAGGTACACAAATTTATTAATTCTACTTCTAGATCCATACCCTTTTTAACAAAACCGATTGTAATAGAATTGAACAATATTTGTTAAAAGTATTAATTAATTACTTAATTGATGAATAAAGATAATGACGAAGAGGAGTTGGGCTGAAGAGTAAAGAGGATTATATCAAATATAAAGAAGAACCGATCAAGTAACTAAAGAAATTAAATGAGAGGTAAAAAAGAAGATAAATTTTTGAAATTTAAAAGAGGAAAAACGAAAAAAAAACTCATAATACGAAGTATAAAAACGAAAAAGGTTGGCTGCAGAAGACTAGGGTTACTACTAGGTAACAGAACGCTGAATCTGGCAGCGACAAATGCCTGCACCATCAACGACACCGACGGTGGAAGATCAAAGATCTACTTCCCTCTGGCACGGCGGCAACAGATCTATGTTCCAATGGTGGCGACGCACTCGGATTTTCAGATCTCAAATCCGGCGGCCATAGATTAGCCACCCTTCTCAGTCGCTATGCGTGCTTTGCCGACGGACTGGCCACCTAAACCATGCCAAGGCAACACCAGGAAGAGATATGGGGAGGCGAATGACCATGACGTTCTTCTCTCAGTGTTTGGACGCCTAGTCGCTGCCTAGGCGATGCCGTGATAACTATGGTTGTCGTCACATTGCCCCTCCACGACCCTGACTAGAACGTTTCTCGTTGATGGCAATCGGAAACGGCAATTCGAGTTGAGGTTGTTCCAATATGATGGTATGATTCATATTGGTTGTCGCTCTCAAACCTCTCCATTCTCACCTTCAGAATTGGCTATAGAAAGAGCCATGATTCTTATTGCAAGTGCAGATGAGAATGCCTCGAGTTTGGGGTTACAAACCTCTTATATATGTGTCAACACCATCCTGCAAAATTCTACAACATCAATGACAAAGCTTCATGAACCCTTGGATAGGGGCATCTGGCATCGATTTATCCATGAAGCTGTTATGTCACATTTGGACCCTTTTCGAAGCACCACTACTTTAATTGGATTTTTTCATTTTATTGTCTTCCTACCACCTCTACCGAAACCTCCAGATATACAGAGAAGCTATTGTCTAGGTTTTGCCTTGAGGACAAGACAAATTTTGAAGGAGGGGATAATGATAGAGAGCCATTTGTGCTGTTGTTTTATGTTACTCCCTCCATCCAAAAGTTTCTTTCTCACTTTCCTTTTTGGGCCTCCCAAAACTTTTCTTCCCGTTTCCTATTTTGGCAAATCATTTTATATTAAATGACTTATTTCTAGACCTTCAATTCAATCCATGCGACCATGCCCTTTCTTCTTCTTTGATTTCACCATCACCCTAACTTCTTTTTTTTCTCGATTCCTTCCCACCCAACATTCCTCTTCTTCTCTGATTCCACCCCACCCCACGCCATCATATTCTTATTAGATCTACCAAGATCTAAGACTCAGCTTTTTCTTCTTCTTTGATTCCACCCACACCCCAACTTCCTCTTCTTCTCCAATTCAACCCCCCGCGCTCATGTTCTTCTTAGATGTACCAAGATCTAACTGTTGAAGATCTAAGCAACAACTTCGACAAATGTAAACAGCCGCCGACCTTGGTGTTGCCATCATCCCACGCCGCCCTCACCATCTTCGTCATCCTCAAGATCTGACTGGTAAAGATCTAACAACGTACGAAGGAGATTTGATTGAGGTGCTTGATGGGGAGCAACATCGATGAAGATATGAAGCTGTAGACAGAATGAAATTGACGAAGGTGGCAAGGATGGAGGACGAAAGCGCCGAGGATGGAAAATCGTGGTGGCGAGGAAAGAAGTGACGAAGACAGAAGACAAGGATGACGGGGAAACATGGATGGGGCTGTGAAGAAAAGTAGAGGGGCATTATGGGAAAGTCAACACAATTTTTACTTTTTCTTAGAGTGCGTGTAAAGTCAAATTGGGAAAGTTATTTTTGGACGGAAGGAGTATTAATATTTTTATTACGTCCAATGTTTTATTTTAAGTATGATAGTTACTAAGTACGTAGTATTAAATAATGTGCAAGGGGCCTAAATTCTAGGACTAGTTGCTAAGTAATGTGGTAGTGAGTCTAAAGTCTAGGAATAGTTACTAGGTAATGTGGTAGTGGGCCTAAATTTTATGGATTAGTAGTTATTCGGCTTTTATAAATAGTGACGCTCATTATTTGTAGGAGTTATCCACAAAGTTATTCAATACTTTCTCCATTTCAAAAAGATTGCCACGGTTACTATTTCGACCTCTCGATAACTTTTGTTTGTTTACTCGTTTTCGGTGACCATTTGATAAAATAAAATATTCTTGTTGCATCTTGTTTTGTAGAACTTTTGATGTACTTTTGAACAGTGTAATTTATACCTTTTATTTCTCTACCAATTTGTAAATAAAATGCTATTAAAAATGATATTTTGCACGTTGTTCGAAATGTGGGGAACATTTTGGGACAGAGGGAGTATTTATTATTGGAGATTCTCGTTGGCTTTATTACCTATATGAGTTTAAGATTCTGCTCATATTTTGTTAAATATTTTTCTTTTCTTTTATATGAAGTCAGAAGCTAATTTCATAATTTAATAAAAACTTTCCTTCATTTACTCTCCCTGCCACTCTTGAGTTCTATACTTCTATCAGTATCTATGTATGTATGTAAGACGGGTGGATGCATGCATGTATGTAAGATATTGTAGTTTTGCTCGTACGGCTTCTTATGGTATTACTTGTTTCTTCTGAATTCTGAGTTTCTTATGGTAGTTTTACACCTTTGCATTTTATGGCTCTTTGAAATTGGAGCTGGGGTTCGACATGGCAACTGGTGCTTGATTGGCTCCCGTGTTTGTGTTTCTGGCTCATGGCTTATCATGTCACTGCTAGCTGTTTTTAGAAACAGGAGGGATGTAGTAGTCCTGTACAGCTTTCTAAGGTTTGTGCTTAAGTAAATTCTGAACCTAATTCCTACCTTTAGTTCCCTTCCTGGTTTTTATTGACTCGTTTAAGCAGTTTTTGAGCCGTGACAAGGATGATGGTGCCCGGCGCAGTGCTGTTTCAGGCAAGAAGGTTAGCAATTTACCCTCTACATTGTTTTAATTTTTTTTAATCGATGATGTTGTTTCTACCAAGAAGGTTACTAATATGTAATATACTCCGTAATTTTTATTTCATTGATGATCAATGTTTGTCCAATTTGTGTGCAAAATGTCAAACTGGACAAACTGTTGTAGAGGTAACACATTATTAGAAAATTAAACAAATAAAAATATATTTTAAAATTGAAATATACTTCTATCAGAAGGTATAAAATTTCAAACTGTGTATGAACTCGTGCGAAGCATGATGTTAAATTTAGTGGATCATTATTTTCATTTAGTATATTACACTGAATTTCTTCTCTCCGTCCCTGACATACTCCGGAGTTGGCAGCATTGATCATGCACATAGTCAATGTTAAATCACTTTAAAAATAGAAACCTTGTTCTCCCCCAAGAAAATGGAATTTTGTCAATATCATGGTTTTCAACTTTCAGATTCTCTTGAAGCTTGAGAAAACAAAGGAAGACAAGGTAGCGGAGAACAAAAGAAATGAATTGCTCAAGTTCTTGAATGCAAGTTACGACTGATTGTCCGCGGTGATTTGATGTTCATCTGTTTCTTTTTGTGGGTGGAGAGATTGCTTCAACTCTTGGGTGATTCTCAGGGTCTTTCCCTTGATAGGGTCAAATCATTTACTTACTGAATGGTAAAATCATTTGCTTCCTTAAGGTTTCATCGCTCTCTTCTGCTAGTCTCTTTCATAAAATGTGGCAACTTTAGCAACTCTTAGTTTACAATGACGCGGATTACATTCGTCGGTATTGTGGGTTTATGGGCCCCTTAGATTGAGTTTATGAAAACATCATTCGGTTTCATTTTTAATGAGGGTGATATAAACGTGTGGTCCTCAAACTGGAAAAAAGCTTTAGATAAACAAACTAAGGTTAAAGAAAAACAAACTTTATTATTTTGTATCACAAACTTGGGATGTTTACATATCCTTGTTTGGTGCTAGTAAACTCCTTAGTACATGGTGGTACTAATTATTCGTTTGGAATGGGATGTTTGGCCTTTAGGATTCTTGTTTTTGTTACTAGAGTGATATACACTCCTTGGCACACTTCACATCAATAGTTAGTAGGAAAATCAAAATGTGTTCAAATGGGTGTAGTTGGAGTTAGGGTTAATGAAACTGTTAATACTCTTTTAGATCTATCGACTTTTGGTGCTTTATGTAATTGTGTTGAACTCTCTCTAATTTACTCTCATCGTCCGTGTATTATTTTACATCGTGTAATTTTCATTTCTATTCATCCCTAGTAACTATTCTTTTCTTTTTATTAGAAATAGTATGATGTTCGTTTTGTCTCCTGAATTTGTACAGCATAAAAATATGCCGAGGTAAACAGTAAACTAGATAGTGTTAAAGGAGACGGGTGAGAATAAGGTAAGAAACCACGTTGTCAATTATGTCGTTTAGGAAAGAACACCCTTTCTTTTTAAATAGAGAATAACTTTGAGTATATTCTAAGGAAAATTATTTGAATTAATCTAATTTTAACAAGTCTTTCAAAAATATTGCACATTTCATTTTGATGTGTAATAAGTCATTTTTACTGATTTGTGTGTGTGTGTTTTGGGTCATTGTTAAGGACCAAACGGTTAATTTAACAATTTGGAAAGAAATGGCTTGTTTTGGGTAACAAAATAAAAAGTAGGACTTTTTTGAAAGATTAGTTAAAATGGAAAGTACGACTTTTTTGGCAGACTAGTTAAAAATGAACTTCTCAGTTTTTTTGAAAAACTATTTAGGCCATGTTCTCTTCGCCTGATCTGATTAAAATATATTCTAATATAGTTTGATCTGAATGTAATTATATTTAAAATTATTTTTAATTTGATTTGATCGATTTGATTACATTCTAATAAGACAATAATACGTTTAGAGCTGACTATTGCTACTATTATAATGTAGTATTTATTCATATATACACTATATAGTTACACACATAGAGTCAATCCATGGGGTTCGAAGTTGGGTGAGCTTCTCATCCAGAATTAGGGGGGGTGGAGGGGCTGCCAAGGCATGTCCACCCGGCAACGTACCGGCGACGAGCTATGCTGACTGGTGTTGGTGATCGCCAATCTAACTGTCAAGATCGGTGCCCCTTGCCCCCAATGACGGCATTTTGATTTCAAAAAAGAAAAATGCTTTAAGTGACACCGCTCGTCCTAGGGATTTAAATACAGAGTAATTTTGTACCGTATCTCATTTATGGAGAAATTTTGAAACGAATGAAATTTTTATTGATGTTAACAAAGCAATCTTTATCCGCTAAATTTAATATCTTATACTCTGTAATAATCACACTTTGGTTTGCTTTAGTCTTCTAAGACTAAAATAGGAATGTAATGGATGTGTGGTGTTAGAGTATGTATTGGCAGTGTGTTAGAAAAGTGAGGACAATGTAATATATTAACGTGATCAGTCAACCATTGGTGATTTGTGGTGACACTCTAGTGGCCGGTGGCGGCAGATGGCAGTGTGACGGTGATAGTGGAATAGTTACAATGTGACAATATGGTGGGTGTGACAGTGTCAAATGGCAATGCACACTCCTATTTTTGTCTTAAAAGACTTATGACTCCTATTTTAGTATTTTCATAGTTTTTTTACTTTTGTCTAAGAAGTTCTCCCGTTGAATAATGTAAATCATTTGGGGAGAGAGAGTAAGGCTGCATTCCTTTCTTTTTTTATTTGATGTGACATTTTGAAGATCTGATCTGGTATGATTACAAAAGTAATTAAACTGATTTTGATATGATCTAATCTAGTGTGATTATAATAAAAATAAATGCTCCCTCCGTCCCACAAAAAAGTTCCCATTTTGACTATAAATTGGTCAAACTGTTGCACACTTTGACCCTAAATTAAATATAATCTAAATAAAGAAATGTTAAAAAAATTTGAGATATCAAAACTAGATCTTAAGTTGAATCTAATTGTATAAAATTTATTTCATAATTCAATATATCTTTCTCACAATTTATAGTCAAAGTGTGTAAATATTTGACTAAATACTATTCAAAATGGGAACTTTTTTGTGCGACGGATGGAGTAATAAACAAAAAACTATCTAAATGGAATGATATTTTTGACAAAAAAACAGATCCACATTTTAATGCGGAGTAATTGGCTTTCATAAAATGATGTTACCGTGTATGTCTATACGTTTTTGTCTGCACTGCCGATCCGCCGCCCTTCCGCCACCATTCTACGGAGTATCTGATATCTCGCTGAAGCAACAATGTCGGCAAGGGTATTGACGGTGGCGTTGGACGGGAGCGGAGACTTTCTCACGGTGCAGGACGCTATAGACGTTGTTCCACTAGGAAACTCGTGCCGCTGCGTGATTCGGGTGGCTCCGGGCATCTACAGGCAGCCTGTTTACATCCCCAAGACCAAAAACCTAATAACCATAGCTGGTCTCCGGCCAGAAGACACTGTTCTGAGCTGGAATAACACAGCCGCCAACATCGATCACCACCAGGTCCCGTCCCCTTGTGTTGATATTTTTGGCAATGTATTCGTATGTGCCGGTGGATCTATGAAGTATTCATTTTTTGATATTGGTGAGATTAATTGTATTTAGCCGTCAAGGGTAATTGGAACTGGCACATTTGGGTGTGGGAGCACAATAGTAGAAGGAGAAGATTTTATTGCTGAGAATATCACATTTGAAAACTTTGCTCCTGAGGTGACATTTCTTTCCTTCCACTTGTAATAGTCTTCTAGGCAGATGCTCTTAAAGTTCTTACCTAATGCTACCTTTGTCCGGATTTAGTTGTCTACTTTCTAAAATGCCTCAAATTTAAGAAATGAAAGTAAAATAACAAAAACACCCTTGAGATCAACTTATCTTCATTGATGGCAAGAATGCTAATATGCCAATTATGGGTATTTTTATAACACTCAATAATTTGTTTACTGATTATAGTATGTGGACAATTAATTTCGTATATTCTAAAAAAGAAAAGTGGATAACTAAATTTGTATGAAGGGAGTACATTAGAATTATGTTCCCTAAATAGTATGAGCTCTAGGTAATAAAAGTAACGCACTCCAGAAATTTGCATACAGCAGGGATCAGGGCAAGCAGTGGCAATCAGAGTGACTGCAGATAGATGTGCTTTTTATAATTGCAGATTTCTTGGGTGGCAGGTATGTCGTTACTATACTGCTGCTGTTAGTGTAGAAATCTATGGGAACTGCATAGCTGCTAGCAATGAGACTTTTTTGACTTTTGGGTTTTATGATTTGTGCGGATACGGATATTGGGCTGTGAAATCTCTTTTCTGGCTAAAACCTCTACAGGACACTTTGTATCTACACTATGGGAAACAATATCTGAAAGATTGCTACATTGAAGGAAGTGTGGACTTTATATTTGGTAATAGCACTGCTTTATTGGAGCATTGTCATATCCATTGCAAATCAGCTGGTTTTATTACTGCACAGAGTAGAAAATCTTCTCAAGAGACAACTGGCTACGTGTTCTTAAGGTTTGTGGCTAGCTGGTACTGAATTTATTATTGACGTTTGAAACTCCTCAATGATTTCCTTTTTATTTTCCATGATCGCCTACACTACACTTTCCTTATTCCCTATTTTGGCAATGGATAGTGGTTCATACTATTTCTCTCTCATCGAAACAAATCTAACCATACACTTTTTACTCTTCGACAACTTTCTAAAACTCCGCGAATGTCAAACCATAAGGTTCTTTATGGGATGGAAGGATTATATATATCATTTGACATTTTGACTAAAGCCCGTTTCGAAGGATTACAATTGACAATACCTTGAACTGGGAAGTGTAGTTTATTATAAATGGCTAATGTCAAGGTGCAAAATGATGTCTCGATATGTCGTTCATCCTACAGTATTCTGTGTTTGGTTAGAAGCTTTCGTGGGCTGGAAAGTTTGAGTTGCCCGAGATTTAAATTTCCTTATCGACATAGTCCATTCCACACTAAATAGACAAATGTAACTATGTTTTTCTAAGTTGCTGCCTTTCCAAGATTCCATTTGGGAGAGATAATCAAATTCTGGTTCAATTGAGCATGAAACTTTTATTTTCCATGCATTGGCACACCTATACTTTGTGTGGTTTGAGTCATAAAGCATTGCACTTGGTGATGTACTTGGCCAAGAAATAAGTTTGCTGAGCCACAACGAATTGGCAAATGGGATGTGCAATTACACCTCAATTGATTTTTCTGGCACTTACTGTTGAAGCCAACATAGCTGGTTAAAAGTCATCCCTTCCATTCTCATGATGGTAGTTATAATGCCACTTTGACACACTATTCAATGCTTGAAATCCATTCATTCAGATCATGTTAATGACAACCTAGTACAATCCGATCTTGAACATGATTCATTGATGGTAATCGAACACCAAATTACTTTGATGAAGGTAAGGCGTATCCAACTGGACCTAGATCTGCTTGTATGTGAGCCAATGAGGGAGATGAGTCAAATGACTATGTTAGCTCATATGGGAGAGACAACCTTTTGCCATTTATTTTTACTTGAGGTGGATCTAAACTCATAGCGGGCTGCTTGCCTAAATCTGGCCTCATTTGTTTAGTGGAGTCAATCCCTAATCAGAACAAGAAAAATAAAAACGGATCTGAAGAAGAAGACTAACATGCAGCTGTAGAAGGGGGAGACACATGACTGTTTTAAGCTTCCATAAGGTTATAATGTATGGTAATTGATTTGTATATTACTCATTCTTTAGTAAGTTACTATTATTAAATAGTATCTCTTCTTTTTCTATGACCAAATGAGTATTACTTTGAGAATAAAAACATGGTAACCATATTTAAAGGAATCTTCTATATTTTAGCCATATTTAAAATATAGTTCTGTTTAGTAACTCCATATACTATAAATTGTAAAAGGGTTGCAAGACAACTATATGACAAACTTATTGTATATTGAATATTTGTCATGTGTTCTTCTTGACTTATTATAACGGGATTACAATCGAATCACTGGAAACTATTTTTCTTTTTCAGATAATTCTGATATTATTTTGAGTCACTAACCTATGAATCACCTCACTCTGAATTTTGTGGCTTTAATAGTTGTAATGAATTTCATCCTTTTGAATATGTCAAATATGCTCCTTCATTATTAGATCAAAATGTCTTAATATTTTTCATTTATACCCAAAAATTATGCCTTTCTTACGACGAGCATTTTAATCGTTTGCTAATATATAATCAGTCTTTGGGTTCTCAACTTCTCATTGCTTTTATATAATTTAATATTATTGCTTAAGACAGAGTAATGCCAATAGTTTGTCAATCCCTTTCAGTCTTTTTTGTTTGGTTGGGAGCTTTCGTGGGCCGGAAATCTAGAGTGGGTCGAGGTTTAAAGTTCCATATTGATCAAGTCCATTCCACACTATTGGCCATACATTGTTCTTAGTTGGTACTTTTTCAAGATTTCCTTTAGGGCCGGTTCAATGGAGCTTCAAACTTTTATATACCATGCAATCATGCATGTGTGGACCTAGATATCCTTCCTATACTGATGCACAAACCAATACAACAACAAAGCCTTATCCCACTAGGTGGGGTCGGCTACATGGATCAAACAACACCATTGCATCCTATCACGTATCATATCTGCTGGGAGATTGTTCACGCGAAGGTCTCCCTTGATCAATGCTTGCCAAGTCCTCTTAGGTCTACCTCTTCCTCCAGCCACATGCCTATTCACCATTTGATCAACCCTTCTCACAGGATGCTCTATTGGTCTTCTCTCCACATGTCCAAACCACCTAACACGAGTTTCCACCAACTTTTCTACAATATGTGCTTCTCCAACTTTATCTCTCATATCTTCATTCGTTATTCTATCCATACGCCTATGACTGCTCATCCAACAAAGCATCTTCATTTCCGCCACACTAACCTTGTGTTCATGTTCACCCTTTGCTACCCAACACTTTTTCCCATACAATACAGTTGATCTAATAGCAGTACGGTAAAATTTTCTCTATAGTTTTAAAGGTACTTTTTTGTCACATCTAAAGGCCAAAGCACTTCGCCATTTTGACTAACCGGCTTGAGTCCTGTGATTAACATCATCCTTTACTTCTACATTGTCTTGAATGATACACCCAAGATATTTAAATCTCTTTACTTATGGTATAGTATTTTCTCCAACTTTCACCTTGATGCCTTTTGGTTGCCAAACTTGCACTTCATATACTCTGTTTTAGTGCGACTTATACGATGACCCTTGGTGTAATCCTACACAATGTTCGAAAAGGCGTATTGCGGTTTTGAGGCGTTTTCATTTCATGGCGTAAGGCGTAAGCCTTGAGGCGTTTTGGGGCGTAAGACTCAATTTTAAATTGAAAAACATTCACAAAATAATATAAAACCAAAGATAGAACATAATGTATAACATAAATAATCCAAAAACATGAAAAGAGTATATTGTCAAAGCAATACATCGCAAACATAACAAAGTCTAACATGGAATCACACATAATTTTGGTCGAAGTGATGAGCTTAAATTGAAGAATTGAAAAAAAAGTTCATCAGTGTCTAACGGCTTGAAATTAGGATCAAAAGATGTTGCATTTCCTTCATTCTCTTCCTCGGAATTGATGAAAAAATCATCTCTAATAGGATCTCGAAGAATAATATCATCTTCTTCATCTTCTTCAACTTCATCAATAAGCTGTAGTGCTTTTCTTTTCCCAAGGCGACGCCTTTTTGAAGGATGTCCTTTATTTCTTCCTTGGCCACTTGGGTTGGTGATTGTTTCACTAGCAGTATCACCTTGAGTATGAACTTCAGGACCATCACCATGAACATCATCACTCTCGACAATCATATCATCTTCATGAACAACCCACTCATCATCTGAAGGAATTTCATCCATCACCAACGGATTTTCCTCAACTTTCAATGATGCTTTCTTCATCCATTTACTTTTCAATCTTTTGTTGTACATCACGTAAACCATTTTATTCAAATTCTTGGTATGCAAGCGATTTCTCTTCTTCGTATGGATCTACAAATTAAATATGTGTAAGTCGATGGATCACAAAACAAAATGTAGGTATGTGGATATGTATACCTGATTAAATGTGCTCCAATTTCTTTCACACGCAGATGACGAACATGTAAGACTTAAGATTCTGATCGCACATGCCATTAGTTCAGGAGTCTCATCTCCATATTGGGTCCACCAATCAACTATATTATTTATAAAAAAAAGAATTTAATAACAATATATATATATATATATGTATATATATATTGTTTAAAATCGGTAATGATATTTGGTAAGAGCAATTTACTTACCAGGACTCCGTTTATGCACAGTGTTTTGTGCAACGTCATGTCCAAAGAATCCCCGCTTTAGTCGAAAGTCATCCATTTGCAAATGGAGTTTTTCTTGGATCTTTGGATCTGGAAAAAGCTTAGCCATACATCTAAATAATCCTGCCTTCACCTCTGGATTTGTAGACATTTTCGGATCATACTGAAAGCGAGGATTGAGGTAATATGCTGCAGCGTGCAAATCCCGATGCAATTGTAATTCCCACCTCTTATCAATTATTTTCCAAATCTCATTATAAGAGCCAAAGTCCCGCCCTAAATTCTCAGAAATTTCTTNCGCCTAGCATACTTTCAAGTGTAAGATAGGCCGTACCAAACCTTGTTGCCGCAGGACGAACAAGATCTCGTTTGGTAAACCTTGTTGCCCAGAAATATTTATCACGCAGAATTATACTTTGCATACTTTCCTACACCGATGGGGAGTTCCCCTATTATCCCAGTTTGACTTCTCACGCTCGTTGTGGCACCATCGTACATGTCCTTAATCGCACGAATATAAGCAATCCTTACTCCTTTTTTCTCTAGCACCTTCCACAATACCTTTCTTGGTACCCTGTTATATGCTTTTTTCAAATCAATGAAAGCCATGTGTATATTTTTCTTTTCGCTTCGGTACCTCTCCGTCATTCTTCTCACAAAGTATATAGCCTCTGTAGTTGATCTTCCTAGCATAAAACGAATTTGGTTCTCTAACACCGAAGTCCATTGTCTCAACCTCTGTCAACCACTGTGTCCCACAACTTCATCGTATGACTCATAAGCTTGATCCCTCTGTAGTTTCCACAACTCTGAATATATCCCTTATTCTTGTAAATAGGAACCAAAATGCTCTTCCTCCATTCGTTAGGCATCTTCTTAGATCTTAAAATCTCGTTAAAAAGCTTAGTTAGCCACAAAATGCTTTTTCCTCCTAAACCTTTCCAAACTTCAATCGGAATGTTATCTGGGCCCACTGCTCGGCTATTCTTCATTCGTTTCAGGGCTTCCTTAACTTCAGTTTCTCGAATTCTTCGAAAATAATTGAAGTTTTGGTCCTCCTCCCTCGTGTGTAGCCGATCGGAGCATGAGAGATTCACATGCTCCTCATTAAACAGATCGTTGAAGTAGCTCTTCCACCGGTCGTTTATGCTTTAATCGGAGACCAAAGCTTCACCATTCTTATTTTTAATGCACTTAACTTGGTCCAAATCCCGCATTTTTCTTTCTCGACCCTTTGCAATCATTGTAAATACATCTTTTTCCTTCTTTTGTACCCAAGGATTGGTAAAACCCTTCATACGCTCTCTTTTTTGCTTCACTTATAGCCACTTTTGTCTCCATCTTAGCTGTCTTATACCTTTCCCAACTTTCCACATTACGACATAAAGACCATTCCTTGAAGCGGGAACGCTTTACCTTTACCTTCTCTTGCACACTAGTGTCCCACCACCAATATATGCCAAAATTCTTAGAAACAAAATGTGTAGCACAAACTCAATGTCAAACAGTGAAACATTAGTAAGCAATTTGTGGAATAGCTTCCTTAAATGAGTTGAAGCCTACAATGTCAACTAGATTGGCATGAGTACATTTGACTATTGAAGTCCATTGGAAAGACAAATGTTTTAACACCTTGGTTCCCATGACATTGGGAACCAATGTCATGGGATGACCCGGGGGTGCTCCGGTGCCCCGTTCGTAAAATTGACGGTTCCTACCCCCCTAACCCCCCCGGTAAACCCCCCACCCGCCCCGACCCGAACACGCCCCCCCACCCCCTTCAATTGCACCCCCCAAGTTGATTTTGACTTCGGAGTCAAATTTTGACTCCGAAGTCAAAATCAACTTGGGGGGTGCAATTGAAGGGGGTGGGGGGGCGTGTTCGGGTCGGGGCGGGTGGGGGGTTTACCGGGGGGTTAGGGGGGTACCGTCAATTTTACGAACGGGGCACCGGAGCACCCCCGGGTCATCCCATGACATTGGTTCCCAATGTCATGGGAACCGGCCTCATGTTTTAAACTTCAAAATGTCCGAGTTGAGTTGTTCTTTATTCAAATTTTGAAATTCTCTCCCATCCTGTGACCTGGTCACCGTGTTAGTGGTCAAACTGTGTCTCTGGATTTTGACCAGTTCTTAAAGGTGGAAGTTAGAGTGCTTGACTGGATCAGATCATGGCTCAGTTTCCATTTTTTCCTGTATAACTGGCTGGTCTGGCCCGGTTCTCTTATCATTGGACTGCTGAACACAACTAGAGGTCATGAATGCACAATGGGGTGGAACCGGCTGATGTTATGAGAGAGAGTTAAAAATTGTGTTTGGGTTGCACTGTTGCAGTGGACCAGGTTCTTATTTGTTCTCTTGGCTTGCTAAATCTGCCATTAGACTGCTCACACAGTTTATTTTATGAAATTATTTTGTTGGACTACACTATCCTGTGGGTCAATTGGTCATTATTTTTTCTCATTGCTCAAATGTAAAGGATTTGGTGTTTTGTAGGCATGCTCCTTTCCTAAATTTTGATATCTTGCCTTCTCTTTTATATGATTCTCCTCTTATTTGACTGTTTCGGTCCTTTTGAGATGTCCTCCACCTACTCCAAAATGTTTATGCAGATGTGTGATCACTGGTAATGGAGGAAAATCTTATGCACATCTTGGGCGACCATGGGGACCTTTTGGAAGGGTTGTTTTTGCGCACACGTACATGGACCATTGTGTTAAAGAAGATGGCTGGCATAATTGGGGCAAGACTGAGAATGAGAGAACTGCTTGCTTTTATGAGTATAGGTAAAGTCTTTGTTTAATTTCATGAATTAACATATGTCTCAGCATATGAGCTGTTTTTGGCCATGATCCTTTCCCTCGTCGATGCCATGAACCTCTTGCAGATGTTTTGGGCCCGGTAGTTGCCAAGAAAAGCGTGCAACGTGGGCCAGAGAACTAATGGATGAAGAGGCCCAAGAATTTCTGATGCATGGCTTCATAGATCCACATCTTGATAGGCCTTGGCTGGCTCGGGGAATGGGTTCGTGTGTTCCACATTCAGCATAACCCATTTCTTTGGCAGTTTCGTATGATTTCCTAATGTGGAGTTACATAACTCATTCGAAGTGCAATCACAAAATTTTGAAGTCTGTAATATGTATGTATTGATTTGTGTAATTTGTTTTCAGTGCAATATCTTACATAATCAGACTTCTCCATAGCCGTTGAAATGTTTCGTTGTATCTTTAATTACTAACTGAATATTTCCCAATTTTATTTCATTTTCAATGTACGAAATTATATGAGAGCAGAATATAGAGATAATAAAATGAAGAAATCTGTTTTGAGTTCTTCCTCTCTTCTTTTTATTCGTACGGGGAGTACTTATTACAAAACCATCAAGTCTCCATTTATAAGCAATAAATTATTATAAAGATGTGCATTAAATTTTTTATTATTTTTAATTTATTAATTACTTTATGTAAGAAGGTTCGTGGTGAACCTTAGGTTAATTGTAGAAGCATTTTGGTGTTAGAGCTTGTGACTGTGGATGAGTCAATATATTTGATGGCAGTTTTAGAGAAAGCCATTTACCAACATACAAGTTTAGAATACGTAAAGTTCTTGATTATCTAAAGTGTTCATATTGTTCTTGCTTGTATTCTCCTTTATTTAGTTATTTTGTTGAGAGCCAAACTCATGGGCATTTTTTTTTCATGTACACCTTGAGCACTTGAGCTTGTTGGGTTATATTATACATTCACACTTTCTACAAAGAGTTACAAATATAAAGAGTATAAAAAAATTCATCATCATCATTCTCTAATATTGTATTTCCTTGAATTGGTTGTAGAGCAGTTGTTCTTCAAATATGTCTCGTTAACGGTTGATGTTAGCCAAACAAATCCTTGGGATTATTCGAAGAGACTTGTTGCAAAATCTTCACAAGCGATTGAGGATAACTATTATATTGAAAAATCCTTGTTCAAGCTAGCGATTGAAGATAGCTGTGCGGCTCAAGATATTCGTTGCAAAATACAGGTTGAAGTGGTCACTACAAGCGATAGTGGATAGGCACTACAAAATCTAGCGAGTTCTACTGCAAAGGGTTGTTTGTCAAAACTCGTGTGATACTTCAACATGTTCGTGAAACTGAGTGGGTTTGAAATTCTTGAAGATCCTCAAAGTACTAAAGTAGTGATTTCCAAACTAGTATAAAATCTGATTCACTTCAAACTATTTGAAACTATAATACTCTGTAGAGATACCTAGGTTGAAAAAGGCAAGCGGAATCTGTGAAGATGAACATATGAAACTGCCAGACTTCCAAGACGTTAGACTACTCACCTGCAATTACAAAAGATAGAGAAGGCGAGTAGAGTCGCCTGAGCTTTCCTTAAGTGAGTAACGCCTGTTTACCATACCAGTTCATGTGGGCGTTCCTCTCTGAGGATAAAACCACTAACGTGATTGTGTCAGGGAACTAATTCAACCAAAAGCTCAAGTTTTTTGTTGTGGCTCAGGAAAAGTTTTTATATTCTAACACGCCCCCTCATGTACATGTGTGGTCTTTTTTTAGCCTTGCACGTGAAACCTTAAATTTTTAAAATTAGGTGGTGTTGAGTTTCAAACTCGCAACTTCTTGGTCAAGAAGGCTCTGATACCATGTCAAGGAACCAATTCTACAGAAAATGTGTTATTTTTTTCTCTTTCATATGTCTGAACGTGTAAAGAGAAAGAAGAGCATGACTGCAATTATAGGCATGTCGAGTCTTTTCAATTCTTTTGTATTCGCCTCACTAATGGCTTAGAGAGTTACTAGTGATCAATTAATGATCATAAGTGGTACATTATGTTACGTATATGGTCGATTTTTGTCTCGTTATATTGGAGATTGATGGTTTGTTAACTCTGTAAAGTGTAATAAAATGGACTTATTCTAATATCACGCGTAGAATTGTAGAAGTTGGTTCAAAATAGTGCACACGGAGACACTTAGACAATTCTTCGAGACCCCCAAAGCCCAAGGCATGGGGCCCTGAAAGTATGCTATAACATGCGCATGTCTTGACATGTCAAGCCGAGTCGGGCGGCAACACGTGCAGGCATTCATTTTGTAATCTATATAATAGCTTTTAATTAGGGGTGGACACGGTACGATTCTAGAACGGTTCCAGTTCCGGAACTGCCGGTTCCGGTACTGCCACCCCTTGGTACCGGTACCGTGACCAGACCGGCCGGTATCGGTTCCGGTACCGGACCGACCACCCCCAAATTAATTTTTTTTTTGCTTTTTTATTAAATTTTTAAAGTGTAAAATTGTAAATGTGCAATTGTTAAAAACAAGAATGAAATAAAAAATCTAAAAATGCAATTTATAAAGGAAAGAATGAAATAAAAAAATTTAAAAATGTAATTCTTATTTAAATCTTGTTATTTAAATATATCTCCCCCACTCCCCCACCCCCACTAACTTGTTTAGTTGTTTTACTACTTTTTTTGCAGGAATTGCTGCCTTGCTGGAGCTGGTAGGGCTGGACTGCTGGAGGTAGAGGCTGGACTAAAAAAAAGAATAAGGTACCAGAACCGGAACCGGTACCGCCGGTGCCGGTACCGAAAAATGGGTACTGGAACCGGTACCGTGGGGGGCGGTACCGGTACCGGTTCCCGGAACTGGTGGAACGTCCCGGCCAGCGGTGACGGTGGCGGGTACCAGCGGTATCGCTGCCGGTCACGGTACCGTACTGGTACCGTGTCCACCCCTACTTTTAATAAGCTAAAAAATGACTTTGATCATTAATCAGAATTACATCGAAGGATTAAGAATCTTGTGCGAGACAAACTCTAATATAAACCAATCATTTCTTCTACTCAACTGTTTAACTTTAAAAATTAATTTCTCACTCACCGCTTGTTAACAATTTTTTTGTATAACATATCAAAATGTTTGTCTCACTTAAAAAAGAGCACATGTCTAATAAATAAAAACAACCCCATTAGAATCCCACAAAAGTAGGCTTTAAGGAGGTTACGTGTATGCAGATCTTACATGTACTAAAAAAGTAGAGAGGTTGTTTCAACGAGGACCCTGGCTCAAACAAAATAGGAAACACATAAGACAACAAAAACAATGAGTAAAAAAGGGCAAGAGAGGTAAAAGGTAAAACATAAGACACAATTATAGCAAAAAGACTCCACACCTAGAAAAACTACCACCAACAACTACCCAAGCCCAAGAACTCCTAAGGCTCATATATAAATTCTTATCCTGGGTAAGGGCAAAAAGTTCTAATTCTTTCTAACAACCTTCTTCTAATTCTTCTTAGATTTACCTCTTCTCCCACCCACACCCACTATCGTAAACTTCTCGCATATCTACAACGGAGCCTGAATGCTACGCATCCTCATCACCTGACCAAAACATCTCAACCTAGTCTCTCGCAACTTATCCTCTGTAGAAGCCACTCCCAGTTGTCGCTGGATATCCTCATCTTGAATCTTATCCAACTTCGTCCATTAAATAAGAATAAAAATATTAGCGGACACCATTGATAATTGTTACGATAGAGAGAGGCGCAAAAAGGGACTGAATCCCAAAGGGATTTAGTTTGGTATTTTCCTATTTTAGTTTAATTCTTTTTTTAAGAAAAAATAGAACTATGGTAGGAATAGAAGTTTACTTATTTTCTATATCTTCTTCCTTTTTAAAGAGGGTTGAATCTTTGTAATCTCCAAAAACAATTCAATGCAAAATTATTCTCCATTATTAATATTTTCTACATGATATCGGAGCAAAGTTCTTGGTGATCTAAATTTTTTGTCTTCACTCCTGATGGGTGGCACCACCATTAGCCGCCTTTCGGGCCGTTGTTCTTCCTCCAATCCAAATTCCTTACCACCACAAAACCAACAATACCGCAAACCTAAACCCTACCTATATTGAATCACAAGAATCACTACCATTCCATACTCTTTCTGCCCATCACCTTGCCATAGCTTCAAATCCATATTGGTTTGTGGAAAGTACCGCACCAATTGTCAAGGTCTCTTTGGATGCAAGTCACTCCCATCATCCTTAGATGGATGTCCTTCTCAATAAAGAATATGAATCATGAAGAAATCATCCAACAAGGATTGTTCTACAGAATGACAATAATTTCTTCGAGGTGAAATTTTTTTTAAAAAATGGTGTTCAGGATGTTCAAAAATAATGGCGTTTGTCCTCTTCGTTTGAATTTGGTGAAGGTTTGAAAAGAATAGAGTTCCTATACTTGGTCGATTGTTCGGCATATTCGAAGAGAGTGACGTCTTTGTCGAAGAAGAAGAAAAATTATTTGTTGAAGTGTTGAGATGACACTTGAACAAAGATCGTTTGATTATGTGTTGTCCAAGCTGGGCATTCGTAGACCTCGAGCTCTAGCTTGAGGGAAAGTGTTACGATAGAGAGAGGCGCAAGAAGGGACCAAACCCCAAAGGGATTCGGTTTGGTGTTTTCTGATTTTAATTTTTTTCTTGTTTTAGAAGGAAAAAATTATGGTAGGAATAGAAGTTTACTTATTTGCTTCACCTTCTGCTTATATAAAGAGGGTTGAATCTTTGTAATTTCAAGACAATTCAATACAGATTTATTCTCAGTTATTATTTTCTACAGTACAATAATTAAGCTACAAAATGGGTGCTCAATTGCCTATTTTAGCCAAATTTTTGAACAATCCCCCCACATGGATAAACAATCACTTTGGAGGTAGACAATTTCCCACCGTTGAAACCTACAAAGAACATGTGGTTGTGTCCACCTTTGAACATGTCCCTTGTAAGGTATACACTCTTACTAGTTTAATTAAACACTATACTATACCATATGTAAGTCCCCACCAAACGTTATTTCATTCTCATAGTTATCCCTCTTATAATTGTGGGACATACACTTAATTTTGCTGTAAGTCTCAAATCCTTAATTTGAAACGACTAACTTCGGGTATTATTTAATTTTTTGTCAATTCATAAAGTAGATTGACCACAGACCATAAACTTAGGTGTTTTTAAGTTAATTAATTAATTGACTTGTTTTTCGAAAAGTCAACGGCCGCTGATATCAATGACCAAAAGAGTACAAGTTTTTACTACCATGGATTACAAGTTAAAACTGCATGTGGGACAATCCCAATGTAGAGGCACTCAACATGGTCCCCAAATATGAATGAGAGTGTGAGCTTGGGATTCTAATTTAGAGCGCTGGAGATGCTCTTAGGTAGGTGAAATAAACTTTCCCTTGCTAAACACCCAGTCTCTCCTACCAAAAATAAAGTTTACCCTTTAACTTCATAAAGTTTAAAATATTATTGAGAACAAAAATTAAGATTGAAATTTAATTAGAAAAAAAATTATTATGACCCAAACAGATGAAGTATTTGAATTAGGAGAGGTTAACTTCATAATTCATAGTCCCAGAGTCCCACCGGTCAATAGTATCTTTTTTGTGAAATCTTAAATAAGCTAATTAAATTACTTATAATTATTCACACCTTTTTCTATAGTAACTTATAGAATGACATCAAATGTAATACTGATACATCTCATAAATGATGCGATTAATAATAGGTTTATTTACAAACCTCAAATTCCCGACACAACCTTATAATAATAAGGAACGGGAGATAGTAAGGTCCTGTTTGGTATTAGCGTTAGAGATTAGCGTTAGCGTTTTGAAAATGCTATCCGACTGTAGCTTTTAGCGTTAGCATTTTCAGAATTAATAAGCACCATTAAAATTTTATCCAAAACGTTAACGCTAATCGAAAATATTGTTCCGAAACAAAGCCCAAGTCTTACTTAACTAAAGAATATAAGAATGCATTTACCATACATATAAAAGACAACAAGTAACATTCTTTTCCATGTTTATTTTTACATTCAAATAAACAAGTGTGTGATGAGCTAGGCTCAGTCAGTTATATAGAAGTTGAGATTCGGCAAGTTTTCCAACAGACAAAAAAATGTGGACACCAAAAAGGCATGTTGTTTTCAGAGATGGGGTACTTCAAGAAGTGTATCTTCCTCTGCTGTGATTCCATCCTAACCCGGCGTTTCCTATGTTCCCATTTGCTTGCAATGGTTCAATTAATCCATCCTTGCGGCTGCCAAGTGCGTCTCCCTGCATAATACATAATGACATATATCACATGCCCATGTTCTAGTTCATATCCATTGTTGAATGGCAATAGTAACATCTGTGAGACAAAGGAAAATATCCAATATTCTTTAGTCTCAAAAAGATTACCACAGTTTGACTTTTTTGATTAAACTGTTGCACAGTTCGACCATAAACTAAATAAAGTTTTAAATAATTAAATGTGATAAGGATTTGATGTGTCAAAACTATTTTAACATTTCATATTTTAAAGTTTACCTCTTTCCAGCCCATGTTTTCAAGAATTTTTCTGGCATAGCTTCCTGTTCCAAATGACCTGTTCAGGGATTCAGCCATTGCTTCCTCTGGAGAAGCTGATGTGGTGGAAGGGTGTGGATCAGAATCAAATGACTTCTTTTGTCCCAGACCTACCCCGATCCCATTATGTAAAGCTCGCCTCTCTGCAGCTCTATCTCTATACACACGACCTCTGCCCTATAGTTACCAAACGGAAGAAGAAAAGGGAAAAAATGAGATTAGAACAAACATTCCCTGCTCAAGTGAAGAGCACAAACTCCACTCAGATTTGTGTCCATTTGAAAGATGCTTAATATGAAGAACCAACCTTATTAAATGCACTGATCTGCTCAGATGGCAAACATGTATCCTTCTGACCAACAATAACCCTAGGAACTTTGAAGTCATCTCCCAGACTAGAAGCCGTATCTTCCTTGACTAGCCTATCCAACAACATTTGAGGAAAGCGCCAACCTTTTGTTGGGTTTGAGGAATCATAGGTAGATAAAGAAGCCAAATATTGTGAGCTTGGATTCCGCAGTCTATATATAGTGCCTGTGTAAGGGCAATTAAGGGGGAAGACTTCAGTGGCTACAACTTTTAAGATAATACAACCAAGAAATCAGAGCTACAAACTATGGATTGAGAGAGATCATTTGACTCTAGTCATAGTACATGTGGGCATATAGAGAATGGTTATTTCATCTAGCACCTATATTGTTATTATCATTGTTCTAAAAATCCTTGTCTGGGTTATAAGTTCATTTGATTACGTATGATTTTTTTTCCAATTCCAATAGCTAGGTACTCGACTGATGCTATAGAGAGAGAAACTGAGTTTTGCTTTTTGATCAGCCATGCAAAGAGATTTCCACCAAAAAAGAAACAGCTACGTGCTTTTTCAATGTTTCCAGGCCAAGGTTCTGAGCTCCTTTACGTATTTCATAATATGTTTAACAACAACCATAGTTGTGAAAAGCATGCCTGAGGCGCAGGGGCCTGGAAATCAGGCGCCACATAACGCTGCATCATCGAAATTATGTGATGCAATCAGAGGTGATACAAGGCACGCATAGCAAACCAGTTATTCTTCTTTATTGAATTTTTGGAGTACTATTTTGATTTATTGTTTTGAAAAGTACTATTATAAATTTATGCAACAATACATCAACAGTAACAACCCACTTTGATGCAACAAGAGGACTATTCTAAATGTATGATTTTTTATGTTCCCTCACTCCCAATATGATTTACACTTTTACTATTTGAGCTTCTGGATAACTTTTGCTTACTCATATGTTTTCATTGGTCATTTGAAAAAATAATACTCTGTATATTCTTGTCACATCTTGATTTGTAAAGCTTTTGATATAGTTTATAAATATGTAGTTTTTACTTTTTATTTATATACCAATTTATAGATAAAATCATTTTAAAAAGAGTAAATTCCCAAAATGATCCTTTACAATAGGGTGTTTTCCAAATCAATCCTCAATAAGCAATAATTCCCTAAATGGTACTTTACAATTGAGATTTATTTCCTCGGTAGTACTCTGTAAAAAACGTCCATCAAATGACTATTAAGTATGGTGTATTTTGGGATTTTTTATCATCTAAACTATGAGAACGGTGGTTCGGTCATTGAGACGGCAGAATGCTGGCGCTTCAGTGCGGAGATGCGAGAGGCTTACGTTGATAGGGGGAAGTAGGGGAAGGGGTAGACCAAGGAAGAGTTGGAAGGAGGTGATTAGACACGACTTAGGTCTATTTGCCCTTACAGAGGATATGGCCTTGGACAGGAGCGTATGGAGAGATAGGATTTAAGTACTTGGGTAGTTTGCCTTGACCTAGGGGGTGTTGTTGTGTGCTCTGTAGGCCGTTTATGCTTAGTGCTTTTTATAATTTGCTTGCAATACTCTTGTTTCGTATTATTACAATTTAGTGTTTACTCTGTGTGCTTGGTGCTTTATTGCGTTGTTTCTGTGCTTCCCTTGCTTTATGTATCTCTTGTGATCATTTTTATGTGCAGCTTGAGCTGGGGTCTCATGGAAACAGCCTCTCTACTTTTGGGGCGTACACACACCCTCCCCAAACCTAACTTTTGTGGGATCCAACTAGGTTGTTGTAAACTATGAGAACGTTCTCAAAATAGTCTTTTATAAGCAAATGTTTTCCCAACCACCCTTCCAAGGTCATAATTATAATATCACCCCAATTGTCGAAGGACTATCGTCCAAAAAAAATCTCAATTATAAAGTACCATATAGGTAATTATTATTTATTGAGGACTATTGAGGGAAAATATTTTAATTATGAAGTACCACATAAATAATTATTGCTTATTGAGGACCGATTTTTGAAAAACACCTTATTAGAAAGAACCATTTTGGAAATTTACTCTTTTTTAAAAAATAAGATTTTGCACATTGTTCGAAGAGTGTAAATGAATTTGGGACGGAGGGAATAAATCTTTCGGAATTATTTTTAAGAGTTTTAACTTTGTTATTTCATTTTATATGGATATTAAACTTTCCTAAATTTGAATTTTATGAATTACAATATATTATGTAATATATTTATATTAGTGTTACTAATGTACAATAATTCTCGTTCATTACACATTGTCTAATTATCGCCCAGGTGGTCGACCGCCTAGGCGACCATGACAACTATCAACTATTGGAAAATGAATCCAGAGAAAACGCAAACCTGATCTGACTCGTACCAGATCAAGATGAACTTCACAAATAGGAGCAGTTCTGAGAAGCCCACTGCTGGAAGGCATAGATGGATGCAGCTGGGCAGAGCGTTTTATTAATTGCCCAACAAGCATGGTCACCTTATGTTTTTTCTCTTTCTTTTTCCTTCTCCCTTTTACCAGTGACCAGTCCCACAAATTGATCACATGTACATTTGAAAGAAATGAATCTTCTTCTGGTCGAATAACTTGACCATACTGAGCTTGCCATTTTTCTTCATCTAAAGAAGGACCTGCTTTACAAAAAATAGATGTGGCAGGTGAAAATGTAACCCAATCCGAAATTGTTAGCAAATTTCACTAGTGCTAAAGCAATAGGACATATATGTATCCTTCTCTCCTTGAATGTACTTAAAAATTCTTCTTCTTCCGTAATTCACAAACTAATTACCACGAAAAGTCTACGGAACAAAATGATAGTTGACTCAGCATATCCTCTCATGCATAGATAATTATATACTTCAAGGTAGAAGTGTAGTAATATGAGGATTATACATCCCATCCATTCATTTCATTTTCTCACTGAGCTCCTCCTCTCCAATTTGCCATATTAAAAAAAAGGTAGAAGTGTAGTACAATGAAGATTTATACTTATTTGTTATGAGCAATGACAATACAAACTGAGAATCACAATAAGGTGCAATGCTAGATGAATGAACCGAGCATCAAAATTACGAGCAGCAATGCTATTCAAAAAATGCTACAAGTTGATAAGAAAAGTGAGAAAAGTTGTGTGTATTCTGGAGATTTGAAATTAACTTGAAAGATTTAATGCACAAACCTTCATCTAAGTAGTCCAACACATTTTCATTTGAAGAACAAACTAGATGGTCATCTGGGATCCATTCACCTTCCTCAAGTTCATAAATGTCATCATTTTCTGCATCTTGACAAGATTCAGTAAGCTTTAGTTCAGAAACAATAATTCTCTCAAAATAGTGAAGTGGTGTTGTACAAACCAGCTGTTGATACATTTAAGCCATCTAAGCCATTATTTTCCACACGTGCCATTGAGTCAGATATAGCATGTGTTGACTGATTGGGATAATTTGAAAGGTACAGATCAATCAGTGTGTCTTCAAGCCTAATATAAAGATACAAGTTAGATTAGAGACTATACTACAAATACCACAATTTAAGGGCAAAAGGGAAGAACGATGTAAAAGTACATACCACTCGGAAGGTGGTGGATTTTCTAGCAGCTCATTTTCAATACCACCTTTATGATCTTCATATAAATCCAAAAAAAAGCAAAAAAACATACTAATACCATTAAATCACAGCCAATAATAACAAAGCCGGTATAATCCCAACTCAATTGGGGTCTAGGGGTCAATATGTATGCACCTTTGGAAAACAGCAAGGCTGCTTACATTAGACCTCTGATGCATTGCTGCATATACTAACCAGGACTTTAGATAAAGCAAGATGCAAGGGAAGTTTTTATGTGTCATTTTGATTTAGTCCATTATTTACCTGAAGCTAAAACATTGGTCAAATACGACTATTTTAGCTCCATTGGCAGCCAGTTCATTAAGAATTAAAAAGGAAAGGATTAACTCCAAGATCCAGAAGGTCAGGTGCTGAAAATACAATTATATGATGGAACAAAATAAGCGCTTAGTTTTGTTAAGTGTCGATGTTTATCAAATTTGAGTCTAATATAAATGTGGAAGGTAAACCTCACTTTTTGAGAATTATTTTGGGTGAACTAGACAAAATTTAACATGGTATATGAACCTGATTCGATAGTGGTTTCGTTTGTCACTCACCGTTTGGGCAACCTGTTTACGGATGATTTTGCCTATTTGTCCATCCTCCACCCTTTTAGTTACTTAGCTCAGTTTGAGCTAAGGCATTGTGTGTATACGAGTTTGAGGTAAATCTCACCTTTTGAGTATTCTTTTGGGGTGAGTTAGACTAAATTTATTAAGTTCCACGTAAATGACTTCGAAAACAAGAGTAACAAACACGTTCTATGAAATACTACGTAAAACATGGATAGCATGAACAACATAAAGTGCCAAGGAAATGACGGGTGAAGCCGATTCACTATTATATATGTTGTACCTTAAAAGATTAAGGCACATCAGAAAACATCTTGTCTGCACCACTGGAAAAATTAATCACTAAAGGAGTAAATGTAAATGCAAAAGATTATCAACTAATGATTCACATATTGAGGTCATTCAAAACAATGCACAATAATTCAATCAAAAGTTCTTGAACACAAATTTATCTCAAAGAGCTTAAGTAAATAAGTAACAAAACAAAAATATTCTAATGCCAAAAGTTCTCTTGGAAAATTTAAATAACAAAATTGCTGACCTTCAGAACTTTCATTACTAATCGGTCCTGCTTCTTTAGGACCAAATTCATGCAATGATGCAAACTCCTCTTCCTTGTGACTATTGGCACATGTATGTGGATCATCGTGGATGGCAACATTAGCAGCAGTAGCATCAGAAGTACTCCTTTGAGACTCATCAGCCTGGTCAGATAACCATGAACAAATCTTGACTTTAAGAAAAAATGAAAACTGATAGGATATTAATATCAACATTGGCAAAATAACATGTAAATGAGATTATAAGGTCTAATTGCAAACTCTACCTGATCAGACTCTATCAAAGTATATCTCCCCATTTCAAACTTGTAATATAGGCCGTCTCTACTACTGTAATACCATCCCGCTTGAGGATCATGGTAGAACCCAGTGCTGCATCAATGGAGGATGATCAATGCTTACAATTAAATCTTTGGTGCATTAACAACCAAAAACTACTAATACCCATAAAAAAACACTTTTTTTGTGAGCCACATAGAAGAGAAAACATGTTCGTCCAGAAAAGGGACGAGTCTTTTACAAATAAACCGAGACCAGAAACCATAATCGTATCCAATGGTTTGAAATCGAGTTAGTGCAATATATGAAGGTAGAAATTCAAATGATTTTATTAAATAAAAAGTGTATGGAGTAATTCAAAATTAGAGAGCCCTAATTTGAAAAGGAATTAACAAACAGAAATCTCGAATCCATGAGTAGCGACCGACTTAGAGTGGTAGTAGAGCTGGGTATTTACATCCCACACGAAGCCGTCGTCTGTCCGTTGTGCCTCTTGCTCCGGCGACACAATTTCGTTGATTGCCGCCATTACACTCGCTAGATTTGAGGAGCTATCTTCCGGTTAAGGATGCAGAATCTCACCAGAAGTTTTTAAAAGTTGTTTAATTGTTTTGAAGTTTTTTTAGGAATTCCCGCCCAAAATATTGGGCTGGGTCACTACCAAATGGGCCTGTCAGATGGAGAGGTGGAAAATGAGGCCTAAAGCTTACGCCGTACGCCGGTTCTTCTTCCGCTGTACGCTTCCGGGAATTCGGGAAAAGCTTACGCCGTACGCTCCCAAAATTATCTACAAAGCATACACCAGATTCTTTTCAGATCTTCGCTGCTTCAACATAGACGTGGCGGCTGCTGTCCTCTTCGTCCAGAATCCTCTTCAACGTTGACGTCGCGTGAAACGATAACAAGGACCTCGAATACAGCCGGGATACCTCGAGAATCGACGGGGATATGCACGGACTCCGGCAGAGTTGAACAGTTTTCAAGCAAGGACAGGACGCACAGCAGCGGCGTCCGGTTCGTGTTCGGAAGAAATCGGCGGTGATGATCACACCGACTTGATGGGCTTCTAGGGGATTTTATCTGATGAACTGTGGAGGATCGAGACTTTGGGAGCGGAGATTGTTTTCACTTTTCAGATTTCAAGGCCACAAGGACTAGGGTTCCTTCTTTTTCCCATTTACCGAAGTATTTCTTTTTTGCTTTTGTCAAATTCATTTTTTTTAAATCTATCAGCTACTGGCCTTCTTCTTCTTTATCTTTCATTTTACAGATTTACACAACCATAATTCTTATTTTGTACTTCAAAAATGGTGTTGTTTTGCAATCTAGATTACTTGACCAATGCTCAATATGTGTTTGAAAAATTGCCTCTTATATTTGATGTCACTCCACTAATCAGGTATGCTTTATGCAATCACTCTCTTTTTATTGCATAGATAAGTTTTTTCTTTGCATGTTTTTCTCAAACCTATTTACTTTGAGCAATTTAACACAATGTTTGCTTCAAGGAATCTGGGTCAAGGAATCTGGGTGAAATCTCATAGTCTTTTTTTAGAATATTATTAGATTTTCTCCATAATTTTTATCCTTGCTAATATTGCTTGGGTAATACTTTGTATTTCTCCTTTTCTTTTATAAGCTTTTTAGATTGTATGGCTTATAGCTCTCTTGGTTAATTTTGAAAATGATTGAGAATGATAACATTTTTTAATGCTCTTTTATTGCTTCATGTTTGATTTTTTTGTCAAATAAAAATTTGATAAATCATGTTTATATTTAACTCTAAATTCTAAAACAACTAACAGGCAATTTATTTTGGGACGAAGAAAAAAAGGCAAACATGCAATTTAAAATGGGACAAAGGGAGTATTAGAATATTTAATCTGTATAATGTTTGATTTTAGAAGTACTATAATTAAAAATAGATTCTCAAAAAAGTTTTCACTAATAAAGTGTTTTTCTAAATTTGTATACAATAAGTTTTAATTATTTACGTGATCTTTTATAATTGAGATTTATTTAATATGTAGTCTTTGTAAATAATATTATTCAAAAAATAATTAATTGGGAATTATTTTGGTATTTTTTACCTCCGTACCAGCTAATTTTAGAATAAATTCTTAAAATGATCAATTCTAATGAAATACTTTTCCGAAATGAATATTTTAAATAAACAATGTATAAAAGTAGTTCTTTATCTCCCATCAACATTTATTTACTAGATTCTACAAATCTTCTTTTGCTGGAGTATTTACTACTGCAACACATATTTTAAGCGTGCCAATTAAGAGGGTAGATTTTCAAATCTTTTGAAATGCGTGCCATTATAAGCTTTTGGTGCGTTGCTCAAGGAAAAATTTGGTGCGTTGCTCAAGGAAAAATTTAGTGCATTGTTCAAGGGAAAATTTTGTGCGTTGCTCAAGAAAAATGTATAGGTACCTATTCAATAAAGTAAAATATATTGTGTTGCTCAAGGGTAGCTTTATGTCAAATCTAATTAAATAAATAGATTATCAAATCCATACATTTAATGAATAAGTTAAAAAGTTCGTTGTCTAATTCTTATATATACTCCTTATACCAAATTGGCACTCCCTCACAATCTCATTCTAAAAATTTCCCCTTGATGTGATATGTGATTTGATGTTGCTGCTTAGCGTGGACGTTAGGGGCACCTTCTTTGTTCGACAATAGTTACTATTTCCATACATTTAATGAATAAGTCAAAAAGTTCTTTGTCTAATTCTTATATATATATATATATATATATATATATATATATATATATATATATATATATATATATATATATATATATATCAGATCTTTGGCTCTTTATATTCTATAAAAAACAAATTGAACAGGGAAGTTAAAATTCATAAAAGATTTAAGCACCATAGCTGAATATTGCCAATATTTAAAATAGAAAATGTAAAAAGATAAAGAGTGAAAGATCCATAGATATGAAGTTTGAAACAAAAAACTTAACTGATATCATCATATCCAATAAATAAAGATCCATAGAAATGAAAACACATGTATCACAAAATTCAAACATTCAATGTAGTTTATAACAAAGTTTTCAGAACTTATAATGTAATGGATCCACATTTTGTATTATTGCTTATTTCCTTTTCTTTAATATTTTATTTGATTATATATTATTATGTTAATTTAATTTTATCATTTTCCTTCATCAATACTTTTTCTGATTATTTAGTTTATAATTAGACCGTGCAACACACGGGTACGAGTCTAGTTGATTTCAATGTCACAAGACAAGAGGCGTTTATTGCAACAAACCCCTCATTTGGTAATTGTACATCATCACCCCATTCCCCATTTGATAGTGTTATGTTAGTGCCTTTTAAATTAAAATATTTTCAAATATTATGTAAATAGCTCGGCTGGCTTGTATGGTTTTGGAAATTGCACAAATGCATCCTCTTTTTTTTATCTTTTTGCTTTCCAATATTTTTTCAAAAATCTTTTTCAAATTTCTTTTTTTAAAGTACTTTTTATAATGTTTTAATAATCATTTTTTGTGTTTGCAAAAAAATCAAGTGAAAATGTTTAATTTGATATGGATCAAGTATATGTCATTTAATTTTATTTTTATTCCAAAAACAAAGAATTTTGATTTTTTAAAACATTATAAAAATTGAAAAAAAATTAAAAAACTTTTCTAGGAAAATGAAACAAATAGATAAAAAAGAATTGAAAAAGAAAAAAACCAAATACTAAACAAAAAAATGGGCACGAGTACCCCATATGGTATAGAAAAAGCACTAGTGCTACTCTTCACTAGAAAATGGCTATAAAATGATCAGAGAGAGTGTGGGTACAACATTGTGAAACCATGTGAACTTTAGAAATATGTTTTCAAAACAAAGGGGGCGATAGAGCCAATTTTCCAAACTACAGAGGCCAGTGGAGCTATGGTCATTAACTATATATTAAAAAGACGTTACCTAGTATTCTTTTTATAACACCCTAATTTGTCCATGTCTGCAGCCCCTTTTGGACTAAAGTATTAACTTGGTAATCGTAAAAATTTAAAACATTTCAAACACTTTTATTTATCACAATAATATTTTTCATAACAGAAACAGTACGGAGTTTTCAATGTTGCGGAAGCTTAACAAATCACATTCACAAAACATAATTTATTTATGTTTTTCAATTTAAAACCATCACATCCATCCCGACTATCTTGCATCCGACTGCCTCCAGAATCACGTCACATCATTCTTTCTATTTACCTGGGTGTAGCAAATAAAACATACTACACGCTCAGTGTTGAAACTGAGTAAGGATATCTAATGCATCAAATATCCATATAAATTGAATCTCAATTCATAATCAAATCCTTTGATATCATTCACATAAGGTTCAATTCAAATATTCATCATTCATGATTGTGATATTGTTCAATTCATATCAACACATGTTATTCAATTCGAATATTCAATATTCATTATTTTGACAGTGCTCTTAAATTATTCTTAATCTAAGGTCATATAATAACAATGCTTTTAGCTATTCTTAGTCTAAGGTCAGATCATAACAACGCTCTTAGCTATTCTTAGTCTAAGACCAAATCATAACAACGCTCTTAAATTATTCTTAGTCTAAGGCATAATCCATATTTCCACAACCAGACTCTTAAACTATGGCTAGTTTAAGGTCATTTCATATTGTTAACCAGACTCTTAAAAAGGTAATTAATAACCAAACGCTTAAACTATAATTAGTTTAAGGCACTTATTAACCAGATGCCTAAACTATAACTAGTTTAAGGAAATTATTAACCAGATGTTTAAACTATAATTAGTTTAAGGCAATTATTTTCATACTCTTAATTGTAGTCAGTTAAAGGAAGCAACAGAACAGCAACTACTCATCGTCAGGTTAGGGTATTCCCAAACGAGTGATCCTCTAGTTTGGTCTATGAATCCCGTTCATATGTTTTTATCCAATCACCAATTATACATATCTACACACGCAAGTCCATTCTAATCTGAGGTCTATCTTAGAAGTCTTCTAGATAACCTAACAATATACATTATTTTCTTACTCATCAATCAATACACTTTGATTCATGGTTCATTAATTCATAATCGTCATTTAGATCATGATAATCAAACGAACATATTTATTCATGATTTGTTCTTATGGGAATGATACGTGGACTCATGTAGCGATCTTTGCCCAAGGGTGAAAAGGGAGCAAAGTTATGAGTTGGTACGTCCTTTTGGGGATGATGAGGTTAATTAGGGCAGTCATTTTCTCAATGCACCCTGAAAAATATCCGAGCCCGGATGGTATTAATCTATTTTTTTAACAGAAAAAATGGGATCTTGTGGGTCATGATGTATGTAAGTTTATGTTGCATTATCTGAATGATAAAGTCCTTCCAAAGGATATTAATGAAGCTAACATTGTGTTGATCCCAGAAAAGCATAGTCTGGAGACACTCACTGACCTACGCCACATTGCTTTATGCAATATTATTTATAAAATTGTGGCAAAAGTTTTGGCTAATTGTCTCAAACCAATTCTAGAGGGCATCATTTCACAGACACAATCACCTTTTCTTCCCGGGAGTTTGATCTCAGATAATATTCTATTGACGGCTGAGTTGGGACATTATCTTTGTCGTAAGCAAGGAGGAACCATTGGTTGGGTTTGGTTGAAGCTCGATATGGCAAAAGCTTGTGACCACATGGAGTAGGGCTTCTTGAGATTGATGATGGACAAGTTGGGTTTTAATAGAAGTTGGATTGATCTTATCATGTTTTGTGTCACCACTATTCATTACCGTGTTCAAGTTAATGGGGAATTGAGTGATATTAATATTCTTACGCGTGGGCTTTGTCAGGGTAACTCGTTTAGTCCATATTTATTCATCCTTTGTGCAGAAGGCCTATGAACGTCTTTGTGTACCCACTTTTGTTGTGGGTGGCACGTGGGGATCCTTTAATTAGCCATCTTTTGTTTCTGGATGATGGTATCTTATTTATGAAAGCTACTAAGGAGGAAGTGGGTACTCTCGGAATATGAACGTCTTTCAGGCCAAGTGATTAATTTAATAAATCTTGTATTTTTTGAGTTTAAATACTTTACCTGATGTTTGCACATGATTTGAGGATTTTTTGGGGCTGTTGAGGCAAAGAATTTTGGAAAATATTTGGGGTTGCCAAGGAGGAAAAAGTCTGCTATTTTTTCTTATATTTTGGATTATGTCCGTCAGTGATTGTCTTTGTGGAAAAGGAAGTCCCTCTCTAAGGCTGGTAAGGAAGTTCTCCTTAAGACAGTAGTAGGGCTGAGCAACGGTCGGTTTTGGTTTGAAACCAAAAAAACCAATTTTTTTAAGATGGTTGAAAACCGACCGAACCGATCATAAACTAAAACCAACCGAACCAAAACCAAAAACCGCCCGTACAACAAAAAAACCGACCGAAATACCAACTTTTAATTACTTTTATTTTGACTTTTTAATATAAATTCAAAAAACTAATTCGGCAAGGTAGATTGATATGTATTAAATTAGTTTATGTTATGACTTTTATATTATTGTTATTAATTTAGTAAGGTAGATTAATTTTTATTTGAATATACACTATGCATTTTATATAAAATTGCACTTTTCTTATTAATATGTTCAAAACATTAACAAATAATTTTTTTAATAAGTGAAACAATAAAGTTTTTCATGAAATGGTAAGAAGAAAGCATGTGTGTTAATGAAATATTTTATTATTCTAAAAAATAAAAAATAAATTAAAATAAAATCATTTGTTATTCGGTCGGTTTGGTTTTTTCTTACAAAAAACCAAAAACCAACCAAAAAACCAAAAAAGTTTTTTTACATGAAAAACTGAAACCGAAACCTAACTTTCCGTTATTTCACTTTTTGGTTTTCGGTTTCACGGTCGGTCTGGTTAATTTGCTCACCCCTGGACAGTAGCATAGGCTATGCTGCAATATCCTATGAGTGTGTTCCTGCTTCCCCAATCTACATGTACTACTATAGAGAGACTAATGAATAATTTTGGGTGGGACGAAAGTGGTTCTAATGATCGAGGTATTCATTGGATGTCTTGGGAAAATATGTCTGTTCTGAGGAAATTTGGTGGCATGGGATTTCGTAACATCAGAGTGTTTAATATTGTCATGTTAGGGAAGCAAGGTTGGCGCTTTCTCACCAACCCTAATTCTTTAGTTGCCGTGTTTAAAGCGAGATACTTTCGCACAACCTCTTTTCTGGATGCACCAATGGGCATGACGCCTAGTTGTTGTTGGAGAAGTATCCTTGCTGCTCAAGATCTCATCCAAGATGGCATCAGACCATGTATTGGTGACGCAAAGAAGACTTGATGAGGCAATTCCTATTCTGGCCACGGTAGGTAATGACGAGTTGGCCACAACTTTGGTGGCTGATTGTATAAATCGTGTAGCAGAAACCTGGGATGTGGATAAATTGAAGAGACTTTTGATCCCACAAGATGTGGCTCATGTCTTGAGGTTACCAATTAATTTGAAAAGGTGTGATCATTGGTTTTGGTCTGGTGATTCCCATGGAGTTTATTCTGTGAAGAGTGCTTATTGTCGTTTGATGGAGGAAGCTACACATGTCTCTCCCTTCACGAGTTGGGGGAAGTGTTGTGACTATTTCCCAAAATTGTCCAGCCCAAGTTGTTTTTTTAAGGTGCATGAATTAGCATTTGGAAAGACAAATGTGGTGATTGGAATTATTGCATTTGGGAGGCTTTTCATTTGTCTTAGGTGGCCGTTTGAGTTTTTAATTTATTGTTTTTCTCCTATATTTAAAGCCTTGCATAGGCTTTGGAAAAATATGGTGGGGCTGGCACGAGCAAGAGAAAAGAAAGAAAAAAATTCTAGCCATGTGTGCTCTTTTATGAGAGAGGTTGTACAACTTGTTTTTCATACAATATTTTAGGGGTTTTTCTTTGTACCAAAATATTGTATGTGGGTCTAGGATTGGTGTTGTAATTCTTGACGGTTAAGTTGTACTTGCACTATTTTTATAGTGGTGGTTTTACCTCTATAAAGAGGGTTTTTTCCAGTTTCAATAATCTTTGGTCTCATCTCTGTTTTTTTCGGCTTGCGGTTTCTTTGTTCTTCGATCGACTACTAGTTTGTTCCTTTCGTTGCGTGGGAAGTTTTGTGCTAAATTTCCCAACAAAGTGGTATCGGAGCTTTCGGGTTAGGTTCTGGTGTAACTAGTAGTTTTCGAGGATGTCGAGTTCGGGATTGGGGTCTCACTTTGCCGTGCCTAAGTTCGATGGAAAGAGTAGCTTCACTCTTTGGCAAAGAAGGATGAAGGATCTCCTTGTGCATTTGTGTTTGTCTAGAGCCCTTAAAGGAGATGAGGCAAAGCCGGAGAAAATGAGTGACAATGATTGGCATGAGTTGTGCGAGAAGTGTGTCAGTACCATCCGATTGTGCATTGCAGACTCTGTCGTTAATTGTGTTATTGACGAGGAGTCTCCGGCGGCGATATGGGAGAAGTTGGAAAAGCTGTACATGGCGAAAAGCTTGACCAACAAGCTTCTTTTGAAGAGGCGGTTGTATCGGTTGCGGATGGAGGATGAGGACACCTTGGTTGGACACATGAATGTGTTCAACGGTTTAATAGACGAGTTGAAATGGGTTGATGTTAAAATCAGTGAAGAGGATCAGGCATTGCTTCTCCTTAATTCTCTCCCGGATTCCTATGAGATTTATGTGGATACAATATTGTGCGGGAAGGACACGATTACCTTGGAGCAGGCACAATCAGCATTATTGTCATTTGATGCAAGGAGGAAAGACAAAGCTGGGGTACAGAGTGACGATGCAGTCGCGGCGATTGCTCATGGTGGTGGGAGAGGTCGTTCGTCTATTAGGGACTACAAATCAAAGCACGGAAGGTCCAAGTCCCAGAACGCACCTAAGAATGAGGTGCGTTATTACAAGTGTGGCGAGCTCGGGCATATTAGGAGGGATTGTCCTAAGAAGCGTGAGGGGAAAAATGATGCCAACTTGGTTCGAGATGGAGAGACTGGTAGTTCTCTCGGAAATGAAAGTGACGAGTTGTTCATGGTCGCTAACAGTTATGATGAAGCTTCCGGCAATGATTGGGTGCTTGATTCTGCATGTGTGAGTCACATGTGTTCAAGGAAGGAACATTTAAAGACACTTCAGGAAGGCATGACTAAGATTTTGAGGTTAGCGGATAACTCGACGGTGGCGGTCATGGGTGTTGGAGTGGTGAAAATGAAAATGTTCGATGGGGTAGTGAGGACTTTGGGTAATGTGGCGTATGTTCCCAAGTTGCGGCGGAATCTCATCTCACTTAGTCAATTGGACTCCGAGGGGTACGAGTACAAGGCTCGCAGGGGAGTGGTTAGAGTGACTAAGGGTAGCACAGTTGTGATCAAGGGGGAGCTAGATCATGGTTTGTATCGTATGGTGGGTCATACGGCTAAAAATGGCTTAGATCATAAAAGTAGTCGTCGTGTCTCGTTCGTGGATAAGGCGACAATGGTTCATGGCTTCTAGGTTCTTGCTGAACACACTTGGGCTCGAGGGGGAGATTGTTGGGACTATTTCCCAAAATTGTCCAGCCCAAGTTGTTTTTTTTAAGGTGCATGAATTAGCATTTGGAAAGACAAATGTGGTGATTGGAATTATTGCATTTGGGAGGCTTTTCATTTGTCTTAGGTGGCCGTTTGAGTTTTTAATTTAATGTTTTTCTCCTATATTTAAAGCCTTGCATAGGCTTTGGAAAAATATGGTGGGGCTGGCACGAGCAAGAGAAAAAAATTCTAGCCATGTGTGCTCTTTTATGAGAGAGGTTGTACAACTTGTTTTTCATACAATATTTTAGGGGTTTTTCTTTGTACCAAAATATTGTATGTGGGTCTAGGATTGGTGTTGTAATCCTTGATGGTTAAGTTGTACTTGCACTATTTTTATAGTGGTGGTTTTACCTCTGTAAAAAGGGTTTTTCCGGTTTCAATAATCTTTGGTCTCATCTCTGTTTTTTTCGGCTTGCAGTTTCTTTGTTCTTTGATCGACTACTAGTTTGTTCTAAATTTCCCAACAGGAAGTTATGGCGAATTGTGGTGGCACCCAAAGTCCACATTTGTCTTTGGCAAGCTCTGAGGGGTATTCTACCCACTAAAGACTCTCTTCTGGCTAGAGGAGTGGGAGTGAATGGAAGATGTCCTCTTTGTGGAGGGGACTGGATGTTAGAATATAAATAACTGTTCTTGGGCCACAACCACAAGCTTGAGCTTTTAGTTGAGTTGGTTCCTTGACATGGTTACAGAGCCTCGTTGACTAGAAGGTCACGAGTTTTAAACTCAACACCACTCAGTTTAAAAAAATTAAGGTTTCACGTGCAAGGTTCGAAAAAGACTACGCTTGCACGTGAGGGGGCGTGTTAGAATATAAATAACTGTTCCTGGGCCACAACCACAACCTTGAGCTTTTGGTTGAATTGGTTCATTGACATTGGAAATTATTAATCATATTTTCTCTTTGTTCCTATGCAGATTTGGTGTGGCAATCTTAGGTAAAGGGGGTGATCCCGCGGCTTGCAATTCTTTACAGGAGTTGCTTCAGCTTCGATGCCCCTCCTGGAGCTGCATTTGGTGTCTTGGATATGTTGGGCCATCTGGAAGTCGTGCAACACTATTGTGTAGGAGTTTAAAGTGCCGATGCCCAACTCGACAAAGCAGCTTATTATGGGAATGGAGTCTCAATGGGCTAGTAAAAATGAAGGATTTTGATAGCAAGTGTGTTCCTCCCGTCGTGAGGTGGGATAACCACTTTTCATTCAGTTGTGCTCTCTCTAATCCTAGAGGTGTGTTTGTGGCGGGGCTGAGTGGGAGGAGGCAGGGGGTTCAAAACTCACTTTTTGCGGAAGCTTTGCATGTATTGCGAAAAGGCTATAGCTGGCTGAGGGATCGAGGAGACTTTGGTCTGTGCACTTAATAATCAAAGGAAGGGGCTATCGTGGCTCATTTTATCTTGGTTCTATCGTGGAAGCATGTATGGATATGACACTAACCTTTTCTCATTTATCTTTTCACTTTATTCGTAGAGAATTGAACATTGTAGCCCACACTTTGGCTAGATGTTGTGATGTTCAATCCCATTTGTTGGGATCGTGTTCCGCCAAATTGTATTGCTCATTTGATCTCATATGAAAGATAATCTCTTTTTCTTTCAAAAAAAAGGTGAGCCAATTTGTAGAGTTCTCCGCATGCATTCGCTTATGTCAACAAAAATAATTTGAATCATTTTATATGGATGAAGAGTCTAAATATACGGTGAGAGGAATCAACTGCATCTGATGATGTGCTTCTTCATGACAAGTAACCAAGCCAGGACACCATTGATTTATGGAAACTTGTTGCTAATTTCATGCTTGGCTCGCACCATATCAGGCCGCACCAGGCCTTGAAAGACTTGCCTGAGGCTTCAAGAGACTAGGCTGCTTTTGCTATACCATCTACAGAAGTGCCGCAAAAAGGTAATAGCAGAAGACTTGTATGTGCTGGTGGATGTGTAACTAAGTCACTAGCAAGACCGTGCCTATCGAATATTGCTTCGGGCATCGGGCTTGTCGACTAATTATGTGTCATGCCCGATATCCATCAATTAATTTTTTAAAAAATAAATATTTATGATTAATGTACATCATTATTAATAATATTTTTCTTTAAAATATCATGTGTATATACATATATATAATAGTTAAAAATATTTATATAACGCATACCACATATTAGAAAATTAAAATAAATAAAAGTATATTTTAATTCAAAATATAATTTTATCAAAATTCTAAAAAATTTACAATGTATATTAGAGAGTGCGAAGTATGTGACTAAAAATAATTTTAAAAACAGTGAAATAAAATTAAAGGTGATTAATTTTCATAAGTGGTCTCTTATAACAGATGATTTTTCATATTTAATCCCTATTTCTTGATATTACATTCATGGCCCTCGATTGTTTAATATTTTCATAATGAATCCTTTGTGGACTATATGTGGAAAAAATATTTGATTATATTTGATCTAAAGGACTAATTATAAAATAATTTTTAAAAACAGAGAACACCAATACAATATAAAAAATTTGGAACTAAGAATTTATGTATATAATTACTCTAAAAATTAATGGGGAGAGTGAATTTTATTATTTGGTGAAGTGTGACTATCACTCTTATCTTAATACTATGCTAGAGTTACAAATAAATTATTCATAAAATTCACAAAGCTACCTTTTTAACATTTTACTAGAAACAAGATGTATTCAAATAATAAGAATATTTAAATTTAAAATTTAAAATTTAAAAAAATGCAAATTTGTAAAATAGGCAAATTTGGTGAAGTGTTTGTTTGTACCTCTACCGTTTTCGATTTAGAAAATTACAAATGCATAAATAGGCAACTTCATTCCTGATATTCAAAGTTTTCAAATATTATCTCCCCCCGCCCATCGTCCATTTTGACACAAGAAAGCTCCTTCAAAGTAATGGAAAGGAAGAGAAAATCATTTTATTCTGCTCATTCAAACATTCTCAAACCTTTGTACCATTAGATGCTTAAGTTGAACGATCGAATCTTCATTTGCAGAAGATGAAGAAACATACTCGTCGATCTAAGCGGGGTAGCGTTCCAGATTTGCCGTTGACGGTCGATGATAAACACGGCGACGAAAAGAGAGTGCGGGAGTCTGAGATCGAAAATGAAGCTCCTAAGGTGATATATGCTTCTGTTTTTGCTGCCTCTTATCTTTGATTATCATGATTAGAAGAAATTATTGGCTGAGAGATCTGAAATTGCTCGAAAATGAAGGATTTGATTGTGCGACACATTATTAAGCTTGATCCAGTGATTGAATAAACCTACTATTATTCTTCTGTGCTCTTGAATTCTTGATGTTTGGAGTCGAACTTGAATCTGCTCGATTGCTGCAAATATGCTTAGATGCAGGAACTAGTTGATGGAAGCGTCTTTAATTCTTACTATCTAATAAATTCGCAGAGTGAGAATGAGGCTTTGAAGCACACGATGACCGATGTTTCATCAACATCTGGTGCTGATGCCCAAAATATGAAGGAAGACTACAGCGAAAGGTCAAGCAACCAGGTAAGACCTGTGAAATTCACAAATTGTTCTCACATAGTCTCATGTTGAAAATTTATGGCTTGATATCAAGTATCATATATTTCCAGGTTTCAGAGTTGAAGAAGAAACTAGATGTACTATCTCAACTCTCTGCCAAGAAATTCAGAATTCCTGATGAAGCAGATGAGTCCCATGAGATTCACAAATTAAAGGCCCAAAAGGTGATTTTCATTAGGTGAAATGTACTTTATGCTGTGTAGCTCTCTTGTGCTTAGTGTTGGAATCTTTGTTACACAGGTTCAGCTTCAATGCAAACTGAAGCTAGAGTCCATGCAATTCAGGCTATGCAAGGCTTCACTTGAAAAAGAAATTCTGCAGGTCTACACCTGTTATCCCATATTTTTCTTCCAATGAAATATTCACCGGCTTTTGCATTACTAAATCTCATCTCTGAAATCCTTAATGCCTTCACGCCACATAAAGTGCCAAGCTTCTCAAAGTTTCCATGTATGCTACTGCCTGTTTTATATTTACCTTTTGCCATGCTGTACTAAAATCAAAGTGATATTGTACTTTTCAACAGCTTAAAAGAGAGCAAAGGAGAACTGTGTATAAGATGCATGTGCTTTTGGCTTTGAACCAGAGGCAGAAGCATGTACGTTTTCAATGTCTCTATAAGTATAAGATAAACATTTCATCATCCTATGAAACTTTCCTCGACAAAGAAGTTTAAGGAATTACTTTGCTTTTATCTCAGGTTTTGCAGCGAAAGATGGAAGAGGCTCTTGTGGTTCGTAAACAGCTAAAAAGGGTATTGCAATCAAAAGAAGCTGCTACTTGCAAAAGAGCTGGTTTGTTATCCCTTCACACTTTAATCTGGATAAATATGAATCATGATATCTAATTCATCTCCTGCTGAATTTTACAGGTGTTAGAATTGGCCAGACTGCCAGAATTCAGGTATGGATAAAATTTGTTAATTTTATTCGTTGCATCTGTTTTCTGTATTTTCTCACTTGGAAGTGTGTACAAGTAGGGGAAAGAGGAGGTTGGGGTTGGATATTTGATACTGTGGTGATCTTAAATCATAATTATCTCACATAAAATGGTTTTGTTGTTTGCAAGACATCCCTCACACAATGGCACTTTTCAGGGTTTGAAGCATGGTATTGACACCAAAGTGCAGCTGCCTAAAGTAGGTATAGATTATGAACGGGAAACTCAAAAGTGAGTCTTGAACTTGTTATTGTTCCACTCTAATGTGTTCTTTATTTGAATTGCCTTCTATTTTCTTGTTCAGTTCCAAATTTTAATAATTTTGACTTTATTTTGTTAAATTACTTATGTGAGGGCGTGGGGCTTGAAATTAAAAGCAGGTTGACATCCATAGTTAGAAGTACTAGTCCAAATAATGCTTCTAATTGTGAGAAGCCTTTTTGTTCAGCATTCCCTTATTCGTTGCTTACATACATACTTTACATTCTTTATTGTGCTTTTCTCCCTCAGTTATTGATGTAATTTTTGCATCTTATTGATAGAATGATTGATGAGATGAAAAAGCTTGAACTAGAATCAAAGATGATATGGGAAGAAAAACCTAGGTGAGATCTAGCTCTGGCCTGTCTGTGCTCAATTGCAGATCTTTTTTCTTCTTACATGGAAGCTAATTTTTTTCCTTTTTTGTTTTTAAGCTACTCCTTACAGGGCGACAAAGTTTCTGTTACAGAATCAGAGCTAAGTGATTTAAGAGAAGAAATGGCTAAGCTAAGTGGTTTGATCGGTCAGATGAACCTATCAAAGGCACACACCATTCAGAACGAGAAGACACAAGTCAGTGTTTTACTGTTTTCTCACTAGTGATTATTTTGTCGATCTTAGGAATATTGCCTTTTTCCCCCCCTTCCTAAATCAAAGATAAAGATGTAAGCCAGAATTGATTGGCTTTATTCAGTGTTTGAGATTTAAAGGAAAACCCTCAACAATTTCATCTTTTGCCACAATATAGTCTTGATATCCTCCATTCTGAGCAGGTCTCTGCAGCCCACTCTTCAGTGTCGGGGAGTGTGGGAGCCGCAGTCCATTCTTCGACTTCTATCGGGAGTTCTGTTTTAATATCAACCACTGATGCGTCTGAAACTGAGAATTCTGAACAAGCTAAGAATGAGACTGAAAAACCTGCACCGGGCCTATGCTGCTCCTGCAGTAAAAAATCATTGTGCAAGACCCTGAAATGTGGTTGTAGGGCTGTTGGCAGCAGTTGTGGAGCTTCTTGTGGTTGTGCTATTTCAAAATGCAGCAATAGAGATCAGCTTCCGGTCATGTTTGATATTTCACCACAATCAGAAACGGCTGAGAAAATGTTGAGCTACTCCGGCGACACTGAAAAAGCAAAGAGCAGTGATCAAGACACAATGATTCCTAAGGATGACAAGAAGGGTACTCAGATGAATAAAGGTTTTGAATTCGAGAAGCAGCCATTACGTGACATTGGGAACATAACGGTATGCTTCACTTTCTCTTCTTTAACAACCTTGCCTTGGGAAAAATTCCTTCTCTTGCTTCATTTCCACCACTTGATATGGCTTTACAATCTTTCTGGCTCAACTATAATTTAAAAGTATAGTTGAGGTAATGATATGCTGAAAACATGTTTCAGATCAAACAGAATGCCAGGAAACCAGGCTGTTCAAGGAGAGGGCACAAGGTTGTTTGAGCTTGATGCTGTCCCAAAAATTGGCTCTTGTATGTTGTTTAAATGTGGCTAGGCGATCAAATGATCAAATCAAGTGTGAAAATCCCAATGGCACTTCATTTTTTCTTCTTATCAATAGTGGAAAATGCACCAATGAGAGTTTTAGGTGAGGGTGTGAACCCATTGGGCACTTCTACCTGTTTTAAATATACATTACAATTTTTTATATTCACACACACACTTGTTGTGTCTTAAATTTAACTTTTTCATTTGTTTTTTCATGGAGTTAATAAATTTGTATGGATGTAATTTTTGTTGGAAAATAGAAAAATGTGAACCATTCAATGTTTTCTTAAAAAAAAGAAAATTATATTTTGGAACAAACTCGTACATAAAAAAGTTATTTTGGGATAGATAGTAATTACATACATACGGTGTATAATATACTCTATTTGTTTAAAAAAAATTGAACTTTTATTTTTAAAATTAGGAATGAAATGTGTGCCTCACAATCTCTCTTTAATTAAATTTCACGAGTCCCCTTTTTAGTTTTTCAAAACTCTTCGTAAACTTCATGAAGACACCAACGTTTATTTTGAGACGTAGGATCCATACTTGGAATTTTAAAGTTGGATGTTGGAAGAAACTAAAATGAATTGAAAGAAACTGGACGAAGTTAGAAAAAACTAAAAGTTATAAAATGTATGAAGAATTTAACTATAAAAAGTCACTCGATTAAATGATCATCCTAATAATTATGTAAGAAAACTCTAATTTTGCTGAAAAAAGAATTTATTCTTATCTGTGTTTGGGGTGGTACGTTATAAATTTGGATATATATTGTTATATTCTATTTATCATATATAAATTTACCTTTTTAAGTCGTCGTTGAAAGAAACTGAAAGAAGTTGGAAGGACTGGAAGAAATTGGAAGAAACTAAAGAGTTGGAAGTTAATTTTTCCAACCGAAAGAACATGGCCGTATAGTATGTGTGTGTGTGTGTGTAGGCACACACTTTATTGCAAGCGTCTGTGTAAGTGTTTCATTTTTTAGTTTCAAAGAAAGAAGAAATAAAAAGACTATGACGACTTCTAAAAAAGGCTCCAAAGTAGATGAAGGTTGTTTTAACATTTTATATTTAATGCCACCAACCACATCTAGTTGGAATTAAGGTGCTTATATTGACGATGATGATATTTAAAATGTTTTAAATATTGACAATACTAATCATTTCTCATTCCACATTTCAATAATGATAATTACCTTATACGGGGGGTATCGAGCCCATCATATGAGATTCAAAGGCCCTAAGTCAAAAACATACCAAGAACATGATGGCTGGTGGGCCGAGGCTTGGACCTTGGGTCCTTAGGCTACGTGGCCAACTTCGGCCCATATCCAGCCAAAATCCAACGACTAGTTTGTAACCTCATCTAAGATCCTGACATCGACCGTGGATAGTGTTTGCTAAGTAGATGACCTCTTGTGTATATAACCCCTTCATGGGTAGTAAATAGGTGAGCTTGAACTCAAAGTGTTAGGGCACCTTTTCCAACAACATATTTGGAAGACACTATGCACTCAAGCTTCAAACTCTTGTGAGTGCCTCCTCTTCGCCTATAAATTTCCTCATAACCTGAAGTATATTTGTTATGAGATCTAACTATACTAAAATAATGTTTAAGACAAATTTGTAAGCACTACACACCTTGTGGAAAACATATATCGCAAAGTTACTTGGTTGACTTTCAATATCACATATCATCATACATTTTACATCGAATGGACTCGTTATCTTGAATATCACCAGGTATAGTTAACTATGAGTAAATATTGGACAAGTCAAAAAGATTTCAACTTTTATTTTATTTCTTGTTATCCTTTACTCTTATTAATGGCCATTGCACAACCACCCCTCAATAGCCAATTCTCTTATTAATCTCAACTTTGTACATTATTATTAGTATTATCACACTATATTGCACTACAACATTTTTTACTGGGATCCATTATATTTTGATTTCTATATGTTTCGTCGTATAAAGCTATATACCCTGGTATGCAATCAAAGAGAATATTGATGCATGTACAAGTATGGATTGAACTCTCCACTCCGGGGATTCGAAAACCTCTTATTAGCAAGGAAAGTTCCCTGTGAGCCGAATATGGTCAAGTGTACTCTTCAAGCCGTACTTGAGCACAGCCTTGTTGCCTTCTCGGAATCCATCCCCATAGGATTCAGAAGTATCAGATTCTATCTGGTGCTTGAAAAACTCTCCCAGTTTCTTCTCGAACAGCGAACGGTTTCCCTTTTTTGAAGAGGTGGATGATGATGATAATGAAGAGCTTGTCGAAGATGATGAAGACGAAGTAGATGCAGTGTTAATACTAGAACCAGCTATGATTTCAGAATCCAACCACATGTGTGCTAAGACTTGGCAGATGCCTTCTTCCACTTCTGGGCTTAGATTGGGATAACCTGAATATATATATTTGCTAATGATAACATTAGTGCAGCACATTTCATTTCTAAGCACATTTTTGAGTTTTGAGTTTTGGGTGATTGAGAAAATCACCTTTAAGGCGCAGATACGCATGCATCATCTCATGAGCCAAGATGGAACCTGTCAGCAACCTGAACAGGCAAACGTAAAGCTTCACTGTTTTAAGATTAAGGATACTTATCATTTTTTTCCCCCAAATACTTGCATTTTATACTTACTAGCATTTTAACCCGCGTTTTTTTTTCCAATTTTTCTAAGCATCTTTTCTTTTAGATTCTAACTCTTAAGGGCCCTCAGAATGGGAGGGAAAAAAATCCGTGAAATTTCAATTCTAATTTCATGTTTGTTTACATAAGTTGTACGGAATCATTTTTTGAGGAACAATATTTTTTTTCAGAAAGGGGAAAACGACTTTCGTTTGTTTTGGACGGAAGTTCAACTTCCCACTCACTCCTTGAGTCCTTGGATTGCAGGATCATTTGAGAGATGAAGGAAGCAGAGGAGGTTTTACCTTGGAAGACCATATAAGAGGAGGATAGCAGTCACTTCACATCTCCTTATCAGCCTGCAGGGTTCTGTGAACATGTCTGTGATCCTATAACCCCCGATTCTCGGCCTCCTTAAAATCTGAAATTTGTTTCTAGTAAATGACACAAGTCAAATAAGATTTTAGCTTAAGTGGTCGCGGAGAGAGAAGAACCATACACTGCTGACTGTCTGTTCTTCTGACAAGCAAAGTCCCCTTGTTTCAGGCATGTGATGATGGCCCTGGACAAAGGGGGAAATCAAATGTTTCAAGAACCTGATGTCAGCTGTTAAACAGCCACTGAAACAAGATTAAAAAAAAACTTTATTAGCCTCACATTCTTTTCTCCTTCCATGGCTTCATTCAGCGCTTGCCTCTCAACTAAGAGTAATGGAATCTGCTGCTCTACTTTCATATGCAGACCTTCGTAGAAGTCTTGAATTTCAAGATACAATGGCTGGCATTCATGAGTGTCCATTATTGCTGAATCCAGACACTCTAGGCACAGTCTCCTCCCATCATCGAGTATCAAGTATCTCGTGTCTACTTGCTGCATAAACAAAAAATGTTGGGATATCTCAAGCATCACATTCGGTTTTCGTTAGTGTTATTACACTATTTGCAAATGTCAGTTTTAACTGATAAATTTTGAATTTTTTTTCTTTCCCATAGGATAAATGGTTTGGTTTTTTTCACACAGACCTCCATTCTCTCACAACTGCAGCAGCGATGGGTCCCATCATGCCCATGGGAGGGACAGTATTTTTGATGCCAAAAAGGATGTGCTCTATATTCTATAAGACCGGCTGCATTTGAAGGGATCTGGAAACATGTTTGGATTAGACCATATAAGTAACATACAAAATGTCATAATTCAGATTTAGGGATACATCTCAAACGGAAGGAAATATAAAACAAACATATAAACTTTTGAACCACTCTTCTTAATAAATAAACTTTAAATATAATACAGCTCGGGTAAATAGAAGCTTACAAAGTTCTTGCAAATGTCACATTTTGGGTGATGCTGTTCCTTGTAGCAGGATTTATGGTATGGACGATTCTCAGAAACTGAAAACTACATGGAATGATAAAAGAGAAGGAATCATTAAATCACCAAGACATGCAGAGAATCAAAAGAAATGCATTCAAGAACGAAAGAACGATGTTTATGAATCAAGGGAAGTGTTCAAGAAACATATTCAAGAACGATGTGAAATTATTGGCACCAAACCTCATAGTCAGAAATTGGAAGTTCGCAAGCACTGCATTTGAAACATTCAGGATGCCACACAGTGCCCATGCAACTTAAAAATTTTCCATGACCAATTTCTGCGTTGCAACCAGCACAAATCCTATACACAGGTGGATACAAGAATGGAAATGGAGAAAAGAAACTTTGATGACCATTATGCCTTGCTGGTTGAGACTCCATATTCATACTCTCCTGAAGAGCCCTGGCCAACTGTTCGTCTTCCTCAATACTAGCTTCGTCTTCTAATCCATTAATATATAACAAGAACAAATTTAGGCACGAGCATTTTTGTTTAAGAGCATCAACGATCAGTAGTGAGATATTTGGCAGATTTCTGTGTGAATAAAAAAATCCATCCCCACTTGAAACATACGGAGTAAAAGGGTAAAATATTAAAGTCAGAAACAGTACACTATCCATCTTGCTTATACACAGAACATGATCCTGTTTCAAAATCTTCTATACTTTTGGCACATTTGTTTTGCAGGTACCTGTGCACTTCACAACAATATTTGGAATTTGTTTTCTGAATTTCATACCTTGAGGGAGCATATTAGCTTTATGAATATTAAATAATTTTAGGATGGTAAATCACTCAGATCTCAAATGGAGATGAGAGATTTCTCCTCCAACTTACCAATTACTCTTTTTCCCTTATCATCTTCCCTCTGCTCTTGCTCTAGATCATCCTTTTGGTCTTCTCTCTGCTCTTCATTTTGGTATTCCTTGCGATCTTCCTTTTGGGCTTCTTCCTTTTTCTCTTCTTCGACAATCGAGAGTGCAATTGCAAGAGCAACTTCTTCATCATCAAAGTCTGACCTTGCATCCTATGTAAAAGCCCCACAAGTCTATAATCAATATACAATGACATAATACATAGAAGAAGAAAAAAAGGCTGCCAAAGAATTTTTTTACAAAAAAGTTGTCATTACAGCAGAGGATGATCTGGGTCTTTCCCAAACAGTGCCATCTTCCAATCTCCCAAGATGTTGGCCTTGTGAAATCTTCTGCTTACTGCCATGGCTGAAACCTTTGAAAATCTTGGACAGCCAACCCATAAGTGAGCTGCAATCCACCCTGCTTTCGGGCGAATATCGGCCCAAATTTGCAAAAGAATATTTGCCAATTGTACCTGCAAGTGATGATATCCTATGGTCAAGAATCAGAAGAAGACACAACAGAAAAGCTAATGAATTCTCAGTCAATCATTCAAAATTTTAAAAATAATAATAATTGTTAATATTATAATAATCTGGTGGGCAGTAACAATCACTGACAACCCACTAGAACAAACTAATGCAATGATTCTACTTCAAGATTGGTCATTTGTCTAACTTGGGGATTACAGACAAAGAGAACGTTTCAGTACTTACAATAAGAGAATCAGCAGAATTCCAAGGAATCTGATAGAAACCAGATCAGACAAAATCACCAAATTAAGCTTGGAACCATATTCATGGCCGGGAAAAAGAGATGGAAAGAAAGATTTCGCACCCTCCCCTACATCCACAAACCCATACTCGCAATAATTCCCATGAAGAACAGTAGGATGAACATGCCCCACCAATTTATTTACGGAGTATTACTCCGTATTTAAAAACTACAGATTAAAGAGAAAATAACTTTAGTAACAATGGGTTTGACAGAGGCAGAAAGTGAAAGAAACAGAAACCTACACGAATACTGGTAGAAAAGGTGGAATCGCTTTAAAAAACAATAGATAGAAAAAAGGTTGAATCTTTTTAATTACGGAGCATAATACATTAATACAGAAGATAGAAAGGAAAAGGGATCCTGAAGAAGGTGGGTTCAACTTTCAACTTTCAAAATTCAAAATTTGAGCTTCCGTGAAAGGGGCCCTTCGACCCTATTATTTACGACCATCATTGCACTACAAGTCAAAATCTCATTAACTTTCCAACAGCTAACCTTTGGGTTATGAGTAGGGCTGTTCAATCGGATCGATCCAATCCGATCCGAAAATTTGGATATCCGAAAATTTCGGATCATGTAAAACTCATTCCATGTCCGATCCGAAAATATTAGGATATCCGAATTTTTGGATCGGATCACTGGATTATCTGAAAAGTTGACTTTTTAGCCAAAAATTACAAAAAAAAGGTAAAATAGCAAAATCAACCCACAATATCAAATTCAATATAGATTTACTAAAAGAAAAATTTCACCATAAGATAATGGCCTAATAAAAAATTGATACCAAATTTAATTTGGGAGTAACTTTGGTAATTTTGCCTAAACAAACAAAAAAAATTACTATTAAAACAAAAAGTTTTAAAATGCTAATGCAAAAAGTCCAAAATGTTTGAGTTCCAAAATCAACATAAAATTGCATTAAACATATACCCATAATATATATCCATAAAATTCCATTAAACATATAGCAAAAAAAAAATCGGATATCCGGTTATCCGAAAAATTCCAAAAATTGAATCCATATCTGATCCGATTTTTTCCGGATATCCGATCCGAAATATCCGAAAGCCAAAATATCGGATCGGATATCCATTTTTCGGATCGGATATGCCCGGATCATGGACGGATTTTTCGGATCAGATATTTTTGAACACCCCTAGTTATGACAAGGCGGAGTTAGAGGGTGCCTCCATGCTGTCACGCCCATTTGCTCTTATTTAATTAAGAGCACTGATAATAGCTGTGTAGTCTCGGACCATGCTAGGGTGCTACCACATGGGTGCTACCATTGGTGCACCCATGCTTCGTAGAGACAAACACAGACGATAATTGTCTGTGCGACACAGACAATTCTCGTCTGTATTTGTCTGTGCGAAGCATGGGTGCACCCATGGTAGCACCCATGTGGTGGCACCCTAGCATTTTTCGTGTAGTCTCTCGCTTCAAAATTTTTCTGTCTCGTTAGCTTTAAATTACTTCACAGTTTTCCTAAAAAAGAGTTTGAAGTCTCAAGACTTCACATTAAGATTTCAAACTTTTTTTTACATTTTTAATATACATCTTCTAATATATATATGGGATTGACTCCAGTGAAATGACACCTTACGATGAGATGACATGCTTCGGTCAGATGACGCAAAGCTCACCACATTACACTGCAAAGCTCACCAATGACCAATGTAAAGCTCACCTGGAAATAAACAAAGCTCACCACTATGAACACCAAAACTCACTTTTTTTTTAAATTTTGAAAATTAAAAAAATAATTAAAAATAAAATAGCAACACCGGTCAACCACCGGTCAGCAGCGGCGGCACGGTGGAGACCGGCGGCCGGCGGTGGTGGTTGGCGGCGGTGGTCGGCGGCGGTGATTGGCGGCCGGCGGTGGCCGGTGATGGTCAACGGTCAATGGTCAAAGTCTAGTCAGCACCCCTTCCTTTGATTTTTCTTTTCCAAAAAAAATTCAAAGTGTTGAAAAAATATGGTGAGCTTTGCCCAATAGTTTGGTGAGCTTTATAATTGTATTTGGTGAGCTTTGCAGTGTAATGTGGTGAGCTTTGCATCATCTAACCAAAGCATGTCATCTCACTGTAAGGTGTTATCTCACTAGAGTCAATCCCATATATATATATATATGTATGTATGTATTTATGTATGATGTATGTATGTATGTATCTATATATATGTGTGTGTGTGTGTGTGTGTATGTATGTATGTAGGGGGCGGTTCTTGTAAAAATGGTCCTTGTGGAGAGAAATGAGAATGAATTGGGATGGGTAGATTAAATGCATCTGATGGCTGGGATTTAAGAACAAAATCGGATGTTAAATTAGGTTAGCAATAATAGTGGTGCATTATATTAGGAAAAATAACTTAGAAGGGCAAATTTGCCAGACGGGTTGCATTAAAAATCGGGAATCATGATACGCAATGATACGCCTGGTTATACGCAGCCCACTTTTCCCGCTTACCAAGCATGAAGCTGTAGAGATAATAAACATCAAATAACTTTCTCCAATTTTCCAAAGAGCTGAGTACCATCCTCAAAACGTGAAAAACATTAGTAGACGATGGCCACAAGTGGGGTTGCGAAGAGTGTTGGGAATTTGAAGAGTTGTAAGAACAATAGGATGCATCCTGATGCTGTGCAAGGTATGGGTAAGTGTAATTTAAGTTGATGACGATGTTTGCAAGTTTCGTTTGGTTGGTTTTTTGGGGTTTTAGTGGATGGGATGAGTTGCATGTGTGTGTTAGTGTTTCTTTTGCACTCTATTTTTTGAATTTGGGATGAAATCGATTTTTGTTTAGGAATCAGGGTTTGAAATTGGGTGGATGATATTTGAGACAGATTCGTGTGGTGTGGATGCATTTCCTGCAAATGCACCATTTTTTATTATGGGTGATGTTTGTGAATGAAAGTCTGACCATGTTTAATAGATTGTGTATGCAGAATGAGGGTGTAAGTGGATTATGGTTTCTAAGGGGTTCATGGTTTGTTAAAGTTTGGTGTAGTTTGTTGGGTGCTTTTCTACGGTCGTGCATCATGTGTTTGACAGATTGTAGATGATGTTTTTGGAATTTAGTCTTGGGGGAATGATGCATTCGTAGGGAGGAATGATGCTTTGGTCTTTGTTTTGTTTATGCGCATTGTGGTTGGAAGAAAGTGTGATCCTGTGTGTGATGTAGTATGTGCATGATGTTTCAAAAGCAATGCATTCCAACTGTGTGAAACATAAGTATGTTTTTATGGAAATGCACCATGTTTTATTATGGGTGATGTTTGTGAATTAAAGTCTGACCATCTTTAATAGATTGTGTATGCAGAATGAGGGTGTAAGTGGATTGTGGTTTTTAAGGGGTTCATGGTTTGTTAAAGTTTGGTGAAAATATGGGGATATACTTCATGAGTGGATTATTTTACTTAAACATGAATGGTAAAAATATAAGAATTCATCTATAAAGAAGTGAAGGTGATGTGGTTGTAAAGTATGTATATGAATACAGTATTGGTATTTCCGAAATAGGGAAACTGTTTGGACTCGATAAGGTAGTGCATATATTCGAAGTCATCAAGCGTGGTTGTTAAGTTATACTCAGTTATGAGCCTTTTTAACATTGACGACTTGCGTGAACCGGTAAAGGGCATTGAGTGTGTGGTGAGCCTTGACTAGTTGGAAACAGGAACAATAAAAAAATGAAAATCAGAGGATTTTTCTCTTAATGTTCATCAGGTTGTTTATAATAAGGTCAGTTTGTTGGATCAGCACACGTCTGCAAATAAATTTCATAGGTGGCATGTCGTTGAGTTTTGCCAACATGTTTAATAATGGTTATGCACTGCATAAACGACATTCGTAACAGATGTTGGGAATTATAGACTGGAATAAATGACTAATTGTTAGAATAAGTGACCAATGCTAGAGGGGGGGGGTGAATAGCGTTTGATCGTAGAAATCGCAGGAATAAGAAATTAAGAACGTGAAAAGTAAAGAGCATAGAAAGCGTAAAGGGAGCACACCAAGATTTATACTGGTTCACCACAATGTGTGGCTAATCCAGTCTCCCGAGAGACTCTCTCGAGCTACACTACTTCCGTTAAGCTTACGGGTGCTTAACAAACCGTTACAACCTAAGAACTCGAGTCCCACGAGCCTCAATACACTTGCTCGGAGATATCACACTCCAAGACTTCAACCTGAAGGAAAATACCTTTCCTTCGTACAACCAAGGGAAACAAGCTTCCCTTAACGTGTATACAACACTAAACACTCAAGAACAAGACTCTCTTTAAGAGTAGATGATGAGTAAACTAAGTACGCTCAAGAACAACTCAAACTTCACACAAATTAGCTCTAGAAAAGTATGGAAAATGATGTTGTTTGAATGCAATGATAATATGAATAATGTGAAGTGAATTGGTGTGTAAAGCAGACCCAAACACCCCTTTTTATAATGCCAAAGTAGGCTCTAACGGATCAAAACATTTAAGGGGTGATTGACTTGATTTTTGGGACTCATTAAAATGTGGATCTGCAGGATATTGGCTTCCCAGCGATGTATGGACTTACCCATCGCTGGTAAGCCAATTTTCCTTCTGTTTTGAAGGCAACGGTCACCTACCCATCGATTGGTACAAGCTTCCCATCGCTGGGTAAGAGGTTGACTTCCAAACAAGGAAAGAATCAACCTTAAATGACTTCCAACGGTCATGCCTTCCCAGCGATGGTTATGCCTTCCCATCGCTGGGTTCCCATCGATGGGTAAAAGTCCCCATCGCTGGGTAAGGTCGTTCTGTCTTGTGTTGATGTTGGACCAAGGCTTTAACAGCGATGGGTAGACCTTCCCATCACTGTTTGGCATGGTTCTGGAACTTGGTTGGGCTAGAGGACCGCTTACACATCGATGGGTAACTCTTCCCATCGCTGGGTGGATGGTTAACCAAAAACCCATTGTTTTTGCCCGAACCATGGCCTAGCCAACCGATGCAAAAACCGACCGAAAAATCCAAAGTTTTCCAAAATAAAAACCAAGTGTTTAAAACACTTATTTGATGTATTAGGCTAAGAAATCAAGTGAGACACTTTAAAAACCACGTCATTTGGGTAAAAACCATGGCTAGCCAAGTTTATGCCGTTTTGCGTGGTTTTTGCCAAACGACCAAAAACGAAAGGTGGTTTTCAAAGTGTTTTTGTTGGAGAACTGTTTAAACTTGCCAAGAAGTAAAAACCAATCATAAAATGTTGAAAAACACTTGGTTGGTTTGGACGCCAAAAACCAACGCCAATAACCGAATGCCGAACGCCGGTCTTCGAAAGCCGAACCCCGGATGGCTTTGTTTTTTGTTTCGGCAAACACCAAGTGTTTTTAATATGTTTAAGCATGTTTGAAAATAATTTTGATGATATGTAAAATGGAATAAAAAATGTTTTAGCCTAAAGAGCCAAAGTGCAAAGCTTGGGTCGGTCTTGATCACATTGTGACCGACTCAACGACGCTAAAGACTACGGTCTTTGTTATTGGTCTCTTTTAGCTCTTGTTCTCTTGCTTTCTTCTTATATTTATTTCTCGCCTTGTATATTCAACAACTTGTCTCGTTCACGGCGGTTTGGCATTATCAAAACCTGTCATTAAAAAAACACGACTTTGGTACAAAAACACGATAAACCCGTGTTTCAACACTATTAGCGTTAAGTGAGAAAAATAAAAGCACCACGTTAGGTTATCCCATTTCAAATCTGTTAATTCATCACACACAACGTATTGAGAGCATAATGAAAGTATGAATAAAGGAAATAAAATTAAAAACATTACAAATAAAGTCTAATGCAATCACCCCGATATGTTTTTGGGGCAATTCCTACTTTCATGATAACCAAGTTGCTAACATTTTCTACACATTCGTTTATTCTTTTTTGCTTGTTCAATGCTCAACTCTTTTGCACTTTTGATTCTCTTGCCACTTCCCTTGTTGTGTACAGGTTGGGGTGGTAGTACTGTTATATTGGTCGGGGCAGGTACTCCATAATAACATTCAAGAATGGTGTTTTGTGTATTTACAACACCAGAACGAACCGCAGCTTCGAGGATGTCCTTCTGTTGACGGATAATCTTTGAAAATCCACCCAACAAATTCGGCTTTTGCTCAACGGCAGCAACACAAAAATAAAGATCTGTCCACAAGCGGTTTAATGCAATTTTCTTTTCTTCAACAGAGGATAGAGATTCAAAATCTAATGTACATGTCGGGGATCTGACGGATGTTCTCATCTTTGAAAACTAGAAAAATATATCTACATAATAGACCACATTGATGGTAATGTTTATAGCTGCAGCATGCAGAAGCATCAATACGGGAGAATTGAACTGTGAATGTTATTCCCATCTTTTCCTTAATTAAATATTGCACCTGTTGGCCATCTAATTCTTCGACATGAAGTACACGACAAGAAAAACAAGCTGCGAATATCTCCATTTGTACCTCGTAAAAAATAGTTAATGTGTAGACAGATGCTGCGTGGTTCTCAATGTCCAACGGAGTCTTGAATTCAGGGTAACAAGATTCATCGTCAGCGTTCAAGCCAGCATTTTTGTGCCGTTGAGAGTCCATAGCACTTTCAAACTGCATAAGAAGTTCTACAAGACTAAAATTCTGGCCAGTGCAATCATCAAAGAAGCTGTTTTCACTTTCTGAACGTGATGTGGTGCGTAATAAGCCACCCATGAACAAATATCTATAGTTCCCGGGGATCCAAGAGTAACGTATTTCAAATGTATTTTGAAACCATTTATGATTGTCTAAATTATACGCAGCCATCAGATCGTGCCATTTCTTTTCAAAATCTACAGGCTCGAGATAATGACTCCAAACAATTGCATTCAATTTCGTCAAAAACTCTGAATCTTTAGCCAACTCGTCATCCACTTTACCACCAACTTTTTCATTATATGCCACATATAATACTGTTGTGATGTTTGGGGAAATACCTTTTTGGCTACACCTCGCAAGGAAGGATCTTGGTCAGTGATGATGCACTTCGGGGCATTTCCCATAGCATTTAAGAAACATTGAAAAAGCCAAGAATATGACTCGTTATCCTCCCTGGTTAGCAAACCAGCCCCAAAAGTCACACACTTACGGTGATTGTCTACGCCCGTGAACGGAGCGAAAATCATATTGTACCTGCATAAATTGAGGACATGGAATTTAAACATAAAAGAGTAAGACTTTTGAGTAATGATGTAAACATTGAAAGAACATAAAAGTCTTGCTACTGTGCAACGATGACAAGGATACATGTTTGTCTCGTAAGTTGCATCGAATGAGACAACATCACCAAACAACGTATAATTCTTTCTAGCAACTGCGTCACACCAGAATAGCCTTGTTAGTTGGTCACTTTCATCAACATCATACTCAAAGAAAAATGCAGAGCATGTTTCGTGCTTTTTGAAAAGCTTGTCAATGACCATTTGAGCATCACCACCAGCAATTTAAGATTTAAGATCTTGCTTAAAGTTCTTGAAATCCAATGCGATAGCTCCAACGTTGTCATAACCACCTACAGATTCTTTAAACAGACGGTAAGACTTCATTGTACCAATATTAGCCTTTGCACAATTCAACATAAATTTCTTGCGTCCAATATCAAGATTCGTGTTCAGTTTCAAAAATGGCCTACCACTACTACAAAAACGACCAAATAAATCCCCCCATTTACATCGTTAAGGAAAACAAACGATGTAAATGGCAAAAAAAAATTCGCGTACTGCTTAGCTTTTGGATTGGTTATTCCTAATAACCGATTCAAAAGGTATTTGAATCGGTTATTAGGAATAACCGATCCAAAAAGCTAAGACTCTTTTGGATCGGTTATTCCTAATAACCGATTCAAATAACCTTTTGAATCAGTTATTAGGAATAACCGATCCAAAAGAGTCTGATAAAACACATCCAATCCTACCTTATTCTTACACGATTTTGAAAAAAAACCTCCAAACCCTTTCTTCGTCGTCGTCAACTTCCAAGTCGTTGCTCTTTGTGCGCCTCGTCGTTGTCATTGCCTTGTAGTCGTCAACTCCCTAGCCACGCCGTCGCCGTGCCCGTGCCGCCTCAAAATCTGCTCCACTTCGTCCTCGTCCACCTCACCGGGTGCCCGTTGCCTCGCCGTCGCCTATTCCCGTTTCCTCGCCGTCGCCGTGCCCGTGCGCCCCACTGCTACTAGCTCTCCCGTATAAGATGTTGCTGACCGGAGCTCATACGTCTCATTCGGGCCGAGGTGCAGAGAGTTGTGTCAGTGGCTGACACGCACATCTGCTTTGCCTACCATCAGCGTCATTCTCGATCCCGAGTCCATGCTCTATCCGGAAGAGAAGGAGCTGAGGATGCGTCCGGAGAATATATGTGAGTTCATGCGATGGGAAGAGGTCGATCAGACCATCATCATTGTTTTCTTGATGTATGTCAAGCACTACGTACGAATAAATTACTATTATAATTATAATTATAATTATTTCTTATAATTGTAATTATTATTTACATGTGAAATTACTAAATTGTTGCACGATCATATGATGGAGCACGGCATCGCGTTTGTCGGGTTGTTATGTACGGAGAACATGGCGTACATGGTAGATTTTGGAGATCGCCAGTATCTGGATAGAGCACTCGAGACCTATCAATCGCGACCCTGGATACTTATGTCGTTGTATCTATCGATATCGTATGTTTTCTAAACCATTTCCAATATGTATTTCGGATTTTTATTTTAAGTTAGTGACTAACGCTTTGTCAATTATAGGCATCATTGGGTGTTAGTTGTAATACGTTTGTTTGAAAACAAAGTGTATTTCCTAAACTTAATCAATGCGACCGGAGGGCATAAGAAAATGAAGGTGAAGACTTTCGTCAACAAGTAAGTATTAAGAAATTTATTTCTTATTAATGAAATTCTTTATTTGTTAAGATATTAATTTATTATTAATTTGTTTTTTTACATATATTAAAGGTCTTGGCGGTTACTTCGGGAACGGTACATGCCTCAGCTTAAGGCTCGACCGGATTGGGTTGATGTTCCCGGAGTACCCCAACAAGTAAGGAACATTGAGTGTGGTTATTATACCATGCGATTTTTATGGCTCATCGTCACAATGTGTGCACAAGGTTCTTTACCGTTATCCGATGTAAGTTTATTTTAGTGTGTTTTTTAAAGTAATGAAGTGTTTATCATCATTTTCTTTTTCATAGATTATTAAACTTTATGTTGTATGTTGTTTTCGTATTGCACGTATTTCCGTTTACTTCGTCTTATACTAGAGCCAAATTAGAAAAGATTAGAGAGTTTTGGGCGGAGGGTTTTCTCGATGAACTAGTGTAAGTTTGTGTTATATTGTATAGTATTAAATGTATGTTAGTAGAGTGTAGTTGTTTGACTCTTAGTTGTGTTGTTAAAACTTAGAAGAGTAGTTGTTTTACTCTTGGTATTTTTTAAGATGTACCAGTAGTGGATGCAAATGTTTACTTTTTTTGGTTTAATTTGTTTTGTGGCATTTGAGTTTTGTGAATGTATTTGTGTTTGTTATTGGTTTGTGTTAGTTGTTGTTGTGTTGATAGGTTAAATTGTTGTTGTTGTTGAATCTGAATATTTTGCATAGAATTCTGTGCAAAATTAAAAATGTAGTGGATTGGGAGCAAACAAAAAATTCATTTTGAAAAAAATTATATTTTGCATCGGTTATCTGGTAATAACCGATTCAAAAGCCTATTCCCAGAAATGGGAAAAGGTCTTTTGAATCGTTTATTACCAAATAACCGATTCAAATGCCTCTTCCCAGAAATGGGAAAAGGGCTTTTAAATCGGTTATCTGGTAATAACCGATTCAAAAGGAGTGAGGCTTTTGAATCAGTTATTACCAAATTACCGATTCAAATGCCTCTTCCCAGAAATGGGAAAAGGGCCTTTGAATCGGTTATTTGGTAATAACTGATTCAAAAGGGAGGCTTTTGAATCGGTTATTACCAAATAACCGATTCAAATGCCTCTTCCCAGAAATGGGAAAAGGGCTTTTGAATCGGTTATTTGGTAATAACCGATTCAAAAGGAGGGAGGCTTTTGAATCTGTTATTACCAAATTACCGATTCAAATGCTTTTTCCCAGAAATGGCGCCAATTTAGGGAAGATGCTTTTGAATTGGTTATTTGGTAATAACCAATTCAAAAGAGAGGCTTTTGAATCGGATATTACCAAATAATCGATTCAAAATGCCCTTCTCAGAATTGGTGCCATTTCTGGGAAGAGGCTTTTGCATCGATTTTACAACTGATGCAAAAAGTAACCCGAGCATTTGCATCGCTGAGTTTTGCATCCGTTCAAAACCGATTTAAAAGGGTCAAAATAACCGATTTAAAAAGTCTTTTTTGTAGTAGTGTACACGGAGCGGAACCATAGGATGATTGTGATGTTCTTCGAAAAATATAATGGAATATCCAACATTGCCAGATAGTGTCAATGTCACACGTGCCTTGCATCCAACACGGTTTGAGATGCATCTCCTCTTTTTTGGCATAGAATCTGAATCTTCACGGTCTTGTGTTAGTGGCATGGGCATGGAAGAAACATTTTTTCTACCCTACCGGTTGCAAACAACATACTGCCAAACAATAAAACCATCCCGTGACTTCGATGACGTGTTTTTTCGTGTGTCAAAATCAGCCAACGCTGCATAATTATTGTAGAACGCAATTCCATCCTCTAAATTTGGAAAAAGCATACCGACCCTAGGTTTGAACTCGTCTAGACATGGTGGAGCAAACCCCTGTTCGGGCAATGATTGGTCTGTTTGCATTGATGACCCATCGTATGTGGGTGGTGTAGAAAAGAAAACATAAGCACATCCAATTGAAAAATGCATTTTCAATTCGAGGCATCACTAGCACGGAATAAAACCAAGATGACTATGAAGAAAACAACTTAACTGTGAAAATACCTGAATCCATGGAAGATCAGTGATGTATAAACGATGAATAAAAATTGAATAGCAATCGGACCAACACAAGGTGAGATGAGGATTCTTACAGATACCAAAGGGATGAAGATCAAAGATCTCTCCTTTTCAACAAGGAAAGAGAGAACGTGGTTGATTCGGTGGGAGAGAAATCCGAAATTTACTTCTGGAAGTGGGAGAGAAATGTGGAAAGGAAATTCATCGGGCCTGCTATTACCGAATGAGAATTGCGTATAGTTAATAAATTGTTAGAAAATTATACCTTTCTTGGCGAGCAAGCAACGATATGTATGGTTGAAGGGATTAGTCCAAGAGCTAGCCACAAAAGTATATGACCTCTAGTTGAGACACACGAACTACGAAGAATGTTCTAGGGAAAATTATGCTAGTAATTTTTCCGTAGAATATTTCTAAAATATAAAATATTTAGTATAAAATGTTAATAGAACAAAACAAAATTTTTCTCTTAAAAGAATAGAAGGGCCAAAATTCTAAGAATACAAAAAGGGTGGGATGATCTCCTATTTATAAGGAGCATAATCCTCATTCCTATTCGTAATGTGAATGTACCTTTTAGTGTTTAAGAAAGAAATCAAATCTAATTCCTACTTTGCTTAAGCAATTTCGAAATACCCCATAAAGGAACCTTCCAATTTATTTTGTAAACTTTAATTATTATATAATTAACACAAAACAGATAATATAACATTTATTTTATATGTATCCAAAATATATATAAATATATTTATTTATATATACGGCGAAAATAAATATACATACATACATACATACATATATATACATACATACATACATACATATATATATATATATATGAGTAAATTCCATAATTGGTCCTTTATAACAGGGAGGTTTCCCTATTTAGTTCTCTATTATCAAATATTACCCCAGTGGTCCTTCTTTTATGGGTATATTTCCATAAATAGTCCTTTTTTTGATCTTCTATCATGTTGGAGTTAATTTGAGGGCTAAAAGTGTAATTTCACAATGATAATATATCTTTTTTGTCATACACAATTCCAAAGGTTGTTCCGTTTGCGTCATTTGTGAATTACATTCGCTTTCTACTACAACCATAGTCTACAAATGTGGTCTTCTGTCGAAATCCTAACCCACAATCATATTCATTATTTTTGTGTTATCCGCTTAACCAATATCAGAACATGTCATTAGAAATAATGTTGATGTGAAATTATACTTTTAGCCTTTAAATTAACACCCGCATGGCGAAAGATCAAAAAAAGGACCATTTGTGGAAAGGCACCCATAAAAAAGGACTACGAGGATAATATTTGATAATAGAGGACTAAATATGAAAACCCCCATGTTATAAAGGACCAATTCTGAAATTTACTATATATATATATATATATATATATATATGGTTTTGGTCAATGGCACTTTCTCTCTCTAGTTTTCCGGCGACGGGAAACACTCCGGCAGCACTTCAAACCCACACTACCCTATGCCGGAAAACGTTATTCTCAGACCTCTTCAAAGATGGGTTCAATAATATCCCAGGAACAGCCCGAGGCTACTACAAGGATGCCCCTTCTGTCGAGTTTACCAGTGAAGAAGAAAATGTCCTAGCTGGAAAATTCAACAGAACCCTAGTTGGCAGATGCAGCTCGAGGATTCACTTGAGTGAAGTGGAAAAATTCCTCATCAAAGGAGGCTACAAGGAATTCAAACTTAGAAGACTCAACTCTTTCGAGCTGATCTTCATTTTCAAACAGGACGAAGACTACCTCAGGCTGTTCCACCGAAAAGTTTGGAGAATCGGTGCGTGTGCAATCACCATCAACAAGTGGACCACCAAGCACTCAAAACTCAGAGATTCACCAGTCATGCCGGTTTGGGTGGAAATCTTCAACCTGCCACTACACCTTAACGACCACAAGGCTCTTTATTCGATTGCCTCCACATTGGGCAGACCTCTCAAATTGGATGCTAACACTGCCATGGGTGTACATCCAGATAGAGCCAGGCTTTGCGTGGAAATGGATGTCTCCAACCCCAAACCCCCTAGATTGCATATAAAGCTGGGTGGAAGAGATCTCTGGCTCCCATGTAAGTTTGGAAAACACCTATCCTACTGCGACAAATGCACAAGATTCCGGCACGATACAAAACATTGCCGGAAAACCTTATCTAAAAGCCTCTCCGGCAAAGCTCCGGCTGGAGAGGTGGGCCAGCTAGGAGCGGGATGTATAACCAACGCATCTTCATCACGCTGGGAGATTGCAAAAGGAAAACGACGTGTGGTTCAGAGCAGTGAAATTAGAGAAGCAACTAGGCGGGTCCACAGCTCTAATCTCCTATTAAAAGAAAGAGCCACACACCTAAGCCACACACTCCAAAACAAAACTCCCTTGCAGCCTACCAGGTACGAAAAGCCACTAGAGAATCCCACCACACATAACCATTTTCATCTCCTACCCATTATTGAGGATGTAGAAGATACAGTTGAACCTAACCCCAGCCTCACCCAACCATATTTACCAACCCTCACAGCCCAATGCCCTCCTCACCTCACACCATCCAACCCCAGTCCCACCCCAACCACTGAACCTTTTCCCGACCTCTCCTTCCTAAGGTCAGACAACCCCAAACCTTGCTTGGCCATTATCCCCTTTCATCATTCCAACCCCTCTTCGAATGCTTTACTGCTAGAGGAACTGGATTGCCATCCCCAGGTCTGGAAAGGTAGTAAAGACGACTCATTTATTAATACCACACTGGTTCCATCCTGGGAAAACTTCAATGATCAGCACTCTCTCCCTGAAGATGATACACCTATGGTCTGCCACACAGATGGGGAGGAAGAGGATACCCCTTTCAACAAATCATGCATCAAACCTATGGAATTGGACATCTCCAACTGTGCCACGTAGTCTATGCCTATACCAAAATTCTCTAAGTGTAAAAAAGACATCCCACCTTCGAGCATCCTTACCAGGAGCAAGAAGCGTCAAGGCGTACCTCTCAACACCCCTCAATGAAGCTCATTTTTTGGAACGTCTGCGGGGCATCCTCTTCCCTCAACAGACTTATATTCATAAAGAGGAAATTTGATCTTGATTTCCTGTGTGTTATTGAACCCATTGTCAGCAACTCCCTACTAGATGACTTTAGACTCAAAATTGGCTTCTCAAACTGCCACTCTTCCACCAACAACAAGAGATGGATTTTTTGGCGAAACGAAACCCTCAACCTTGTTTCATTCACCGATGATGACCAAGTTACTTCCGGCACCTTCACATATTCCTTTGACAACCAGCCCATTCGCATCTCCTCGGTGTATGGTGCCCACTCAATCAAGGATAGGACAAAGCTCTGGCTAAATATTCAAGAAACCTGCCCTCTAGATATGAGATGGATAATTGGGGGAGACTTCAATGCAGTTACCTCTTATGAGGAATGTAAAGGAATCTGCACGCCGCATGTCCAAAGCATGAATGACTTCAACACCTGCATCTCACAATGCAAGCTCATTTATCCGGATGCAGAAGGTGGATTATTTACTTGGTCTGGGGTTAGGAGTCAAGGCAGAACCTGGAGAAGATTGGACAGAATCCTCTTAAATGTTGACCTACTGAACTCTTTTGAGGATGTGACCCTTAAACACCTATCTAGGGCCAACTCGGATCACAAGGCTCTATTACTTCAGTGCATCAACCAGCAAAGTGGGGGGGTTAAACCCTTTCGGTTTCTTAATTCCTGGATCTCGCATGAAACATTCCAACAGACTATTAGAGATGTTTGGTCCAAATGCCCTACAACAGGAGGAATGAGGGGTCTGACCTCCAAACTGCAAGCTACAAAAACTGCCCTAAAACTCTGGAATCAAACCACCTTTGGAAACATCTTCCTCAACCTCAAAAACTTGGAGCAGGAAGCCATTCAAGCCCAACAACTCTTTGAGACAGACACCACAGATTTTAACAGAACTTCTGCTCAACTAGCCAACGCAAAACTCATCAAAGCTGTCAATATGGAAGTGGACTATTGGAGACAAAAGGCCAACTACAGGTGGCTAGATAAGGGTGACGCAAACTCCAAACTCTTCCAAGCTTATGCCAAGGGGAAGAGAAAGAAACTTTCTATCAAACACATTATTACCTCTGGAGGAAGAGGTATCTCATCCCCCAACGAAATTAAAGAGGAGGCCATTCAACACTTTCAGAAACTCTACACCTCCAACCACACCCCATCCCACAGCATTATCACTAGCCTGATTCCCAAGGTTATCACAAAGGAGGACAATATGATGCTGAGTGCAATCCCAAACATTAATGAAGTAAAGAAGGTTGTCTGGGAGCGTAACGGGGACAGTGCAAGTGGACCAGACGGATTCAATGGAAATTTCTTCAAAACCTGTTGGGAGACAATTAAAAACGATGTGCTCATTGCTTCCCAAGAGTTCTTCCTTGGCAGACCCATCCCTTGTGCATACGGAAGCACCTATCTGACTCTCATCCCCAAAACCTTGAACCCCAAGCGCTTTGATGACTACCGTCCTATTTCCCTCTCCACCTTCATGAGCAAGATCAACACCAGAATTCTGTCCAACAGACTTAATACCCTCCTCCACAAACTCATCTCTCCTGAGCAGGCAGCTTTCCAGAAGGGGAGATCCATTGATGATCATATATTGGTGGCCCAAGAAGCTATACACATTATTGACAAAAAGGTGTATGGAGGCAACACTATTGTCAAGATTGATATGGCAAAAGCTTTTGATAAAATGGAATGGAGCTTCATTGAGGGGATGCTTAATTCCTTTGGATTTTCTGATCAGTCCATCAACCTTTTGATGGCCAATCTCAAAGGAACAAACATTAGCATTCTCATCAATGGAGAACCATGTGGATTCTTTAAAATGTCCAGAGGAGTTAAACAAGGAGACCCACTCTCCCCTCTCCTTTATATCATTGCAGGTGAAGGATTCAGTAGGCTGCTCAATCACTATGTTGACACTAACCACTTCCAAAGATTTAATGCAGGTAGTGTCAAATTCACTAGCCATCTCATCTACGCCGATGACCTAATTATTTTCACCAAAGGAGACACGAGGAATCTCCTTAAACTTAAACACATTCTTGGAGAATACTTGCAAGCTTCAGGGCAAGAGATCAACTTCTCTAAAAGCAGATTCTACACCTCTAGAAAGACTCAGTCCACTCAAATCCAAAATATGGAGAAAGCACTTGGCATGAAGCATGGAGATCTCCCTTTTTTATATCTGGGAGCAACAATCAACAGGGGCAAGCCAAAAAAGGAAGACTGCTCAAGACTCGTGGAACACTTTCACAAACATTTGCATTCCTGGTATAGCAAAACACTCAACCAAATGGGCAGACTGATTCTCATCAAGCACGTCCTCTCTTCCATTCCCCTTCATATTCTGGCTGTGCAAACCATTCCTAAATCCATTTCCAATTCCCTTCACTCTTTAATGGCTAACTTCCTCTAGGGGCAAAAGAATGGGAGACCAAAGTACCACTGGAAAAACTGGAACCAAATCTGCCACCCTAAGCAGGCTGGAGGTCTTGGCATTCGAAACCTTGAGAAAATACAACAAGCATATTCATTGAAGCTATGGTGGAAAGCACAAAACGATCAGAGTATATGGGGTCCATTTGTCAGAGCAAAATATATGAGGTCTGGATCCATAAAAGAGAAAATAACTGATTCTCCATCATGGAAGAGGATCTGCAGGGTTCACGCCATAGGGTCAGCTCATAGTAACATCTCGGGAGGAGGAGCGACTTGGTCAGGAGGTTCTTTCAGTCTTAGCAGTGCCTATAAAATTGGAGAGGAAGGTTTACCATCCTCTATCACCAACAAGTTCATCTGGCACAAGACACAAATCCCCAAAATCAAGATTTTCCTTTGGAAATGTCTTAACAAATCTCTCCCTTTCCCTGCCAACCTAAGACGCTTCAACCTTGCTCTCACAAGCAGATGCAACTTATGCCTAGAGAGGACTCCCTAGACCACGTACTACTTCATTGTCCATGCAGTGCCAAAGTATGGGAATATTTTGGACACATTTCCTCAGCTCCACCACGACGCATTGGCAACCAACTACGTCAACACTTGATCGCTTGGTGGCTAAGTGGGAACAGCCGAAGCTTCAAAGGAAACCTCAGGCTCATCCTCCCTGGAATCATCTCTTGGGTCCTTTGGAAAGCTCGTAACACATCCATCCATGAAGGGAAATCAGCCACCACAGCTTCACTAATCCAACAATGCTTCAAACTAGTGCAGGGATGGTGTTGGGTTAATAGAAACAAGAAATGGCTCGTCAAGGATGAAGACTTCAAAGGTTGGGGGATTGATATGTTTTGGAGAAATGGAAGGAAAATTTTTGATGTTTTTTAGACTTTCAGCTTGTTCGTTTTGAGCATTCCTTATCCTGGCATGTTGTAATTTCCTTTCCCCATTCAATAAAACTTCCTTTATAAATATATATATATATATATATATATATATATATATATATATATAAATGGCGTTCTTTTCTCTCTCTATAGCTCCTCTCCAACAACGATGGTGTCGCTAAAGATTCAGCGATGTCGGATAACTTTCGTTCGTTCGCTGATGTTGGTTCACCTCAACACCCGCCGGCAAAATTCAAGGGTTTGCCCTCGATTTCATTCTCTGATGAGGAGATTCATAGATTATCAGGTAAGTTTCGCAGATCCCTTGTCGGTAGTTTCAGCGAGAAAAGGCCTCCTCTTATTTTAATCCGTGTGACCCTTGAGAAAATTGGATTCTCAGATTCGTTTAAATTGGGATTACTTGATGATTCTCATGTTCTGCTGCAATTTGAATCTGAAACTGATTTTCTCCGTTGTTTATTGAGAAACTGATGGACTATTGGTTCCTCTTATATGCGAGTTTTCTGATGGACTGCAGATTTCGACCCATCCGTGGAATCCCCTCTAGTCCCAGTTTGGGTAGGGCTAGAGGGACTGCCAATCCATCTCTTTGACAAACCCACCCTTTTCTCCATTGCTAAACTTTTTGGCTCTCCACTGCAAACTGATGCAGCCACTGTGAATTTGAGTAGGCCTAATGTGGCTAGAGTTTGTGTGGAGGTTAAGCTTACAAAGGAACTTCCCAAGACTATTTGGATACACTTACGTAGCTCTTCCTAACTTCAACCCCTTCTTTTTGAAAATCTGCCATCCTATTGTAACTCTTGTCATCAATTGGGTCACAAGTCCTGCAAATCAGGATCCAGAAACTCTCGCTGGGTTAGGAAAACCAAGCCAAGAGGCAAGGTTGTAAATGAGACCCCTGGCCAACCGGTCTATTTTCCTAGCACCTCAGCTGTGCCAACCTCTACTACCCCAATTACCTTTGGTAGCCTTGAAACTGGTCACGAGTACGTCACAACAAAGGACATAGGGCCCTGCCCTACTATGAGCAAGAATGCTCCTCCACCACGTTTGGACACTATTGCTTTGGCCCCTCCAACTAATGCCCATTTTGTGACTTTGAATGGCCCTCTCCTTACAGGATTGGACAGTATTACTTTGTCCCTCCCAACTGATGTTAATTTGGATCCTTCCTATTTGGAATGTGCTCAACACAAAGATACTAAAGACATCCCATTACTAACTGGTCCATGTGGGCTTGAATTCACGATAGAGGGACCCTCCTGCCCCGTTGAACAGTGATTGTCTTCTCGGATCCTCCCCCAATTTCAAAATGATGGTTACGACCCAAATCATACCGACGAAAATATGAGAGCACATGAGACTCACTGTGAGTCCTCGGATGGTACTCCATCAGATACTACGGTACCTCCCATTGGAAATGATGATGCTTTATCTGTACCATCTACCCACACCAAAGCTCATACTGGAAAAGATGACGAGGCCGGTAAGGATGCTCCCACCGAGGCAGAACCGGTTTCACCCCACACCCTGGAGGATAATACTAACATTTCTTGTGAGCCTAGGTCTCTTTGCAAGTATATCAAGGTCACCAAACAACAAAGCAGCCCTTTGATACAAGAATTCCAAAAATTGAGCTTCACGGAGCAAATTGCAGAACTAAAACAAGGGCACCAACAACTCAACTCCATGCAACCAAAAGCTCCATTTCAATCAATACAAGGAACATGTCCAAAACCTGTCGATGCCAATCTTTTCGAAGTTCTTCAAGACCATGATGAAAATGAATCTCATGAAGAAAGCGATCCTGAAACTCCAACCATGGAACTCCGCCATAAAGGAGAACCTCCTGACATGACGATCCAAACGCGCAGTGGTCGCGCTCCATATGCAGGGTGTGGCCACAACACTCGCGGGAGGGGGCGTGGAAGGCACGACAGACGTGGCAACCACAACCCATCTTAGTTCTTTTAAATAATCTTTTCACTTCCTGTTGCTATCCACCTGTTTTTGGATAATATTCTTTATTTGGGGGCTTTGGTCTAGTCCTCCCTCTTTTGTATCTCTCTCCCCCCTTTCCCATTAATAAACATCACTCTTTTAATATATATATATATATATATATATATATATATATATATACACGTGTATATATATATATATATATATACATTATTATTATTAATTATAATTGACATACTTAATCATCACATAATTAAAATGTCCAAATATATAAACATTTATTTATATATCTTTGTAAATCTAATCATATTGTCACTTTAGATACTATAAGTAATAAGCGGTATCTAGCAACACATTATCACCCCAAAATTATAGATATAAAGCTCTTTGAACAATTCCTTCAACGACACATCTCATTGTACAACTCTTATTCCTTTATCACTAATATCTTGATTTAACACAAGGTATGGTGTGTGTCACCCTCTTAGAGTTAAAAATCGATAGTTAACTAATTCTTTGATTGACTTGTGGGGTTCAAATAACATACTCCCTCCGTCCCAAAAAAATTTACACCTTTCAAAAAACTTGCGCCCCACAATCTCCTACTCATTTCAATTAAAAAATCACTTTTACCCCTTACTTTTTCAAATCCTACTTATCACATCATACCTTTTTCCTAATAATCTACACATCACATCATACTTTTACTCATCACATCAAGGGTATTTTTGGAAAATCAACACAAAATTATATCTCCCTTAATTTCAACTTTAGTCAAAACGTGTAAATTTTTTTGGGACGGAGGTAGTATTTATTTGGGCATGACCATGTACTTCCCAAGTCAAATCAATCAGTGGGCCCTAAGATATTACAATTTATTTAAAGAAGGGATAAACTCTATCTACTATATATACACACACGCACGCACACACACACATATATTATATATATATATATATAAATATATATATATATAAATATATATATATATATATATATATATATATATGGAAGTACCATTTTACATCTAGAGGAATGTGTGGATCTACAAATCATTGAGCAATGCATATTCACTCATTACTCAAACTAACTGCAATACAGAATGCATAGGTAGATCATCAAGTAGTTGAGGACGACAATGCCCAAACCATTGTGGCAGTCATTGCTTTTGAAAAATGCTGGACAATCTCTTCCATACCGGGGCGACTCGAAGCATCTTTTCGTACGCAACCATCAACTAGTCTCATCAAACTTGCAGCAATATCTGCAGGGTACCTCTGTCCCAGACTTGGATCCATCAAACCTGCCAAACACTCCTTCCCATTTTCCTCTCGAAGCACCGGAACTAGTAGTTCTGAGATCTTCTGCCCCTTCTCGTCACCATCTTGAAGTGTGGCAATGTCCTTCCCGGTAAGTATTTCGAATATAAGAACACCAAAAGCATACACGTCTAGCTTCGGGGAAACCAAACCGTGCTCTAAATACTCTGGTGCCATGTACCCTTTTGTCCCGACTATGTGCCTCGTCAAGGCAAACTCCCCTTCTTGTCCCTCTGCTGACCTCGATAGCCCAAAGTTTGTGATTTTCGCTCTCATGTCGCGGTCGAGAAGAATATTACTGCTATTCACGTTCTTGTGTACATGGGGAGGGGTTGCGTAGCTGTGAAGGTAGTTCAGCCCTGTGGCTACATCCAGTCCGATTTGTATCCTCTGTGTCCATGTCAAAGAGTGTACATTGCCTGGGGACTTCATGTGTATTCTATCACTCAATGGCCCGTTTTCGGCATATTCAAAGACAAGGTGCCATTCGCCGTTGTGGAAACATACGCCCGAGAGACCGATGAGATTGAAATGGTTGAGTTTACTCAACAGATTGATTTCCTTGGGCACATCTCCGCTCATCTTCTTGATAGCCGCAAAGTCTCCATTGATTTTGCCACGATAAACGGATCCTTGAATGCAAGAATTATGACTGAAATCTTGAGTCACGGATTTGAGCTCGTCAAAGGTATACATCTTAACAGATTTTACCAATTCAGACACACTTGCGTAACTCAACTCCGCTTGCTCATCCAGTTTCTTCTCCTCTACTCCAAAACCCCCCGAGACCAACTCCGGATCGGTTTTCTCTCCCTGTTTCCGGAGACAAAACACGAAAACAAGCGCGCCTACAACAGACAAACAAGAAATTCCTCCAAGAACACCGGCCACAGCATATATCCAGGTCTTGCTTGAGCTTTTACTAGGCGAAGGGACAAGCGGCTGCAGGGGCGGCGGTGGAGGCTGCGCGGCCACCTGTTTGCTCGATGGTCGGTCATGAAGTGGGACCAGCAGAGTGGTGTTGGGGTATATGGTAGAATCCTGAAAAGACAGACCGTTTGCCGCTAGGGTTTCCCCTGTATCCACCCCAAACATGTTGCTGATCAAGGAAACGTACTGTCCCGATTGGATCACGTAGCTCAACAAGTACTTCACGCCATTGTCGCTCTGGTTCTTCGTGGGACAAGCACACCTCAAAGGAACAAAAACTCTCTCCCCAGTGTACAACGATGTCGGATCAATTCGACTGTTCTGAGACAGGAGAGCCGTACAGGTAGACAGCCCTTGCAAAACGGTATTGGCAATGCCTATAAACGTATCCTCGTACCTAATCGCGTACGATCCACTGGCCTGGTAATTCCGACCAGAACAAGAACATGTGACAGGGACAAGAACCACCTCGTTACTCCCGAAGGTCGCATTTCGAGGGACGGAATTGATTCGGGAGAGAATTTCTGGGTCGGCCCCGAGAAGGGAGGAGATGGAGGGAACGGAGTCGTAGGGCGGCTGAGATGTGAACGTCAGGTAGGCCGGGCAGCTCCGGGCAGGGCCGTTGCAGAGGTAGCCGAAGGCGGAAGTGGAATTGCCGGTGGCGTTGCTAGCTCCGTCGCAGCCGGTGGCCTTGCGGATGTAGGGCTGCTGGGATCGGCAGAACAAGGGAGGTGAAATGAGGACGGTGAGGAGAGAGATCCAGTGTGAGATATTCATTTTTGGGAGATGGAGAGGTGAAGAATGAATTGAAGAGTGGATCTGGCAATTAAGCCCGACCGGGTAGAGAAGACGATAATGAATGATGATAGAGGAGGGAGAGTGTACAATTTGGTTACGACATCCGTACAGTTGACTAAAACTGAATTGCGCGTCTGCTTGACCTGTCATTATCGGTGACCTGTAAAACAATTTCCACGCTCCTGCACCGTCGCATAGAGGGCTGGCCGGGTGGTTTCCCGGAGTGGGAAGAAACCAGACACCCATTTTCAAAGAGGAAAGGATAATAAAAAATGCCAAGGGTACCCGAGTTGTCCCCATCCCCTCCATTAACACAAAAATGAGCAAGAGAATAAAAAAATTAAATAAATAAAAATGGGGTAAAAATGAGTGGTGGAGAAAGGGGTGGGGGACAAATGGGATACACCAAAATGGTGTACCCCTAGCATTGCTCAAGGATAATTCCAGCTTAGGAAAACCGGCTAATTTAGAAGGATAAATTATTTGTACCTCAAACTTTTGTATCCCATTTTATATACTGTAGGTTTGCACCGACATTTTGTGTTGGTGTAAAACTAATTTTTGTTAACGCACCAACACTTTGTGTCTATGTAAATTTTTGTTAATGCACCAACACTTATGTCGGTGTAAACCATCAAAATGTTTGTATATGACTACGGTGTACAAATGGGGTACACTTTTTGGTGTAAGTATAGCATGACCCAATTTAGAAAGGCGAAAATGATTTTTCTTTTTAATGATTTGTTTCCGTTTGGGAAAAGTCGATTACAAGTTGATGGGTATAACCCATTGGTACCACCCGATAAGTTCACAGGCTCTTGGGAGGTACCAAAGTCTGATCCTGCCTGACTTCATTCGCAGAAGGCTTAAAGTCTGACCAGGCTTGACCTCGCTGTCCCCGTTAATCTGACCGGGTGGACATTGGGGATCAGACCGGTAAGATCATGACTTGAAGATTGCCCGGGTGGATGACTTGAAGACTGCCTAGGTGGATGACTTGAAGACTACCCGGGTGGATGACTTGAAGACTGACCGTCCCGAAGAACAGTAACGTCGGGACGTGCTTGACGTGCTTGTTCATTATTATAAATAGGAGTAAAAGCCTCATTAGAAAGGCATGCTTTAATTAATCCGCACGGCTTGTAGCTTTGTAAAAGGTCCTATTATCATTAATAACAAATCGGGTTACAGGTGTTTCCACCTACAGCCCTTCCGCTTTTTGTGACTTTGTTCTCATGTTAGTTTTACACCATCAAATTAGCCCCACCCGTGGGACCTCTTTACAAAAAGAAGCCATGATGAACAACAATATGGAATCCATTATTGCCCAAATTTTCACCCCAGCGGAGGGTGTTACCCTAATCCTGGGAGGAATCACATCACTACCTTCTCTTTTCTCCCCCATGATCACCACCTTCACTACTCAAACAGCGTCGGGTCAAGCCCTTCAAAACTTTGGACAATTTATGCCCATGTTCCAACAACCCGGGGGATTTACTCTTTTCATCCCTAGGATGTACCCCCATGCTCTAGCCCAAAATACATCTCCTCCCAACTCGTTGGGGCATCCCCGCCAAACCAACCGACCAGTACCACCCAGCCAGTCATCCCAGCCGAAGAGCTGGAAAGGGCAGGTCCTTCTCGGTCCAGAAAGAGCAGATCCCACAAAATCCCCACTCAGATCACACCCGACGCGGACGAGCACTCTGTATACAGCAGGGGCGAAAACTGGGATATTTCCAGGGGCCAGAAAAAGCTAGGGTTGAGCCGTCCAGCCCGAAGGTGTTAGAATAAGTGACCAACGCTAGAGGGGGGGGTGAATAGCGTTTGATCGTAGAAATCGCACGAATAAAAAATTAAGAACGTGAAAAGTAAAGAGCGTAGAAAGCATAAAGGGAGCACACCAAGATTTATACTGGTTCACCACAACGTGTGACTAATCCAGTCTCCCGAGAGACTCTCTCGAGCTACACTACTTCCGTTAAGCTTACGGGTGCTTAACAAACCGTTACAACCTGAGAACTTGAGTCCCACGAGCCTCAATACACTTGCTCGGAGATACCGCACTCCAAGACTTCAACCCGAAGGAAAATACCTTTCCTTCGTACAACCAAGGGAAACAAGCTTCCCTAATTGTGTTTACAACACTAAGAACACTCAAGAACAAAACTCTCTTTAAGAGTAGATGTTGAGTAAACTATATACGCTCAAGAACAACTCAAACTTCACAAATTTGGCTCTAGAAAGCTATGGAAAAAGATGTTATATGAATGCAATGATAATATGTGTAATGTGAAGTGAATTGATTGGTAAAGCAGACCAAAACACCCCTTTTTATAGTGCCAAAATAGGCTCCAACGGACCAAGGCATTAAAGGGATGATTGGCTTGATTTATGGGATTGATTAAAATGTGGATCTGCAGGATATTGGCTTTCCCAGCAATGTATAGACTTACCCATCGCTGGTAAGCCAATTTTCCTTCAGTTTTGAAGCCAACGGTCACCTACCCATCGATGGGTAAATGCTTCCCATCGCTGGGTGGGAGGTTGACTTTCAAACAAGGAAAGAATCAGCCTTAAATGACTCACAACGGTCATGCCTAACCAGCGATGGGTATCCCCTCCCATCGCTGGGTTCCCATCGATGGGTAAAGATTCCCATCGCTGGGTAAGAGCATTCTGCCTTGTGATAATGTTGGACCAAGGCTTGAACAGCGATGGGTAGAACTTCCCATCGCTGTTTGGCATGGTTCTGGAAATCAGTTGGGCTGAAGGCTGCTTACCCATCGCTGGGTAATATCTCCCATCCCTGGGTGGAATGATTCTGGAATCCCGGGATCACTTACCCATGGATGGGTGATATCTACCATCGCTGGGTAGATAACTAGCCCAGAACCATGGCCTAGCTGACCGGCGCTGAAACCCGACCGAAGAATGCAAAGTTCTCCAAAGTAAAAACTAAGTATTTAAAACACTTATTTGATGTATTTGGCTAAGAAATCAAGTGAGACACTTTAAAAACCACTTCATTTGAGTAAAAACCACAGCTAGCCAAGTTTATGCCGTTTTGCGTGGTTTTTGCGTGGTAAAAACCAATCATAAAATTTTGAAAACCACTTAGTTGGTTCGGACGCCAAAAACCAACGCCAATAACCGAATGCCGAACACTAATTTCTGAAAGCCGAATCCCGGATGGCTTGGTTTTTGGTTTTGGCGAACACCAAGTGTTTCTAATGTATTAAATGTGTTTGAAAAACATTTTTATGATGTGTGAAATACAATAAAAGGTTTTAGCCTAAAGAGCCAAAGTGTAAGGCTTAGGACGGTCTTGATCACATTTGTGACCGACTCAACGACACTAAAACTACGGTCTTCGTTCTTGGTCTCTTTTAGCTCTTGTTCTCATATTCATTTCTCGCCTTGTACATTCAACACTTTGTCTCGTTCACGGCGGTTTGGCATTATCAAAACCTGTCATAAAAACGAACACGGCTTTAGTACAAAAACATGATAAACCCGTGTTTCAAGAGAAGGTTCGCGACGATCAGCGTTCCAGCGGCTGGGACATGAAGGACAGAACCTGAACCGACCGGTCAAGGAGCGGTTGGGGGTGGAGATCCCCCAGCCAAGCGCGTTCGACAGAATGGGAGGTTACAGGACACCCGGTCAGACCGGGCGCTCCGAACCTCGTCCCCGTGATGTGCCCCAACACAGCCGGGTGTTTGGAACGGAAGACGATGCGGAAAGCCAGCCCAAACTGGCAACGTGCATGCATACTGAACCACCCAACGACCGGGTGGACATAGTGGAAGCACGTTTGGAGAGGCTCTTAAAGAGAGTTCGTCGGGAAGAAAAAAAGAAAGTGGTGTTGAACAACCGTTTATCACCCGCTAAGACTGGATATGTACCGTGCCAATGTTAAATAAAGTTGATCTTTTTCTAAAAAGACTACGCGCAAAACCGGTCGGGGAGGTTACAGACTCATCTGCCCGGTCTTTGTTCAATCGAATTGAGAATTTAAAAAAAACAAAACAAAGAAAATATGTGATCCAGTCAAACTGGTACACTGGTTTCACACCGGTCTTGCACGTATTTTACAACGAAGCTTGAGCCCAATCGAATTGGGTACACCGGTCGCACATCGGTTTTAGCAAAAAAGAGATAAAACCAGCCGGCTGGTCAAACTGATAAACTGTATCGACACGGTCTCGAATGACGCGACCAATAAAGGAGAGCATCGTGGATTAGTCAAAATTAAACGAGAAAAACATGGCATATTTTCTACTCAGGTAGAAAGCCAAACGGATTAGATGGGCCGAGCACAAAACTGCCCGGGCGGGACACCATACTTTTTCAGAAAAGATGGTAAGACCGGTCGGGGAAGGTTGCCGACCTATCCACCCGGTCAGTGTTCAATCGAACTGAACATTACAAAACCGCCCGGGTGGGACACCATACTTTTTCAGAAAAGATGGTAAGACCGGTCGGGGAAGGTTGTAAACCTATCTACCCGGTTAGTGTTCAATCGAACTCAACATTACAAAACCGCCCAGGCGGGACACCATACTTTTTCAGAAAAGATGGTAAGACTGGTCGTGGAAGTTTGCAGACCTATCCACCACCTGGTCAGTATTCAATCGAATTGAACATTACAAAACCGCCCGCCCGGTAAGACATTCTCACTCGGGTCAGAACCGCCCGGTAAAAGCAGGTCAAGTCCATCTTTTCCCGGGTAAAACACCATTCCTTTTTGGAAAAAGATGGTGAGAAGCGTTTGACCGGGTAGATACAGCCCGGCTGTGTCCAAAGGGATTGAGAGTTCGAACTCTCTTAACCAATGGCCGGGTCAAAATAAAGGAAGAAAGTACTAAAAGGGAATAAGTACTTGGGATCAAAATCCTGCACCCGGCTGCTCAGGATCCCTTACAGTCCATGGTGCTCCTAGTACTCACCGGTCTCAAATCCAAAGGTCCCAATGTCATCAATCAGTTGTTGGGATACTTGGAAGAACCGGATGTCGACCTCCCGGACAAGAAGAGCTTGGGCAATGAACTTCTCCAACTCGGCGATCTTCCGCTGCACCTCATCCAACTCCTTGGCGGGCTTGAGCAAGCCCGTGTGCTTTGTGAAGAGACCCCGGTTGGCTTCGGCCTGTTTGACCAGCTTCTCCTTCATTTTCTTGGACACAAACCGGGCTGCCTCTTCATCCTTCTGGCGGCGACCATCATGGCCTCCATCTAGAGCTTCGCATCCGTCTGGGACCTGACCAGCCGGGTGGTCCACTTGTGCCAGATCCGGCCGACCTGTTTTAAGGAGAAATTAAAGGGGGAATGGATGCTTACCTCACTTAGGTCGGCGTCTGACCAGGACATTAGGCCATGTCCCGGGGCTCGCCCTTGCCTTTTCCGGCGTCGGAGGACTGGGGGGCTTCGTCCTTCGCTTTTTCCTTTGCAAATCCTCCTTCGCAGAGGCCTCCTCATTGCCTACTTCCGGTTTCTTAGAGCCTTGGCTAGCCTCGGAGGCATGGCCGGTCTCAGAGAGGAACCCCTCGAACTCCAAGGTCTCCAGATTGAGAAATAGATCTTCGGAGTGGAGGGGCACAGAAGTCTCCTGATGAGTCTGCGCCGGCTGCTTAGCGGCAGGCTGAGGCTGCCCGGCTGAGGTCCCCTCGACCGTGGGGATTGGGAACTTGGAACGGAACTTCACCACTGCAAGAAATAGAAGACCGAAGAGAGGAGCTCATGAAGCAACTGGTCATCCAGCCAGACGTAGCCCTCCAGCCTCCTAAACGATTCGGGTTATGGTGACTGTCTGGGCCGCAGAATAGGAAGGGGCGAAAGTGGAAGCATCAACCGGAGCTAGTAGAAGAGGACTTGGAATCAGAGGCCTGAGACCGGGTTCCAGAACCATAAGAATGTACGGAGGACTGAGAGGACTCGGAAGACTGGTTAAATGCTGATTCAACCTGGGAGTTTTTTAAGAAAATGTGTCGTCGAGGAGGACCAATGGAAAAAGGACACCGGGCAGATACTATAATTAGCAGTGATGACCTCTTGGGAAGGGGAAACGACATGACAACTAGGCGGGGGCGTATCGGTTTCCGTAAAATCTTTCCCGCTAAATTCACTTGGAAAATTCAAAATTATTCAACATTTGATTCCCGCTCTTGATGGTGCCGACAAGGTCAGGAATCGGAGGACTCCTTGATGGGTATAACCCATTGGTACCACCCGGTAAGTTCACAAGCTCCTGGGAGGTACCAAAGTCTGATCCTGCCTGACTTCATTCGCAGAAGGCTTAAAGTCTGACCAGCCTTGACCTCGCTGTCCCCGTTAATCTGACCGGGTGGATATTGGGGGTCAGACCGATAAGATCAGAACTTGAAGATTGCCCGGGTGGATGACTTGAAGACTGCCCGGGCGGATGACTTGAAGACGGACCGGCCGGAAGAATAGTAACGTCGGGATGTGGTTGACGTGCTTGTTCATTATTATAAATAGGAGTAAAAGCCTCATTAGAAAGGCATGCTTTAATTCATCCGCACGGCTTGTAGCTTTGTAAAAGGTCCTATTATCATTAATAACAAACCAGGTTACAGGTGTTTCTACCTACAGCCCTTCCACTTTTTGTGACTTAGTTCTCACGTTGGTTTTACAGCATCACAAGTTATTACTCCTTCTGTCCACAAATAAACTTCTCGTTCACTATTCACAGGGTCAAACTTTATTTACTTTATTGGCCTATTTTCGTCACTCATATAATAAAATAATATAGTCATGTCACCTCTAGTTTTGTAGATATTTTGGTATAGTTTTTAATATGTAATTCTAATTTTTAAATTTTACACTATTTTTCGTATAAAATAATTTGAAAATAAATTCAGTCAAACATTGTGCAAATATTAAGTATTAATGATCGGAAGGGCTGTAGGTGGGAACACCTGTAACCCGGTTTGTTATTAATGATAATAGGAACTATTACAAAGTACAAGCCATATGGATTAAATAAAGCATGTCTCACAAATGAGGCTTTTAAGGGTATTTATAATAATCATAAGCACGTCAAGCACGTCCCTGATTATTCCACCGGTCAGTTCACTGACCGGCCCCTTAGTATGACTTCGCGAGAAGAAGCTGCGTCTTCGACTGCTGTTCAATTCATCCCGACCAGTAGACAGCCCGGGATGAGTAGGTCAGGCGGCGTCACATCTGGTACCTCCTAGTCGGTCGGACCCACCGGGCGGTAACCATGGGTTATTACCCATCAAGGAGTCCTCCGATTCCGGTCTTGTGGGTACCACCAGGGGCGGGAAGCATATTCGAGCATCCTTTCAAATTTGAACTGCCCAGGCGTTTTTTGGCGGAAAAACGGTTTCTGCAAACCAGCGCCAAAACCAATATTTTTGATTTTTGAATTTTTGAAAACCCGGGCGCCAAAGGCGAGAGAATCTTCGTTGAAATCGGTACGGCGCCGCCGATTTGTTGTGCTGTTTCGTCTCCCCGAGAAGTTATGATTACGAATCATTTCAGCTGCCACGTGTCACTTCGCTATTCGTTCGGCTGGGCGGCACCACCCCTATATAAAGCGAGGTTCCCCCTTGAATATTCTCACTTGCAAATCACCAACTAAAAATCTGTCCGGTTGCTTCAACTACTTTCCGAGTCCTTCGAGTCTTCTAGTTCCAAGTAAGTCTCCTCCCTTCCTCTTCTTCTTTGAGTCAGGTCTGACCGTGAGGACAGCCAGAACCCCTCCGTCCACTCTTACGATTCTGGTGGCCGGTCTCAGACCTCCGGTTCCTCCTCTTCATCATCTTCCTCTTTTGAACGCCCGGCTTCTTCTCCACAGAAAAAGTCGGTTGACGCTTCCACTTATGCCCCTTCTTCTTCCGTGGCGTAAGTGGTCTCGGTTGCTGGGGACGAGGGCTTCATTCAGCTGGACGACCGGTTGCTTCAAGAGCAACCGTCGCACATGTAGAAAGCTCAAGTCCACGAGCTGCGCAACCTGATGCCGGATGGGTACCAATTGGCCTACCGGGTAACGTGGAAGAATATTATTTCTCTCCACGCCGGTACGACGATTGGTATCCATTACCATTCTATCAAGGACCTGGGTGAATTTTCTATTCACCCTTTCAAAGTCCATTTCTTTGAAACGTACGGGATCATGCACGGGCAGTTGGCCCCAAATGGTCACCATATGTTGAGTAGTTTCATCAATGTTTGTCGCTTTCTTCACATCCCTCTCTCTCTACGCCTTTTTGACCACATGTTTGATGTCCGGTCTGGGTCCAAGGAAACCCTTAGATTCGTGGTTGTGTCTTCTCACCAAGGCCAGGCATTCCTTTCCGGTCTTCCTCCTTCTAACAGGGGTTGGAAGGACAAATATGTTTCCATCAAATTCCCCCTAGGCGCTTTTCCCTTTGCCCAAAATGCCTGGGGGAAAAGGATGAAAGTCCAAGTCAAGCCCCGAGAGGCTGACGACCTGGCCGGCTGGGAAACCACTCTCCGGGCAGGAGACGCCACCACCCGCGGCCCTTACAATGTCGGGAAGTGGGGTGTCTATTCCGGGTGGGAGACTGATCCTGAGCTAGAAATTATTCTGACTGAGGTGATTCCTGACGCCATTCCCATCCGCCGGGTGAAAGGGTCAAAAGCCCCGTTTTCTACCCCCGCCGGTTCCTTGCGCCCGAGGATGAAGAAAGAGAAAGGTCCGACCCTACTGCCCTTCTCAATTCTTTTTTATATTATCATTTTTTACTTTGCAACTCTCCTCTTCTAACCGATCTATATCTTCTTTGTTTCAGTGGTGAAGTTCAGCTCAAAATTCGCCACTCCCAAAATCGTCGCTGAGGAACCCCCAACTGCCCAGCCCCTCAGCGAGCCCTTCGGCCACCTGTTCTCACTGGATGAGCAGCCGGCTCAATCGCATCAGGGCACCAGCCAGCCAATCCACTCCGGGGAGCTCTACATCAATGTAGACACCATGGAGTTTGATAATATGCTGGCGGAAACTGGTCACACGTCAGAGGCCGGTATGGGTGGCCAACAAGCTGAGGGGGGCCACGACGAGAAGGAGGCTTCTGAGGAGGCTCTTCAAAGGAAGCGTCGGAGGACGCAAGTCGTGGACCAGCAGGCCCAGTCCTCCGGCGCCGGCAAAGGGATCGGCGAGCCTCGGGTTTTTGCCATGATGGTCCGGTCGGACGAAGAGCTCTACTTGGCCTTCTGTTCCGATCTGCAAGAGGTAATCCCCCAATCCTTCTTACATTCTCACTTTTGCATTTCCAAAATCATATTTCTGAAAAATTTTCATCTCTTTGAAGCAGGTCGGACGGATTGGCCAGGAGTACTTCTCCCAGCTGGTGAAGTCCAAAGAGGAGGAGAAGGCTCGGCTGGAGGGCATGATGGTAGCATGTCGGAAGGATGCCCAGGCCGCCCATCTGAAAGCGGAGAAGGCCTAGGAGAAGCTGTTAGAGAATTGCGCGGCTTCCGCAAGCTCTATGCCAAACATGAAGGTCTGCTGAAGGCCGCGAAAGAGGCCGACGAGCAAGCTCAGAAGAAGATCCAAAGGCTTGAGGCAGAGAAGGCCGCGCTGCAGGAAGAGGCGTCTCGATCAGCCGAGGAGATTGCCCGGCTTGGGGATGAGCTGGAGAAGGAGCGCGCAGAAAGGGCGTCTCTTGCCGCTGCCTGGGCCATCCAAGAGTCGGAGCAGTTTGCCAACCGGGCGATAGCGGACCGGGATGCTGCCATCCGGTTGTTCCAAGGGCTCTATAAGCACGAGCCATCAGCCAAGGTCATCGATGAAATCGGGACCTTTGGCTTCGAAAGTGGCCAATATGACGAACGTCGGGCGCTCTATGGCATTCTCCAACGGCGGATCCAAGGTTTCGAGCCCAAGGCCTTCTCACTGCCCGAGTTGCATGACGAAGCGCCGGTCGCGCCTTTCGAAGGCATCTGAACTCCAGCCTACCTCCTCTCTTTTTTTTTATTTCAGTCGTGTAATGATCAGCCTCCGGGCACTTTTGTAAACCACTTTTAATATATCAATGAAGTTATTATTTTCATTTTATGCGCTGAGTGCTTAAATACTTTATCCTGATTTGCCTTTAAAATAACTGTAATTTTCTAACCGAGTAGATCATTTAGCTACAGCCTGGCTGTAGTCGACTAGTTTAATTCAACTTTAAATTTTCAACCGGGTAGATTACTTAGTTACAGCCCGGCTGTAATTACCTGATCTAATTCAAAGTTTTACTCAAGTCCTTTCGAAAGACTGACTGGGTGACCGGGGAGAGATTGAATCCGACCAATCTCTTCCCAATCGGTTTGTAGACCCGCGATGGCAGTTTGACTTATCCTTTTCGAAAGGATGGTCTTCTGCCCGAGTGCAAGCAAAGCCAGCTTGTCTTTCAAACCGGCTTATTGCCCGTGCTGAAAGACAAGCCTTGCTTTTTCTCTATTATCATATGACCCAACCAAACCGGGATGCTCTCCTTCTTTGGTTATGTCATTTTGATACCGTGTTAGTACAGATGAAGAGTTTGATCGGTCCGACTGGCCTCTCTTCATTCTTTTTTTTAGATGTTCAATTCGATTGAACATCAAGACGGTCAGATTGGTAAGTGACCAATTACCAGTTGGTGTTAAGAACAATCTTTCTGAAAAGAACAAGTTTTATTCATGACCGGGAACTCATTACACTTTATCTAAAAAAATTACGCAAGTGGTGAGAGTTCCAATGCCGGTCGCCTCGTCCGCCTTCCATGGTTTCCAGCTGATAAGTGCCTGGCCGGATGATCGCCCTAATGCGATATGGTCCTTCCGAGTTGTGTACTAGCTTCCCTCTTTCGTTGGGTTTACAAGCATCCCTTCTTTGCAAGACTTCATCATGTACCTGGAAGTAACATGGACCCACCCGGTTGTCATGATATCTCTTTACTGACTGCTGATAACCGGCCATTTTGACGGCTGCCATTGTTCTTCGTTCTTCTACCAGATTCAATTCAGCTAGGTGATCGGCCTCGTTCTACCCGGGCTGATACACGGTTTCTTTAAATGTTGGAAATTCTACCTCGATTGGCAACCGGGCTTCACATCCATAAGTGAGCACAAAAGGAGTCTCCCCGGTTGCTCTTCTTGATGTCACCCTGTGCGCCCAGATTGTATGAGGTAGTGCTTCCAACCACTTGCGCCCTTCTTCACCCAACCTCTTCTTCAGCCCGTCCACTATTGTTCGGTTAGCATTTTCAACTTGGCCATTTCCTTGTGGATATGCTACTGACGCCTTGTTATGCTTGATTCCAAAGCTGGCCAAGTACGCAGTGAACCAGGGGTTGCGAAACTGTGGGCCGTTATCAGTGACAATCATCTTTGGGGCCCCAAACCGGGTAACAATGTTCTTCCACACAAATTTTTCACACTGTCGCACGGTTATAGTGGCCATCGCCTCGGCCTCTATCCACTTGGTGAAATAATCTATGGCGACCATCACGAACTTCTTCCCGCCTTGTGCAACCGGGAATGCCCCAATAATGTCAATCCCAAACCGGGCAAAGGGTATGACATTAGAGGTTGGTTGGTAATATGTAGCCGGTCTCCCGGGATGTTTGTAAAAGACTTGGCATGTCCTACATTTTTGCACATACTGTTCACAATCCCTGACGATGGTCGGCCAATAGTAGCCGAGCAGTATTATCCTTTGGGCCAATGTACGGGACATTTGATGGGCTGCACAAACTCCCTCGTGTACTTCGGCTATCACTCGTTCGGCCTCCGGGTTGGTAAGACAACGTAGTAGAGGTCCTCTAATAGCACGCTTGTATAAGTGACCATCCAGTACCTGAAACCGGAGAGCTCACAAGACTAACTTCCTGGCTCGTTCTTCGTCGTCCGGTTTCTGGCCAGTCATTAAGTACTCCATGAGATTGTATCTCCAGTCATCATCCGCCTCAATCACCCCGGTGGCTGAGCTCTGACCTTGCTGGACGGCTGCAACCTCCAACCGGTCAGTGCTAGGTTGGTCCAATATTTCAATTTTGGCCAACTTTGATACATGCTCCGGGCAAGCTTGCATCAACTTGGAAAGCATATCAGCATCTGTATTTTCTGACCGGGGTATCCTGGTCAGACGAAACTCTTCCAATTCTCTCAAAAGAGCTCGAACCAGGTCTGACCTTGCTGGGTATCCTGGTCAGACGAAACTCTTCCAATTCTCTCAAAAGAGCTCGGACCAGGTCACTGTACCGGGCCAAACGTTCTTCTTTGACTTCCATCTTGCCATTAACCTGGCCGACAACCAGGCTTGAATCAGACCGGATCTTCATTCTCTTGATCCCGAGCGCCCGGGCTAATCTGAGCCCACCGGCCAATGCCTCATACTCCGCTTCGTTGTTGGTAAGCTTAAAGTTAAAAACCAAGGCATGGTAGATTTTGAACCCTTCTGGAGTAGTAAAGACTATACCGGCCCCGCAGCCTTTTGGTCTAGATGCCCCATCAACGGCCATGTCCCACCACGGTTTGACCGTATGGGAAGGTCTAGCTTCAGGCTCCAGACCGGTCAGTTCCACCACGAAGTCGGCCAGTGCTTGGCCCTTGATTGCGGTTCGGGGCATATACTCGATTTTGAACTAGGTGAGCATCATTGCCACTTGATCATTCGTCCTGAAGAAGTTGAATTGCGGAGGACCGGTCCAAGTGGCTGATCGGTTAGTACTTCTACAGCGTGAGCTTGGAAGTACGCGATCAGTTTTTTGGCCGTTATAAAAAGTGCATATGCTGTTTTTTCGATGGCAGTGTACCGGCTTTCTGCCCCATTAAGTGCTTTGCTCACATAGTAAATTGGCCTCTGGCCGTCTTCATTTCTAATCAATACAGAGCTTACAGCATTTTGGGATACGCCCAGATACAAGTACAAAGTTTCACCCGACTTGGGTTTAGACAAAACAATATCAGAAACTAAGTACTCCTTCAGCTGCTGGAAAGCTTCTTCACACTCCCGATCCCATTCGAATGTGTTGGCCTTCTTTAGGACCTTGAAGAAAGGCAGGGCTCTTTCAGCCGATCGGGAAAGGTAATGGCTCAAAGTTGCTAGCCGCCCGGTTAGTCGCTGCACGTCCTTCAGGGAATCGGGCGACCTCATCTCGGTTATTGTCTTTATTTTCTCCGGGTTAGGCTCAATACCCCGCTTTATGACCATGAACCCTAAGAACTTGTCGGTCTTTACAGCAAAGACGCATTTCTTGGAGTGAGGCGCAGGTTGTATTTTGCCATGATCTCAAAACATAGCCTCATATCAGCCGGGTGTTTCATTGCTCCTGGGCTCTTGATCAGGATGTCATCCACGTAAACTTCCATGGACTTACCGAGGAGTGGCTTGAAAAGCTGGTTCACCATCCGTTGATAAGTGGCACCCGAGTTCTTCAGTCCAAAGGCCATCACCCTGTAGCAATACGTGCCTTCGGGAGTTAAGAAGGAAGTTTTTTCCTCATCCTCCTTCGCCATGAAGATTTGATGGTAACCTTTGAAAGCGTCCATGAAGCTGAGCAATTCACATCCGCCCGTCTCGTCAACCATCTAGTCAGGACTGGGCAGCGGATACGAATCCATGGGGCAGGCCTTGTTGAGATCTGTGTAGTCTACACACATACGCCAAGTGTCGCCCTTAGGTGCTAGGACGACATTCGCCAACCAAGCCGGGTACTGGACTTCTCTGATGTGCCCGACTGACAGCAGATCCTTCACTTCTTTCTTAACAAACTCCCTTCGGAAATTTGCTAAGTGTCTCTTCTTTTGTTTCACCGGCTGGCTACCTTCTATTACTGCCAACCGGTGACAGATAACGGAACGGTCGATGCCCGACATATCCGCCACGCTCCAAGCGAATATGTCAGCGTACTCCCGAAGGACCGAGATGATTTCCTCTCGGAGTCCTCTGGGTAGATCCCAGCCGGTTCTCACCATTCTCTCCGGGAATGCTTCCCGGAGAACGATCTGCTCAGTTTCATCACCCGGCTCCAACTTTGACCGGTCTTATTCTTGGGACACCAGGGTAACCCTTTCGAACGCCTTTGTCATTTTCTTTACGGCCTCAAGGTAACAAGACCAGGCCTTCTTCTGATCCCCTCTGACTTGTCCTATACCGCCCGGCGTATAGAACTTCATGCAGAGGTGAGCCATGGAGATGATTCCTCGAACCTTGTTTATTCCAGGCCGGCCCAAGATGGCATTGTGAACACATTCGATGTTCACCACTACGAACCTCATCTGCTTTTGGATGACCTTATCTCGCGTGCCCAACTCGCAAGTTAAGAGGATTGAACCCTCAGCTTCAACGGAATCCCCGGTGAACCCGGACAAGGGAGTCTTTAAGGGCTCAAGCCGTGTTAGACACAGCTTGAGTTTCTCAAAGGCGTCCAAGTACAAAACATTGACACTACTGCCCGTGTCAACAAGTACCCGGGAGACATCGACTCCACCCATATCCATGGTTATGACCAAGGGGTCATTGTGATCTTCCCCAGTGGCGGGAAGATCTCGATCCGTGAAAGTGATCGGATCCCATCTGGTCTGCTTTGGCCGGGGACCTGAGGCAATTGTGCCAACGTAGAGTTGCCGTCCCCACTTCTTTCTTTGGGAAGCAGAATCTCCCCCTTCCGGTCCACCATAAATGACTTGCAAATGCTCCTTACCAGCTGCTTTCTTCTTCTTGTTCTGCTCGACCGGTTGTCCTTCAGGCCGGACCCATTGGTTTTTCTTTTGTTTCGCCTGAGCTAGATACTCTGGATCAAGATCCCTGGCCTCAATCATTTGCTTTATCACCCCCTTAACACTATTGCACTCAGCAGTGTTATGGGAGTCGGTTTTGTGGAAGGAGCAATACTTCTCGGTTCACTGCTTCTCCCCGGCTGGCTTCTTCTCCACCTTGGCCGACTTCACCTCTAGGACATCTGCTTTTACCCTGCCGGGCAATTCAATTTCCTTTTTCAAGGAAATCCTTCCCTTGGAGTGGCCTTGTTCGGCTTCCCTTCTGGAGGAAACCTGTGCTTTAGCGTCGGCGTAATCCCAGGCCGTGTTGTAGGCCTCTTGGTAAGACTGGGGAGGTCTCCGGCAGAATTCTTTGTACAACTCTCCGGAACAAAGCCCGGAGACCAGGAGGGACATTGCTGTCTTGTCGTCCATCTCTTCCACCTTGTCTACTTCGTCCTTCCACCGGATAAGGAACTTGGTCAGATCTTCGTGTTTCCTCTGCCCGACCGTACTCAAGTAGGTAAACTTTTTCCTCTTAGTACAGTTCTCCTTAAACTTTTCCTGGAACACCTCGGCCAATTCATTAAAAGAGTCAATCTCACCGGCCGGGAGGTTGTGAAACCACTCAGCGGCCCAGCCGCGGAGGGTTTGGAAGAAAAGTAAACATTTCTCGTCTCCAGAAAGACCCATCATTCTCCCACTTTGGTGGAGGGTTTTGACGTGTATCTCCGAGTCCTCCTTCCCGGTGAATTTTGGGACCTCCAACTTTGCCTTTTTTGGGAACGGGGTTTCGTGCACCCGGTCAGTAAATGGTGATTCATTCAGCAAGATCTTCTTTTTCTCGTCCCGTCTACCCGCTGCTGCAGTTTCTCCAGACGCGCCTCCACCCGGCCCACACAGTCCCTTGGTTGTTCAACATGGGTGTGGACCGTGTGCCTCGGATGGCTTTCTGCTTCCTCCTCCTGGGGCGCCCAGCTGTTCTGGGGCTCATCGCGAGGGGGTGGTTTCGTTCACCTGGTCCGACCAGGTCGCTCGGCCCCTCTTCCCAGTCTGTCAAAGGCACTCACCGGGGTAGTCTCCACTCATAGTCGTTCTTTGGCCGGGCGGTTCTAGTTCCTGCCGTCATGTTCCAGCCTCTGGCATGCAGATCTCCTGGATCCTTCAGGCTGGATAACCTTACCCTTCAGCTTCTTTTGGGCTTGGGGTACATCCCAGTCCTCATCCTTGCTGTGGACTGATCGCACATCGCCATCTGGTGTGACCTGGGTGTGCGATCTCCGGGACCGACTCCTTCTGGACCGGGATGGACCAACCTTGTCCATCTCCCCGACCAGATTTTTTGGGACGACTGGCCGGACGATGTTAGTTTGTGGGAATGACGGTGGGTATAATCCAGGGATGAAAGGAGAAAATCCTCCCGGCTGTTGGAACATAGACTTAAACTGTCCGAAATTTTGGAACGCCTGAGAATACATCGGGTCAATGGGCCCGGGAAAATTTAGAGGACACACCGGAACAGAGGTCATTGGGGAAGTGAATGGGGTAGGCGTTGGAATGGTGATTATGGGGGTAGGGATTGTAGTAGTAGGTGGGGCACTCCCCCCGGGAACGATGTAATGTTCTCAACGGGAGTAGAGATTTGTGAGATGATGGTTTCCTGGTAACTTGCCATGGCTTTTTTGTAATAGGTCCCACGGGTGGCGCCAATTTGATGGTGTAAATTACCGTGCAAATATTAAGTATTAATGATCGGAAGGGATGTTGGTGGGAACACCTATAACCCGGTTTGTTATTAATGATAATAGGAACTATTACAAAGTACAAGCCGTATGGATTAAATAAAGCATGCCTCACAAATGAGGCTTTTAGGGTATTTATAATAATCCTAAGCACGTCAAGCACGTCCCTGATTATTCCTCCGGTCAGTTCACTGACTGGTCCCTTAGTATGACTTCGCGAGAAGAAGTTGCGTCTTCGACTACTGTTCAATTCATCCCGATCGGTCAGACAGCCCGGGATGAGTAGGTCAGGCAACGTCACATCTGGTACCTCCCGGTCGGTCGGACCCACCGGGCGGTAACCATGGGTTATTACCCATCACATCGTAACACGCAACAAAAAATTTATTTGTAGACGGAGGAAGTATAATCTTTTTTAAAGAAAAATGTGATGCTTGGTCAACACTTTAGATTTTTTTTTCCGGATTTATGCCTTATGGAAGCCGATTTTGAACAATTCCCCACGAAACCTCTTTAAATTTCACACCAAAACTCACCAACTACCCACCCCTCAATTTTAATTATTAACTTTCTATAATCATCGATAAGATTTCAAAGAAGTTGAACATTTTTTCTAATATTCCGTAATACTATCATTTTGACCCGTGTCATGCATACATAGAACGAAATTTTATTATATTCTACATTACTTGAAAAACACTATTTTTTAGATTCTGACTTTAAGAGTTTTTCTTTTTGTTGAGAGAAAAATGTTTTTTAGAAAATCTAAATCTAATTTCCTACATTTGGTTACATAAGTGGTAGGAAATCATTTTTTTAAAAATGATTTTATTTCCCAATGGATGAATACCCATTTTTTATAAGTGCTCAAATCTTCTAATTCTACGAACAACGCAAAGAACTACTCTCACCCCGCCCCCTCCCCAAATCCATATAGAACGATTAGTAAATAATTGCTCTACTCATGTAATGACCCTTGGTCCGTATTTATACAATCGGGTTTACAATACTAAGTATGGTAAATAACTATACAAGGCACCTACCTAAAATAAAGGATCTACAATTAATACAAAATATTCTCCATAAAAATACAATATTCTCCAATACTCACCCTCAAGTTGGAGCATGAAGATCAATAATGCCTAACTTGGATAATAAAAACTGGAACAAGGGACCTGCAACTGCTTTAGTAAAGATGTCGGCATTCTGGAGCTTCGTAGGCACATAAGCAGTAGTAACATGTTTGCGCTCAATGCATTCACGAACAATATGACAATCAAAATCAATATGCTTAGAGCGCTCGTGAAAGACAGGATTCGCAGAAATAAACAACTTGTTGTCATAGTATAGTCGTGGTATTGTGACACAAGGTACCAACAAAGCGGCCAAAATACCACGTATCCAACGAATTTATTTGCATGCATTTGCCATGGCTCTATATTCTACTGCAGCCGAAGAACTTGAAATAGTAGTCTGCTTTTTCTGTACGCCATGAGATAGGTGAGTCTCCCAACAAGATAAAATATCTCGCAACCGAGCGACGAGTGAGGGGGCAACTTGCACAATCTGAATCAGAAAATGGCGTAAGAGCCAAGTTGCTGTCACTACGTAAAAGAATTCCCCGTCCAGGATGTCCCTTCAAGTATCTGATCACACGCAATGCGGCCTGTAGATGAGCTAAGCGTGGGGCCCGCATAAACTGAGATAAAACATGAACAGAGAAGCATATATCCGAACGAGTAATAGTGAGATATAGTAGACGCCCAACAAGTCTTCGGTACTTTGTGGGATCTCGGATCTCTGCACTTTGAGACATAGCCAAGTCATGTCCAGGCTGAATAGGAGTAGCGACTGGCTTACACCCGGTCAAACGTGCCTCTTGAATGATGTCTAATGCATATTTCCTCTAACTTAAGACCAGGCCGTCCGTAGATCTAGCACATTCTATTCCAAGAAAATAAGAGATTGAACCTAGATCTTTTAAATGAAAGTAATCATTTAAGTACTTTTTAAAGGATGAACAAACTGAAGAGTTATTACCAGCAACCAGAATATCATCAACATATATCAGAACAACCAACATATTCGGGCCATGGACCCTCGCAAACAACGTATGATCTGCGTGTGCTTGTCGAAACCCATATGATCGCAGGGCCTGACGAAGCTTCGCAAACCAATTTCTAGGAGACTATTGGAGACCATATAAAGACTTTCGCAGACGACAGACTTTCCCGGGATATGCACCAGTATACCCCGGGGGTAGTTTCATGTAAACTTCCTCAATGACATCACCATGTATTAATGCATTGTTTACATTCAATTGATGAACTTCCCAAGACCTAGCCACACCGACTGACAACAATATACGTACCGTAGCCAATTTTGCAACGGGAGCAAAGGTATCAGTATAATCAGTTCCAAATTCTTGATGATTACCAACAACTAATCTTGCTTTATCCCGTTCTTTGGAGCCGTTAGAGTTATATTTAGTACCATAGACCCACTGGAATCCCAAGGCATGACGATTCGGGGGAAGGTCCGTGATTTCCCATGTATTATTTTTCTCCAAAGCTAATAGTTCTTTAGCCATTGCCTCATGCCAAGAAGCCGATTTGACAACCTCTCGAAATGTCTTAGGTTCGGTGCAACTCTAGACTGCACCTAGAAAACCTTTATACCTGTCATGTAATCATCATAACAAACAAAGTCAGTAATAGGATACCGCGTACCGAAATTTAAAGATGAGACGGGAGAAAGCGACGACGGAGTGGCTTGTGCGGAATGACAAATGAAACATCAAGATGAGATGGAGGACGACGGGTACGAGTGGACTGACGAGGCAGGGCATGATCGGTGGCTATATCAACTACTATAGGAATAGTGGTGGACGGCTAAGTGCTGGACGAGGTAGACAGATCGACTATGATCGGGAAGTCCCCATGTGACGATCAGATCAGACCAGATGAGATGGATCTCATCTCATTTGATTGGTTCTGATCTGATTTTGCTCTGATTGGATCTGATCTGGTCTGATCTGATTCGATCTGATCTGATCTGATCTAGTCTGATCTGATCTAGTCTGATCTGATCTGATCTAATCTGATTTTAATAAGAATAAGAAAAAATAAAAAAAAAAGTTGAACGGAATGAGGCCTTAATCAAGAATCTCATTTTTATTCCCATTAACTCTTTTTATTTGTTTCCAATAGATCTTCTCATTATTTTTTTTAACATTTAGAATATCATAAATATTTAACTTGCTTTATTTATTACACTTCTGCCATCTCATTTAATACACTCCACCCATTTTCATTAATGGTATTTTGGTAAACTTTAATCTTTTATCAAGTCTCTTTAAAAATCACTAAAAATAAAAAGAAGGAGATCTTAGGGGAACGGAGGGAGTGGTTAATAATGTGAAAAAAGTAAACTATGGAATAACCAAAATCACATAAAGAAAGAATTCCTAAAATCATCGGGTAAAAATTATTTAAATTACATAAGACAAGAATTGTTAAAATCCTTGAGTGAAAATTATGAAAATTACACAAAAAAAAGAAATTATATTTTAACTCATATTTTTATAACTTGGTAAACTATAAAACTTGACTTTAAGTAAGGCAAAAATTTGAGTCTAATTGTAACTAAAACTTATATTTAAATTAAGGTGTACCCTAAATTAGCTTTAGTTATGGAAAAAACATAAATTTTTTATAAGGTAACTAATACATAAAATAGAAAACGTATTACTTTTTTATTAAAGTTATAAAATGAGTAGTTATAACTAATAAAAAAGTAATATCAAAAAGTAAATATCAGCACATAGTCTAAAAATGGGGGGATTTCGCAATGAGGGTAGAATTTGAAATCTCATTCCCAATTAGTGAAACTCCTACTGACATAATGGGAGGTGGGGCCGGACTGACATGATGAAATGAATCTCCATCTACTCTTTGACTCTATTAATTAACAAAAACTTACCATTTTTTTAAATATTTTAGTTAAATAATATTATCAATTTTTTATATTATGTATTTTTAGTTAGTGTAGATTAAAATTATCACTACAAAAAATTGACTTTTTGTGGCATCTAATTTGGCCAGAAATACATTTCTTACATCAAGTTTTGCCACAAATACTTATTGTAACGGGATATTTGTGGCAAATTCTAGAATCTGTCACATTTATCTTGTTACAAAAAGTCAAATTTTTTGTAGTGTGTTTTTTCATTTCATTTTTTATTTTTATAATAATAGACAATTTATTAATGAAAAAATAGATAAATAAAATATAAGTCTTACAACATTACTTTTTGTTTCGGAACTGAATAATATAAAAAAAGCGTGTAACACATGTTGAGTTTGTGGAGGCTAGGGCTTGTCTTGTTGGCCCGGCCCATGTTATGTAACCCTAGGTTGTTTTCCTCCTATATATTGAGCCTTTACTTGTAATTCCGGGAGACACCACAAGTGAAAGTGCTGCGCAGGTGTTCGCCATCCTGGTAATTCTGGGAGCCTTTACTTTAATATCCATCCTGGTGCAGCCGAAGAGGAGGGGGAGAGTGCTGCGCAGGTGTTCGCCATCAGTCTGCGAGCCGCCGCAGCATCCCCTCGTAGTGCCAGCGTTAACCGCGGCAGGAGCAAGAGAGGGTGCAACGCCCTCGAGTTCGCCGCTGGGTCTTGCCGCCGTCGCCACGAGGATTGCCGCTGCCGTTTGCGTATAGACCGCCGCACGCAGGAGCAGCGGCAGAAGGAGCCACCGCCGCGTGGAGGAGCCGCCGCCATCAATAGTAGATCCTGAACCGCCGCCGTCCTCAGTCGAGCTGCTGGTTCGAGGAGGTCGCCGCCGCCGTCCTGTTTGCCTTCGCCGGAAAAAAAACAAAAGCAGAGGGGGGCTGAGTTTTCTTGCTTTGCAGGTGCGAAGAAAAAGAGGCCGGGCAGTGGAGTTGGGCCGTATTCAGTAGCCAAAGAATTGAAGAAAAAAGCAGTGGGCCAATTTTTTTTAAATTGGTCAGCCATTTTCTTTTTGGTGTTTTTTGACTTGTTTTGGTTTGGGCTAATTAATTGGTGTGGTCAGCCTGATTTTCTAACGGAAAAATACCAAGATCTGAAATTAGTTGTACCGGGTATCTCGTCTAGTCATTTGAGATGGCAGAAGATGAGAAGTTCCGAATTGAGAAGTTCGATGGTACAGATTTCAGTTGGTGAAAGATGCAAATTGAAGATTTGCTGGTTCAGAAAGATTTGGACGTGGTTTTGGGTGACAAGCCAGAAAAGATGTCGGATGTAGATTGGGCATGTTTCGATCGGAAAGCTATGTCCGTGATCCGTCTCTCGTTGACCAAGAGTGGTGCGTTCAACATTCTGAAGGAGAAGACAGCGAAGGGAATTATGGACGCTCTGTCTAACATGTACGAGAAGCCATCTGCTGCGAACAAAGTTTTTTTGATCAGAGAGTTTGTGAACACAAGGATGAAAGAAGGCACTTCAGTTACCGAGCATATCAACAAGTTGAATTCGATCTTAGCCAGACTTTTGTCAGTGGGCATTAAGTTCGATGATGAAGTTCAAGCTTTGCTACTACTATTGTCTTTACCTGATAGTTGGTCCGGAATGGTTACAGCGGTTACCGGTTCAGTGGGACCCGATGGATTCATCTTTGATCAGATTCGAGATCTCGTTCTTGGCGAGGATGTCAAAAGAAAGAGTTCGGGGGAGTCATCTAGTGAATTGCTTCATGTTGGTAGAGGTAGAAGAAATAGCAGAGGTAGTGGGAGCAGGAACAGACAAAGGAGTCAGTCGAAGACTCGTAACAGCTCTGGTGTAACGTGCTGGAAGTGCAAGGAGGTGGGGCATTTTAGGAATCAATGCCCGAATGATAAGAAAGTGAATATTGCTGAAGGCTCCGCGAGTGATGAGGAGGTCACTCTGACTTGCTGTGAGGAAAGCAATGTGGATTCCTGGGTCATGGATTCTGGTGCTTCATTTCATGCTACCCACAGCGGTGAAGCATTGCAGAATCTGGTTATTGGAGACTTTGGAAAGGTACGACTAGCGGACGACAAAGCTCGTGATGTGACGAGCATGGGTGACATAGTGCTGAAGACCCCAGTCGGTTTCTGGACTTTGAACGATGTCAGAGTGGTTCCAGCCTTGAAGAAAAGTTTGATTTCTGTTAGGCAGTTGGACGAACAGGGACACGAGGTGAAGTTCGGAAACTGGCAGTGGAAGGTCTTGAAGGGAAATCTTGTCATGGCCCGTGGAAGGAAGAGTGGTTCGCTGTATATGGTCGAGTTACCATCTCAGGGAGTGACCGTCCCTGTTCAGAAGAGAAACAAAGTCCGACTCACAGAGTCTCGTGGGCAGAATAAGGTTGTCTGTGCAAGAGAGAAACCTAGAGCCACTGGTCAGACTCAGGATGAACGAGCGTGGAAAGGTTCAAGGGGGCCAATCAGAGGTATTTGTGGCAGTGGGAGCTCAAGAGGCGCTTCAGCCAAGTTGCCTAGAAGACAGTGGGTCAGGAGAACCAGTATTCCAGCTGTTGGAACATCTCCAGAAAATTTATTGCTGAGTACGGAGAGTGTTTGTTCTCAGGATGTTCCAGGATCCGGCAGTGTGCATCTGCAGTGGGAGCCGGTAGGGACCGAGGACGAGTCAGGGGAAGATTTAGCTGTGACTGATGTGTTGGAGCTTGGGAGGGCTTCAACGGGCCTTTCAGTTGTCTGATGAGAGGGCCGCTGCAACATGAGAGCTGAGGAAGATTACTCGATGTACAGGCAATCGTGGTGGATGGCAGTTGATGACTATCAAGCCTCCAAGTGGGAGAATGTTGGGTTTGTGCAGGCTTGGGCTTGTCATGTTGGCCCGGCCCATGTTATGTAACTCTAGGTTGTTTTCCTCCTATATATTGAGCCTTGTACTTGTAATTCCGGGAGACACCACAAGTGAAATAAGAAATTCCTCCTGTTGCAGCCGTGGATTAGGGAAACTGAACCACGTTAGATTCTTGTGTTTCGTTTGTGTTCCGTTTCTCTCGTTTCTCGCAGATAATTTGTGTGTGTTGTGTGTTTATTTCTTAACAACACACACGTGTTATTGCCCACAGGAGATACATAATTAAAAAGTGCCACATAAACAAGAATTACAACTAGTAATTTATGAATGAGCTACATGCCACAACGTTGTCTTCGCGGTCGCATATCCATGTTATTAATAAAACAGGTACTTATTGGACGACCAGGTTGTGACCGATGTCCCGTATTTGGTCGCATTAATTTGTAACCAACATTAGGCCATTCCATTTCATTTGGTAGTGGCATAACACTTCCTGCGTATGCATTCAAGTAGCTTTGCAGCGAGAACACCAAAGGAATCAAATCATCAACCGTTATTTTACAAAAACGACATACGGCATAGACGTGGACACAAGGCATATGTAATGTGGACCATTTCCCGCAATTGCAGATGCGTTGGCTCAAATTCACAATAATTCCATTTTCTATACCTGCAGACCCAACATTTCCCTCAATAGTGACTCGAAAAATCCCTTGTTGCATATCATGAGGGATATCATGACAATTCAAACGATTATCTTCCATGGTTCTGACCTCATTCCAAACATACTTTGGGAACTTAAGCCCCGTTTGTAACCAGGTAATTCCGTGTGTCCGCCTTTCTGCAAACAATTTAACTAATCTCTCGTACGTTGTCTTCACGATAGCATATACCGGAAGAGAACGACATCCCTTCAATACCTGATTGAAGCTTTCTGAAAGATTAGTGGTCAGTATTCCATACCGAGACCCACCATCGTAGCTTAGCGCCCACTTATCTAATGGTAAAGCCATCAACCAATCATATGCTTCTACCCGCCGTGTCTGAATCTTTTGCATTGTCCGATGAAATTCATAGACATCCGGGGTACTGGCTGCATGATACATCAAAGCCTTAAGCTTCTTGCTATTGAATTTTTTCTGGAAATTGCTTCTAAGGTGTCGCAAGCAGTATCTACGTGTTACACGTTATTCTCCTAATTCTAGGATTCTGTTGAAAGCTACATCAATCCCCCCGTGCCTGTCAGAAATGATGCACACAGGCATATGAACGGGCACTACATGATGCATTAAATTCATCATGAACCAACTCCAACTATCCCTGTCTTCTTTATCAACTAGGGAGTAAGCTAATGGAAAAATCTCATGATTTGCCGTCATTGCTACTACTATTAACAAGACTCCCTTGTATTTCCCGTATAGGTGAGTGCCATCAACACAAACAACAGGAAAACAGAAGTTAAAGCCGTCAATGGATGCCTTAAAAGTCCAGAAAACATACATGAATTGAAATGTTTGAGGTGACGCTGTGGGCAACATTTGAATCTCAGTCACCGATCCGGGATTGCTTTGCATCAGCATAGCTAGCAGAGGCAATAATTTGTTGTACGAATCCTCCCAGGATCCATACAATCGTTGAATTGCAATAGACTTAGCCAACCAACATTTCTTTTGTTGGAACACGGGTTTACGCCTATGTCGTACTAAATCGTGTTCGTTTTATGACAGGTTTTGATAATGCCAAACCGCCGTGACAACAACACGAAACTGAGAAGATCAAAGGCGAAGGAACATGGCATGACGAATTGGTAACCAAGAACCAAGAACCAAGAACGAAGACTTAGAATTTATTGAGTCGGTCTTAATGTGATCAAGACCGGCACAAACTTCAAAACTTGGCTCTCTAGGCTACTCCATTAAAATACTCTTTTGCATATTCAAAAATGTTTTTCAAAAGTTTTAAACAAGACTAAAACACTTGGTGTTCGCTCAAACCAAAAACCAAGGCATTCAGCGTTCGGCTTTCAGAAACCGGCGTTCGGCATCCGGTTATCGGCGTTGGTTTTTTTTGGCGTCCGAACCAACCAAGTGGTTTTCAACATTTTATGATTTTTTTTTACTTCTCGGCATATTTAAATAGTTCTCCAACAAAAATGCTTCAAAAACCACCTTTTGTTTTTTGTCGTTTAGTGAAAACCATGTGAAACAGCGTAAACTTGGCTAGCCGTGGTTTTTATCTAAATGACGTGGTTTTAAGATGTTTTACTTTTTTTCTTAGCAAAATGCATTAAACAAATGTTTTCAATACATAGTTTTTATTTTGGAGAACTTACATTTTTGACATCGGCTAACGGCATGACTAAACCAACCATGGGTCTGGCTAAACCAGCCCAACAGCGATGTTGGAGTAACCAACAGTGCTGTCTGGCATGGGTAGCTGAAAAACCATGGTTTGGCGTTAAGTCTTGCAACAGCGATGTTGGTGTTTGGACATCGCTGTTGAGCCAAGGTTGGGTTTCTAGAAACATCTGGAACAGCGATGTAGACTACCCTACATCGCTGTCCAACCTAAGCCAAAAAGAAATGCCTTTGGCAGAAAGATTTTGGACAGCGATGTTGACCCAGCAACAGCGCTGTCAGGCCAACTCCTTCCCCTTCAAAGTCAGGCCTGGACAGCGATGTTCAAGTAATGAACATCGATGTAGGCACCTGACCGTTGGGAGGAATTTATGGCTAAAACTTTCCTTGTTTGGAAGTCAACAGCCAAAACAGCGATGTAGAGGTATTGGACATCGCTGTTGGCATGACCGTTGCTTCCTATTTTTTAAAAACCAAACCTAGAACAGCGATGTCCAAGCCTAGGACAGTGATGTCTAGAGGATTTTCAGCAGATCCATTTTTAATCAAATCCCACAAATTGTGCCAATCACCCCTTAAATGTTTTGATCCGTTGGAGCCTATTTTTCCACTATAAAATGGGGTGTTTGGGTCTGCTTTACACATCACATTACTTCACAACTCCTATTCTTTCATTGCATATCATTCATACATTATTCATAGCTTTTCGAGAGCCATTTTTGTGAAGTTCGTGTTGTGATCTTGAGCGTATTACTTTACTCATATTCACTCTTTTGAGAGAGGCTTGTTCTTGAGTGTTCTTAGGGTTTATAGACGTTAAGGGAAGTTTGTTTCCCTTGGTTGTACGAAGGAAAGGTGTTTTTCCTTCGGGTTGAAGTCTTGGAGTGTGGTATCTCCGAGCAAGTGTTGTTGAGGCTCGTGGGACTCGAGTTCTCAAGTTGTAACAGTTTGTTAAGCACCCGTAAGCTTAACGAAAGTAGTGTAGCTCGAGAGAGTCTCTCGGGAGACTGGATTAGCCACACGTTGTGGTGAACCAATATAAATCCTTGTGTGCTCCCTTTAATTTTTCTACACACTTTACTTTTCACGTTCTTAATTTTTTATTCCTGTGATTTCTACGATCAAACACTATTCACCCCCCCCTCTAGCGTTGATCACTTATTCTAACATCTTGTACGTTACAGCTACCCGAAATAAGTCGAATACATCTTTAACGATGTACCTCACCTTGCGAAGAGACACAACAAATAGCAAGCTTTTGAAATCAGCGTAAGTTTGGCCAATTTTGATCTTCGGGACACGAAATGTTGGCTCTAGAGATACTTGCTCAACGTTCCTATGGACAGATGGTGCAATCTCGACCAAATTACGAACGATCGTAGGCTCCTCTATATACACATCTGGCGTGCACATAGAGACCCATCCAGATACTTCTGACTCATCTGAAGAACTACTCTCATCGTTAGAATTACCAATGTAAGTTGGATCATCAGGGTCTTTTCATCGTCCACACCTAGTGCGGTGTTAGACGACCCTGCTTCTTCCTCTATGTCATCCTCGTGAAGCTCCTCTTGAACTCGTTGTGGCTCTAGGTACACCTCAAGCTCATCATATTGATTGGTGACCTTTTGAATAAAGCACCTCCAAGTCTGCTCTTCGGAAATTGGGAAAGGGCGTGAAGCAGCATATACTCCATCCTTATATTTGGGATATTTCCCCCAAATTTTCTTGATGGAATTAAAACCATCTTCTCCAACAGCAGTGAGGAATTCATTGAAGACTTGTTCAAATGAGACTTCAAGATCAAAGACAAATGCCTTGTTTGCATGCAATGAGTACTCCACCTCATTGTCTACAATTTTGAATTCACCATTCCAATGGGCTAGAAGGATAAAGCTAGAATGAGAGTCCATTTCTTTGAAACGTGAAAAAGATTTGTGAGATTTGTAGTTGTGTAGTGAGATTATTATTTTTTGTCAAAAATTTATAGTAGAGTTGAGTTATTGAAGATGTGTGGTAGTTGAGTAAAGTTAGGAGAGATTTGAGTTAGGTGAAGGATTTGATTTAAGTTAGGTGTAGTAGTTGAGAAAAGTTAGATGGCTTAGGTGCAGGAGTAAATTTAAAAGTTAGATGTAAAAACTAAAAACTCCACAATATCTAAATTTAAAAATTCTAAATAAATTACATGCGTAAAAATTTTAAAAACGTCTCAACTTTGTTTTTGTTCTATTTTAGTAGTCTTATTTTAGTAGTTTTCTCCAAAAATATCATCCTAGTTTGACTCTTTTTACCTCGTTGAATATAATATACATTGAAATTAAATTTGAGTTTAAAATTTGGACCATGCTACATTTACACCAAAATTTATATCCCAAACTTACACCAAAAGTATACACCAACATTTTGATAGGTCACACTGACACAAAGTGTTGATGTGTTAAAAAAAATTTACACTGATACAAAGTGTTGGTACATTAATACAAATTAGTAATACACCAACACAAAATGTTGGTGCGCAAGGAGGTAAAGGAGTACAAGGAGTACTCTTCATTATCTAGATTTTTTGGTAATAAAATAGATGGCTTTATATTTTCAATTGGCATCCGTGGGTAAAGGAGTACAAGGGGTACTGTTCATTATCTAGACTTTTTGGATTGCACTGATCGGAAACCCTTTTTGAAAAGCATCACCTGTAGGGAATTAATTCCTAAAAATGACATTGCATGTTGACGTGTCAAAAAATGGCCAAGTGTGTTGTCCACTTGTCGAACTCTCATGAAGCGAGTCTCAAATATTATAATAAAGGATTTCTTTTAAATAGTTCTACTGTTTAAATGATTGAATGCGTATTTTTTATTATATAATATATATTGTAGTTTTTTGTTTGTAGCATTTTTTATACTATTCACTACAAGAAAAGAGCTTCTTAGCCGCACTAAATTCGCCTCACATGATCAAGTGTGGTGTTAAACCTTAACACTTTATAATTCCCTGCACTTAAAAGAAAGGTAAAAGATAATTTCACTTACCTGCATAAAAAAATGTGCCAAATCTCATAAATACACTTAATTATAAAATTATAAAATAAACATACATCATTATTGATTTTTTCCCGGTAACATAGAAATTGAAACACTGAAATATATTAGCGCCCACTGCTTTTTACATTTAGCACCTAAATGTTAGAATAATAGACCAACGCTAGAGGGGGGGTGAATAGCGTTCGAACGTAGAAATCGCAGGAATTAAAAAATTAAAAGAGAAGTAAAGAGAAGAGTAAGAGGCACACCGAATTTTACCCTGGTTCACCACAACTTGTGGCTAATCCAGCCTCCCGAGAGACTCTCTCGAGCTACACTACTATCTCGTTAAGCTTGCAGGTGCTTAACAAACCGTTACAACTTGAGAGTTCGAGTTACACGAACCTCAACGAGTCCTTCAAAGGAAACAGCCCTTCCTTTGAATCTACCGAGAGAAATACTTTCTCTCAAAGTGTCTAAGAACACGAATACACTCAAGAACGAGGCTCTCTTATAGAGTAGATTATGAGTAAACTAAGTACGCTCAAGAACAACTCAACCTTCACACAAAATGGCTCTAGAAAGCTATGGAAAATGATGATATTTGAATGCAATGAAAGTATGAATGTTGTGAAGTGAATTGGTAAGAAAAGCAGACCCAAACACCCCTTTTTATAGTGC